GCACAGACGTCTTTCTTGTGGACTGTTCAACGGGGGCATCTCACCAAGGAGGTGGAGTGGCGCAATCTATGTTTCAGCAAGCCTGGCCGCTATGCCAGGGATTGTCATCGAAGTGTTTCTTTGGTACGGAAAAGGTGGAGGGCTGACATGGGAATCTATGCATCCACATATTTGAATATTTGAACAGGCAATGAGCTACGTACATGCTCACCATGCGCACACACGCACACACACATATGTGCTAGCGCCTTATGGTTTCCAAAGGGCATCCAAAACAGCCAGCAACCTTTCACGTCGGATTTCCTATACTGGGAAGCCACCAATTCGGAGGGCTCGACTCCCTTTGGATTGGAGGGTTCGGCCCCGTCCAGGAGTGACTTCTGTGGGCTCTCCAACAAGTACCACTGCCCCGCCCGGTGCCCGAAACCCCGAAACCCAAGAACCCCAAAACCAGAACCAGGAAAGCAGTTGCTTGGGGGGGGACAAACGCAGGGGACTCGTTCTCATTTTGTGCCTGATCCATGCGCATGTGTGACCAGGAATTTCACCCTCCAGGCCATCGAGATGGTGAGCCTATCAACACTTGGGTAGATGAAGGCGAAGGGATGGCCCCAAACACAGCTAGCTGGCGCCCGTTCAGTTCTGCACATTGGGTTAGACTCATCTCTTGTTCATGGCGCCGTCCTTTCAAAGCCATCCACGCTCCCAAAGGCTTCTACCCAAAAAAACATCGGAGGCCTATCTGAGCGCAGGGCAAGATGATGTGTTTCCCCCCGCAAAAAAGACTGGGAAAGGCGGCCTGAGGCCCCCAGGTTTGGACAGACAGGCTCAATCTTGTGTTTGGTGCCTCTGGGCAACACTCTCTCTCATAGCTGCGGAGCTCCGCTGCCCTCTCTGACAAGCTTTCTTGAACTGGTGTGAGGCTCTCCGCGATCCTTGCGAGCCAGCGTTTGGCCTTGCTGGCCTGATCCAGCAACAGATTGGCTTCAATTTCGGACAGCAAGAGACAGCATTCAACCATGAAGCATCCAACTTGGCATCAAACATGTCTTTTTTTTCCTTTTGCCAAATGAGATTTGCGGGGTGTGAATAAGGACTCTGATGATGTCTCCTGCTGATGAACACGCACCTGCCCAGCTTTCCCTAAACAACTCGCCTGCAAAGTAAAACTGGAAGCCGAAAAAAGGCTCAGGGGGTATTCGTTGCGTGGCTTAGGTCATCCATATGCCATATTTGCCTCGGCAGAAGGCGGGGAATGCAGAAGCCAAGCTTGAGGAAGCAAGCCAAGTATGATGGTTTGATGGCCAATTGATTGAGCGCTGGTTCTGACTTGATAATGGGGGGCCCACATCTATGAGCCCAAAATGGCCATGGGTTCGTCTTTGGGCGCAGAATGAATCCAGCCCTTGGGGGCCTTGCGAAGTTCTCACAGGTGGAGTGTGATCCTTGCGTCCAGAAGACCCGCTCATCAACATGTTCAGAGTTCCTCAAGACACAGACCTCAGATTCGAGAGGTTTGCGCAGCTGGAGCACTCCCTTCATATGGCGATTCAGATCTGCAGTTCTAGCTATAGAAGTCTAATATAAGGTCACTGACCTTCCCATGGCTCACCTTGCTATACCTCTCGGTGTATTTGATTCAGAGTTCTTGCTAAGAAGCAGCTGCTCAAGCAAAGGTGGAACTGTTGCAGACCCTTGCTCTTTCCGATGCCGAGCCAAAACTTGAGCGTCAAACGCGGGGAAAAGGGCCTTCCCAAAGCAGCTTGCCTTGAAACACTATCCCAAACAGCTTGCAAGATAGACCTAGATGGGCCCTCCTCACTTTCGGCCAACCGTTTTTTGGTTCCTTTGCGGGCGCTTGACTTGCGGCGGTCGTCTCATGCAAATTAAGCTTCAGTTTGCGGGCAGACAAGCGGCTTGTTTTGAAAGTGTTTGAGATATCTCGTGGGATAATGCCGTAGTCGTAGGTCTCTTTGGACATGTCGCTTGGTACTGCTTTTGTTTTCCATTTGTATTTGGCGTACTCACACATTCGGCCACCGAATTGCCTTCGGGTGTTTCCCCGAGGGCATCCCAGTTGTTGATCTCATTCTAGGGAAGCGAACACATTGGTGTCCCTTTGAACCTAAACCTCATGAGGTCATATCCGAGATGGCATTTCGCATCCGTTGTCCATCCCAAAGCTCGAGCAGCAATGTTTGGGGATCTGTTTTTGGAAAGCCCCGTGTCTCAGGTGTCAGCGTTCCAACTGCCCCCTGAAAAATCGGTCGCAGGCGTGGGATGCGATGCATAGCACCACCGAGAAGGCGGAAAAACGTGGCCTGTTGGGTGGGCCTTGGCTCTGTTTAAAGGGACACCCAAAGGAAGTTGACTACGATGGTTTGCCCAACCTTGCTTAACATGGAGCCAAGAGAAACTTACAGCTCTAGAGGAAACTCCTTTTGGAGGACTCTGACTGCTTTCTGTTTTGGGTTCCATGCAGATTTGCCGTTTATGTCTACAGCATTTGATGGGGACAAACTCAATCATGGTGGGTGGGCATGATTGCCATGTGAATGGTGTCCACCCAAGGATCTCCCATGTCAACAACCCATTGCTTAAGACCACGTTGCCGTTTCATATCCTGTTTGCTCTTGAGTTTTGTTTTGTATGTTTCGATGATCAACACAATTTCGTTGTCTTGGTGCGTTGCGTGAATTGCCAATGTGTCATATTTCACTTTGCATGGTTGAGAGATACAATTTCCTCGAGAGATTTGCTCAGAAGGCAGCATGCCATATTTGGCTTGCCCAGACGGCCCAGACTCGACTGATGAAACTCCCTCAGAGATTCGTGCGCCAAAAGCTGATTCCCTTTTGATTGATTGCTTGGGGGCTGCGAAGCAGGGGCTAGCAATAGACTATTCTGAGCTTCGTGCCAGGATTCCTCCCCGCCTGGGGCAACCCACGAGCTGGTGGGTCTTAGGCCTCTGATCACTCAGTCTTTTGGCATACCGCAAGAGGGGTGTTCCAAACTTGGCTGGGCCTCTTTTGGGATGTTTGCCCTTCTTTCCAATGAAGACTGAAGGAAGATGTCTCCCTTTAGGGGGTAGATGTACCCCAGTTGGAGCCACGCCCATTTGGCCATGGGTCAAAATCCAAATCGTACCCGCAGAAAAAAAAAAAAAACAAACACAATCCAACCACCAAAATAGGAAGCCTAAACTGGGTGGTGAATTCACCGATCCCAACCAAAATGGGATCCCGTCTAACGGTCAAATGACCACCACAGCCGTCTGAAGAGCTGCAGCATCCGATGCCAAGAAGCCGCAGGAGCGGCAGCGGAAGGTGCGGGAGACCTGGTGGCAGGCCGCTCGCTCGCTCGCTCGCTCGTTCCTGGCGGGTTGCGGGGCGGGGGATTCCGCGCTTTTTGCTTATTGCGGGGACCCCCCCAAATGGAACCCTGGTCAAGAGTGGGTGCCCAAAATGGAACCCTGGTAATTGATTTTCTGATGGTGTAATTCTGACCCATACCTAAATGGGAAACCAGCGGTTATTCCTTTTGGTTTCCCTTTAAAGGCAACCAAGAGGTGGGTACCCTCAAAGAAAGAATGACAGGTCCAAGTAAGGTTCCTGGCCACGTGCATTTCAAAGAGTTGGAACCGCCTCAAAAGATCTCGGTTGGTGGACATGAACCCCCACCCAATTCTGATGTCCAACAAAGGGTCCCGAATCAAGATTCATGCTGTCTTGGGGATTCCTCTTTCTGATTATGGTGCTTTGCCCAGATTTATCAATCAACCTGGCAGATTCATTGGGTGTTTCTTTCCCCCAAAGTGAAGGATCGCCACTAAAATGGGACACCCCACCTTGAATCCTGCGTTCCCTCTAGAAGTCCCACTTTCCCTATCTCTGTGTCCTGCGGGTTTGAAACCAAGCGCCTGAAAAGTTGAGAAAGGCTTGAGCCACTTTGGTTCTGGGAGGTTCCGGATCACTTTTGCAGTCGTTTCCACATCCGTGATCAATCCCTTTGGTTGGACCGAGGGGAGATTGGGTGGGCTGTGGTCGCCCGAAGCATCGGCTGGCGACGATATTGTTTGTTGCGACAATTTGGCGGCGTGTCAAATCCAGGAGCCTCTTGGCGCTGCAAAACGGCGCCCTCCACGAATAATATGAGCAACGGAACATATTCCTCGGGCAAATATCGGTTTGGGTGGCCCCCGATGGATTTGCATTCAACTGGCTATCAGTCTAAGGTGGTCCCCGATGGGTTACTTGTAAGATTGCTCATATCATTTTCCCGGTTTGCATTCAATTGTCGCGAAGGCGGGGGACGGTGAGAAGAAGCAGGTGAAGGAGAGGGCATTGCAGGTTCGTGTGACGCACTGAGCTGCTTGGATGTGGGCAGCTGCCAGCTTCGCCGTGCAAAGAGCTGAGATAGACCTGTTTCAGATAAACATCCTCAAGTTGGCTCCTGCAATAGTGGCGCTCATGTTTGTCATTCGGGGTTCACACAACGGATCTTTTCAAGTTTTGGACCCAAAAGCGATGCAGGTATATCGCAACTCCTCTTCGGGAAGTCAAAGAAAAGCCTCCAGCAACTGCAACGCCTGCCCAGGCCCAACCCAAAGCCCCAAACCCAAGCCAACCCAACCCAGACCCACACAACAGCCAAGATCAGCCTTCGGCCGTGTCTAAGCAGCTTAGAAGCAAGCCCACGTAAGCCGAACTACGAATATCTCGCTCTCTCTCTTGCTACATTATGTATATATATATATCTCTATATGTATATGTATGTATTCATCATTTTGTTGGGATCCTCGTTTTGATTGGATCGAAAGAATATCAAACATTAGGGAGTCCGATCCGCGAATCTTGAGACAGCCCCATATCCACTCATCCGAAGCATGGGCGAGGAGTGGCAGGTGAAGACGGATCGTGAGGCCGGATGCCGGGCAAGAGAAACAAGTCCCACCAACTGAACGAGCAAGCGACCCAAGCAGGTGACTCACTGAAGCCTTGACGGTAGGAGCACCTGGCGTAGTCCTCATCCCTCATGCCCCAAGCCAACTTCTCGCTCCCCATGTTTCCATGTTTCTGGTGGGGGAGGAGGGGTCTTGTGGCTGGAGCAGAAGTGCAGACGCAACAGTCGAATTGTGTGGGCGCGCCTTTTTGGGGATAGGAAGGCGGGCTTGGAGCAGGAGCATCAGCTTGCAGGGTTCGGTAATTTCCCAAACGTCTGTGGTCACCTGGTATCACGAGGATCATAGTGAGGCCTGTATAAACCTCTATAACATTCTCAGTGGAACCAACAGACATTGGGTGTTTGGGCGCTGTTCCATTTTGGGAGGGATGTGGGGGATGCAATAAGTTTCCTCCACTTGCCGGGGGGGAGGGGAAGGTCGTGGTTTGAGGCCAAAGTGGCGGCGAAGCCTACCTCTGGCAGCCCGGAGGCCCCACGACCGAGCGCCTCTTCGGAGGGTCCCTAGGACCTGAAGTTGGGCGAGGTTCTTCGCGTGTTGAAGATCCCTTTCCTAGGGGCACCAATTGACACCTGGCCCTCTTCGGGGGCGAACGCCCTGCGAGTTCTCGCCGCTGTTGAAAGATTCTAAACCAGCAGATGACAATGTGGAGGCGTGTGCGTGCGCATTTTTCTGCCACTTGGAGCGGGAAATACCATGGCGTACAAAGCATTCATGGCGCCTAACTATAGGAATTATGCAGAACTTGGGGGCGCCTCTAAGTTGCAGAAGCCCCAAAGCCACGTTTTTGTGTGCCGGGGCACCTACGTTGTGGCAGTGAGCAAGGGACGGGAGCTGACGCATAGCTGCGCCGAAACTGGCAAACTCCATGCAACTTGTCACACTGGATGTTTCCTTGCACAAAGTGATACTGTGCGAAGGGCCCAACGGGGTTGCCTGGTGAAGCGCGTAGCTATGTTGTGATTGCCCTTGGCGAGAGATCTACTTGTCTTGGCCGCGCCAGGCGACAGACACGTCGCCAGAGGCGGATCAGGAACCTGTGCAAGCATCTGAAAGCACTGGAGAGGCGGGGGTCGGGTAGTGAGTCCGAAATTTGGCTTGCCTTGGCGAACTCGGTGCAAAATAGTCACAGGAATCGCGCCGGCTGTGTGAAAGCTTGGTCCTTGGTACTCATTCTCTCAAGCAGTTTCTCTGGCTCAATGGCTGCCGGATGCTACGTTGGGAAGCATTTCGCAAACCTGGTGGGGAAAATTGGCTTGTGGCAGACAACATTTTGCCTATGCAGGATCTCCGCATCAATGCAATCATTTTTTGTGGGGTGAGATGGGCATGCGTGTGGGCGGGACGGAGAAAGGTGGAAGAGGCTACCGCGGCAGAAGAGCCGGAGGGCGAGACTGCAGAACCCTCCGCTGAGGCAGCTGCAGCATGTTTACGATTTGCTGCTTGTGTATCAGACCAGCACAAGGCTTCACGAAGACATTCCAGCCACTTGACGATTGATGCGTTTTGAATGTGGAAAAGGCTCTGAGAAATAAGAGAGGCCAAACCGCCTTTGGTGTAGGTGACAGTGTGGGCAGGTGGCCTCATCAAATAACTCTGCTGGCATGCAAGTTGCAAGCTCTTTTGGCGCCAGGCGACAGACGCGTCGCCAGAGGCGGATCAGGAGCCTGTGCAAGTATCTGAAAGCGCTGGAGAGGCGGGGGTCGGGTCTAAGCTGGGTATGTGAGGCTCCTTGTGTTTGCGCTACATCCCTGGTACTCGTACAGTCACAATGAATGCCGGATGCTACATTGGTTAGCATTTCGCAAACGTGGTGGGGAAAATTGGCTTGTGACAGACAACATGTTGAACACGGCGAGGCTGAGGCCTGTATGCATAGGCAGGATCTCCGCATCAATGCGATCATTTTTTGTGGGGTGAGATGGGCATGCGTGTGGGCGGGACGGAGAAAGGTGGAAGAGGCTACCCCGGCGGAAGAGCCGGAGGGCGAGACTGCAGAACACTCCGCTGAGGCAGCTGCAGCATGTTTACGATTTGCTGCTTGTGTGTCAGACCAGCACAAGTCTTCATGAAGACATTGCAGCCACTTGACGATTGATGCATTTTGAATGTGGAAAAGGCTCTGAGAAATAAGAGAGGCCAAACCGCCTTTTGGTATAGGTGACAGAGTGGGCAGGTGGCCTCATCAAATAAGTCTGCTGGCATGCAAATTGCAAGCTCTTTTGGCGCCAGGCGACAGACGCGTCGCCAAAGGCGGAGCAGGAACCTGTGCAAGTATCTGAAAGCACTGGAGAGGCGGGGGTCGGGTCTAAATAAGACGGTAACGGCATGTGGCCTCGTCTTGGTGCGACTGCATTGCTTAACTTCATCATTGGAAGTCGCTTGTTTTTGTCACAAGTACTGAACAGCAAGCTGAAACTCAGCTTTTTCCAGTTTTAGCCAGGCACCGGCAGTTCATCTGTTGACGCCAGGCGAGAGACGCGTTGGCCCAGGAAGATCAGGCGCCTGCGCAGGCAGCTGAAAGCGCTGAAGAGGCGGGGTCGGGTCTAAGTGAGTCCGAAATTTGGCTTGCCTTGGCAAGCTCGGCGAATTGCCATGACAGCAATCGCGCCAGCTATACGAAGATATGCGAAAAAGGTGACTGGTATGTGCGGCGACTGGCGCGAAGATTTGCTGGCTCGGTGGCTGATTTCACATTGGTTGGGGCTCCCAAATGTGATGACAGGGCGAGGCTGGGTATGCAAATGCAGGATCTCCAGATCAGATGCGGTTTCTGTTTGCGGATGGCCTTGAATGAGTTTCGGTGAGTCTGCATGCAAATTGCAAGCTCCGTGGGCGCCAGGCGACTGACGTGTCACGGGCGGATCAGTCGCCGCAGCCAGCTGAAAGTACCGAGGCGGGGCCGGGTCTAAGGGTGGGTGACTGATCAATTCACAGCCCCTCCAAATAACTGAGGAGACCTAACAGAGAAAGCCGCTAAAACAAGCCAGCGGCCAGATTTTGGCCTGCCTTCCAGTAGTCACCAATAATTATTAGCTAATTGGCCAGGGAAATTCCTTTCTGAATTCGGTACCTTTTAAGCAAACCCTGTAATTGAGTATCAGGGCTCGGCTGTACTCTCTGCTGCAACGGCTCTTCTCAAGGCTTCAAGTATTTGCAGTTTGGCGGGCACTGACTTGTTTCTTTTTTCTGGATGTTTGAAGTAGTAGAAGACACACAGCGATTGACAATATGAGTTGGAAGAAGCATCACATTTCCTGGGCCTGGACGAATGGCATGGTTGGAGAAGTGTTCTGACCACTTGGCTTGCCTTGGCAAGCTCGGCGTATTGTCGTCTGGCTAGACAAAAGTGGAGCTGCCAAAGTGTACTTTGTGTATGTTTGGTTATCGTTTTTGTTGATCTCACGAGTCTGGGCTGTTTGCTATCCGACAAGCTGTGCCATGCTGTGTGTTTTCCCAACTGACAATGCTGCTTCTCGTAATTGTTGCAGTTGTTTGTTTCAACTCCTTATCGTTGTGCAGTAAAACAGGGCAGTTTTAGACGCAATGGGACCTCCAAAAACTAAACCACTGGGTTTTTGCTGCATCCTTATCCTATACTGAGCCAGCAAAACTGCCATATTGTTGGAGTACCTGGGATGCAATGCAAGCACCATGACTTAGGAGCGCTCACGACCCCGTCGCCTCACATACTCGTCGCCTGACATACCCATTCTCAGCAAATGTAAACTGCGTTGAGCAACAAATGTTGGCACAGCTCAAACATCGCCAACATTATTGGTTTGCACTTCCCAAACTCGCTCAAGGCGGTGCATTGTGTTGGGTTGCGAGGGTTGATGTTGTGAGTATGCTGGAAACCGGACCCTTTCATTGCCATTTTTGGGAGCATGTACAGAAGAGCTGAGTCAGCTTTCCTTGTGCGGAAGTGAGATGAGCATGCGTGTGGGCGGGAGCAAGGTGTCAGAAGCTTTCCTAGCAGCAGAGCCAGTGGACGAGCCTGCAGACCACCCTGCTGAGGCGCGGCTGACGCATGTTTGCATCCTGCCGTTTGCCGTTTGAGTCATGATGCCATACCCCCAGATTGTAAACACTCGACGAGCACTTGACGCGCTTTAGATATTGGAAAAGTACATAGATACATACGTGTATATATATATATATGTCTTTTGTTGGGCATGCGCTGCCAACTTGTTTCGCTTAGTTTGTGGTCTGGTCCTGTCGGTGTCTTACGTCCTGTGCTGGTGTGCAACGCATGCTCTTGTCTCAAGTCCTATTTCTTTGCGGTTGCTCAGTGAACGCGTCGCTCTCGCTCGTGGGAAGCAATCCTGTTGGCGCCAGGCGATAGATGCGTCTCCAGCGGTGGATCAGGCTGCGCAGCTAGGTGGAACCACTGCAGAGGCAGGGTCGCGTCTAAAGCGAGCAGAATGTTGCGCCAGGATTGGCACATTCGGAGACAAGGACATTCACTGTTCTAGTTGTTACATCTTGTTAAACAATGCTGAGATGACTGGTATGCCAGTGTTAGGCAACTGGGCGAAGCTGTCTGAGTCATCCTGTTTGCAGTGCACCCCCTGGTACTCGGACAATGAGGCAGTTTTGCTAGCTAGTAGCTGGCGCATTTCATATTGGTTTGCACTTCCCAAACTCGCCCAGGGCAGTGCATTGTGTTGCGAGGGTTTGATATTGTGAATATATTCTGGAAACCGGACCCTTTCATTGCCAGTTTGGGCGAGGCTGATGCGTGTGGGCGGGACGGAGCAAGGTGTCAGAAGCTTTCCTGGCGGCAGAGCCAGTAGACGAGCCTGCAGACCACCCTGCTGAGGCGCGGCTGACGCATGTTTGCACCTTGCCGTTTGCTGTTTGAGTCACGTTGCTAGACCTTTCCCAGCTCGTGAACACTTGACAAGCACTTGACGCATCTTAGGTCTTGGAAAATGATAGAACAAGCAGATACATATATTTATATTTTTGTATGTATATTTTTTGTTTGGGCATGCGTTGCCAACTTGTTTCGCTTAGTTTGTGGTCTGGTCCTGTCGGTGTCTTATGTCCTGTGCTGGTGAGCAACGCATGCTCTTGTCTCAAGTCCTATTTCTTTGCGGTTGCTCAGTGAACGCGTCGCTCTCGCTCGTGGGAAGCAATCCTGTTGGCGCCAGGCGATAGATGCGTCTCCAGCGGTGGATCAGGCTGCGCAGCTAGGTGGAACCACTGCAGAGGCAGGGTCGGGTCTAAAGCGAGCAGAATGTTGCGCCAGGATTGGCACATTCGGAGATACGGACATTCACTGTTCTACTTGTGACATCTTGTTAAACAATGCTGAGATGACTGGTATGCCAGTGTTAGGCAACTGGGTGAAGCTGTCTGAGTCATCCTGTTTGCAGTGCACCCCCTGATACTCGGACAATGAGGCAGTTTCGCTAGCTAGGTGCTGGCGCATTTCATATTGGTTTGCACTTCCAATTCGCCCAGGGTGGGACATGGTGTTGGGTTGCGACGGTTGACGTTGTGAACAGGCTGGCAACTGCATCTCTCCGAACTGAGATGAGCATGCACGCGGAACGAAGCAAGGTGCCAGAAGCTTTCCTGGCGGCAGAGCCAGTAGACGAGCCTGCAAACCACCCTGCTGAGGCGCGGCTAACGCATTTTTGAATCCTGCCGTTTGCCGTTTGAGCCACGTTGCTAGACCTTCCCCAGATCGTAAACACTCGACGAGCACTTGACTTATGTTGCATGTTGCAAAACAGGTAGAGCAAACAGATAGATGTTCTTTGTCGGGTGGTCTGGTTCTGTTGGTGCGCCGTGGAGCAACGCATGCTCTTGTCCCAAGTCGTATCTCTTTGTGGTTGTTCAGTGGATCGGCGCATCCCGCTCGATAGCGGGGAGCAACCTGTTGGCGCCAGGCGATAGACGCGTCCCCAGAGGTGGATCAGGCTGCTCAGCTAGGAGGAAGCACTGCAGAGGCAGGGTCAGGTCTAAAGTGAGCAGGACGTTGCGCTAGGATTGGCACATTCGGTGATACAGACATTTTCTGTTTTACTTGTTAAGTCTTGCTACACAATACCGCTTTGCGCCGAGATGCCTGGTATATCAATGTTAGGCGACCGGGTGAAGCTCTCTGAGTCATCGTGTTTGCAGTGCACCCCCTGGTACTCGGACAATGAGGCAGTTTCGCTAGCTAGTAGCTGGCGCAGCTCCTTACACCTTGGCGGGCGGTGCATTGTGTTGCTAGGGTTGATGTTGTGAATCTGCTGGAAACCGCACCCTTTGATTGCCATTTGGGTTGAGGCTGAGGCGCATATGCAGAAGAGGTGAGTCAGCTTTCCTTGTGCGGAAGTGAGATGAGCATGCGTGTGGGCGGGATGGAGCAAGGTGTCAGAAGCTTTCCTGGCGGCAGAGCCAGTAGACGAGCCTGCAGACCACCCTGCAGAGGCGCGGCCAACGCATGTTTGCATGTTGCCGTTTGCCGTTTGAGTATGATGCCATACCCCCAGATTGTAAATACCCGACGAGCACTCATGTTGTATGTTTTTCTTGCAGCCATCAAGTTTCGCTTAGTTTGTGGCCTGTTCTGTCGGTGTCTTATGTTCTGCGTCGCAGAGCAACGCATGCTCTTGTCTCAAGTCCTTTCTTTGCGGTTGCTCAGTGGACGCGTCGCTCTCGATCGTGGGGAGCAATCACGTTGGCGCCAGGCGATAGACGCGTCCCCAGAGGTGAATCAGCAGTTAGGAGGAAGTACTGCAGAGGCAGGGTCAGGTCTAAAGTGAGCAGGACGTTGCGCTAGGATTGGCACATTCGGTGATACGGACATTTACTGTTTTACTTGTTAAGTCTTGTTAAACAATACCGCTTTGCGCCGAGATGCCTGGTATATCAATGTTACTCGACTGGGTGAAGCTCTCTCAGTCATCGTGTTTGCAGTGCACCCCCTGGTACTCGGACAATGAGGCAGTTTCGCTAGCTAGTAGCTGGCGCAGCTCCTTACACCTTGGCGGGCGGTGCATTGTGTTGCTAGGGTTGATGTTGTGAATCTGCTGGAAACCGCACCCTTTGATTGCCATTTTGGGTGAGGCTGAGGCGCATATGCAGAAGAGCTGAGTCAGCTTTCCTTGTGCGGAAGTGAGATGAGCATGCGTGTGTGCGGGATGGAGCAAGGTGCCAGAAGCTTTCCTGGCGGCAGAGCCAGTAGACGAGCCTGCAGACCACCCTGCAGAGGCGCGGCCAACGCATGTTTGCATGTTGCCGTTTGCCGTTTGAGTATGATGCCATACCCCCAGATTGTAAATACCCGACGAGCACTCATGTTGTATGTTTTTCTTGCAGCCATCAAGTTTCGCTTAGTTTGTGGCCTGTTCTGTCGGTGTCTTATGTTCTGCGTCGCAGAGCAACGCATGCTCTTGTCTCAAGTCCTATTTGTTTGCGGTTGCTCAGTGGACGCGTCGCTTTCGACCGTGGGGAGCAATCACGTTGGCGCCAGGCGATAGACGCGTCCCCAGAGGTGAATCAGCAGTTAGGAGGAAGTACTGCAGAGGCAGGGTCAGGTCTAAAGTGAGCAGGACGTTGCGCTAGGATTGGCACATTCGGTGATACGGACATTTACTGTTTTACTTGTTAAGTCTTGTTAAACAATACCGCTTTGCGCCGAGATGCCTGGTATATCAATGTTACTCGACTGGGTGAAGCTCTCTCAGTCATCGTGTTTGCAGTGCACCCCCTGGTACTCGGACAATGAGGCAGTTTCGCTAGCTAGTAGCTGGCGCAGCTCCTTACACCTTGGCGGGCGGTGCATTGTGTTGCTAGGGTTGATGTTGTGAATCTGCTGGAAACCGCACCCTTTGATTGCCATTTTGGGTGAGGCTGAGGCGCATATGCAGAAGAGCTGAGTCAGCTTTCCTTGTGCGGAAGTGAGATGAGCATGCGTGTGTGCGGGATGGAGCAAGGTGTCAGAAGCTTTCCTGGCGGCAGAGCCAGTAGACGAGCCTGCAAAGCACCCCGCTGAGGCGCGGCCAACGCATGTTTGCATGTTGCCGTTTGCCGTTTGAGTATGATGCCATACCCCCAGATTGTAAACACCCGACGAGCACTCATGTTGTATGTTTTTCTTGCAGCCATCAAGTTTCGCTTAGTTTGTGGCCTGTTCTGTCGGTGTCTTATGTTCTGCGTCGCAGAGCAACGCATGCTCTTGTCTCAAGTCCTTTCTTTGCGGTTGCTCAGTGGACGCGTCGCTCTCGATCGTGGGGAGCAATCACGTTGGCGCCAGGCGATAGACACGTCCCCAGAGGTGAATCAGCAGTTAGGAGGAAGCACTGCAGAGGCAGGGTCGGGTCTAGAGTGAGCAGGACGTTGCGCTAGGATTGGCACATTCGGTGACACGGACATTTACTGTTTTACTTGTTAAGTCTTGTTAAACAATACCGCTTTGCGCCGAGATGGCTGGCATGTCAATGCAAGGCGACTTGGTGAAGTTTTCTATGTCATTGTGTTTGCAAAGCACCCCCTGGTAATTTCTTGCTAGTAGCTGGCGTGCAGTGTGCGCGGTTGTGACGGTTTATGTTGTGATCAGGTTGGCAATTGGACCATTTGAGTTCTATTTCTGAGCAAGGGGCGAGAGCATCCGTTGCAGCACTGAGGTGGCGGAAGCTGCGGAGCCGGCGACAAAGAATTTCGCCTGATCGGATTTTATTTATCGCTCTTGATGCTCTTGCTCGGTGCCAGTGCAACAAGCCACTGGACATGCTGGAGGAAGGGAAGGGAGCCCCTTTCAGGAATCTACCAGGGCCCCCAAACCCGGATCAATCTGAAGCTGATGAGTGGCAGGGGACTGCAATTCGCATTGGCTTGGGCTTCACTCCAGAGGGCTGTGGTGAGATGCTGTGAGATCTGGAGGGGGAAGGGCACAGGATGAGGGTCAATGTGAGGGACAGGTTGCAACATCTAGTAGTTTGGGAGAGACATGTGGGACTTGCTGGATTTCCTACAAGGACCAGGACACTCGGTAGCTTCGCCATGCCATACTATGTCCTTCACTCGAGCCGCATATTTTGACCATGGCTCGTTTTTTTTGTGTCACATCAAAAGCGTGGAGTCTTGCAAGCTGACAGTTCCTGGAGCCCACGAGTCTCTTGCTGACCATCACTCCCCCCCCTCCCCCGGTTATCAGATTTGCAGGTAGGCAAGGGATTCGTCCATTGGTTTCTAGCCCAACCCAAGTCTCCGCGGAGTACTCAGCTGGCCCGTGGACGGTTTCCAGATGGCTGCGAAGCCAAAAGCTCAACAGGGCTCAGTCCAACGAGTGGGTTTCCTTCCCTTCGCATCTCAGCTGACACAGACTTCGCCCAGAATCGCTGACGCCGCCGGCCGTTCCCTGAAGCTGATTGACTTTTAGAGCCTCCCCAAACGCTTCCCGACATCTTCTTTCAAGGGTACAGAGCAGGTCTCCACTGATATCGTTTGTTTCAACAGCTCTTTTGGCCGCCCGGCGCCCGGCGCTCGCCGTCCGGCACTCGTCACCCGCGGAGCGGGCCATCCGCTTGTTTTAAGGTGTGCCGAAGAGATGAAAAGCGTGGCCAGCCGCTGCTAGGATCCAACCCTCGCTCCCCTAACCTCGACCCTTGGTTTCCTCAAGATGAGTCAGAGACAGATGGAGGCCTTTGGTTGACCAGCGGTCAGTTTTGCAGTGTCGAAAGCTGGACGATGCGGGCCAAATCCAGCGGCAAGCATTGGGTTCAGCCCTCTGTACAAGGAGAGATCCCATTATATGCTTTTGTTGCCAGGCGTGTTGGAGCCCGTCCCCTGCTAGGGGCTTGTTGCGACTGAAACGATTCTTGACTTCGGTTGCGTTGATGGTGCTTTGACTTGATTTGTGTGGATTGGATTGATTTCTTTGGATTTGTTTTGATTGGATTTGGTTCGACCTCAGATTGCTCTGCCTGAATTGAGATCTCTTCAGCTGGGGTTTGCCCCAGCTCCAAGGCGCCGCGCTGGTGCTCCCGCGCCGGATGGAGGGGCAGGAGGTCCGGGCGACCAAGAGACAGCTGCGCAACCAAGCTTCCCTTCGTTTAGTTCCCGAAAGCATTGCGAAGGGTTCTTCCGTGCGGAGCTCTTGGTCAACTTGTGCAGGGTAGCTTGCACAGAGTCACCAGCATGGAGATACCAGGAGCTCTTGGTCAACTTGCGCAGAGTAGCTTGCACAGAGTCACCAGCATGGAGATACCAGCATGGAGATACTCGCGCAGAGTTACTAGCACAGAGTAGCTTGCACAGAGTCACCAGCATGGAGATACTTGCACAGGGTCACCAGCATGGAGATACCAGCATGCATGGATATACTTGCACAGAGCCACCAGCATGGAGATATTTGCACAGAGTCACTAGCATGGAGTCACCAGCATAGAGTTACTTGCGCAGAGCCAAGTGCAAAGAGCCAAGCGCGTAGAGCCAAGTGCTCAGAGCGAAGTGCAAAGAGCGAGGTGCAAGGAGAGCTAAGTGCACAGAGCCAAGTGCAAAGAGCGAAGTGCATAGAGCTAAGCTAAGCTAGGTGTAGAGGCTCGGCGTTAGCAGCTATGTAAGCTAGGTTTACTTAACGCGCGGGAAAGAAAGAGAAAGAGCTCGGTATCAAGAATCTCTTTCTTAGCGGGGGGTGGGGATGTTGCCGACGATCGGGAATGCGATTGTCTGCGAGGATCGGCGTGGTCGAGGTGCAAAAACTCGAGGTTTTTTACGTTTTTTGCGGTGCCCGCGCGACCCTCTGCGGAGATCGGCGTGGTCGAGGTGCAAAAACTCGAGTTTTTTTTTGCGTTTTTTGCGGTGCCCGCGCGACCCTCTGCGGAGATCGGCATGGTCGAGGTGCAAAAACTCGAGGTTTTTTTGCGTTTTTTGCGGCGCCCGCGCGACCCTCTGTGGGGATCGGCGTGGTCGAGGTGCAAAAACTCGAGGTTTTTTGCGTTTTTGACATTCCTGGATGAACCTCTGAGCGGAGATCGTGCGTGTCGAAGCGCTCTCGCTGTGGCGCCGTGCGCTCGCGAAATGGCCTTTGGAAGTTGTCTCGTGGTTTGCGCGCCTGCTTTCGCAATCCCGCGGTCGCGGGTTTGATTTCCCCCTGGTCCGCGGCAGCTCCGGCTTGAAAATCGCAGTTTTTAAGTACAAACGTAGTACGCGGAGGCTCCTGCAGCTCCGGCTGGAAGATCGCAACTTTTAAGTACAGACGTAGTATGCGGAGCGTGCTCCCGCAGCTCCGGCTGGAAAATCGCAACTTTTAAGTACAAACGTAGCGCGCGGAGCACACTTTCGCAGCTCCGGCTGGAAAATCGCAACTTTTCTGGAACAATGCAGCTTGCGCAGACCACTTTCGTGAGAAATCGCGCGGCGCAGTTCGTGCAAAGCACATTGCGCCGAGCAGACTCGTGCAGAGCCAACTTGCACAGAGCCAGTTGCGCAGAGCCACTCGCAAAAAGTAGCTTGCGTAGAGCCAACTTTCACAGAGCCAAGCTGCGCAGAGCCATCTTGCACAGAGCTAAGTTGCGCAGCGTGCTTTGCAGAAACTGTGGCCGTCGTGTAAGCTTTGCTATTGATTGCTTTTCCTTTAGCTTGTAATTCGTTTCGAGCTTTACGAGCTTTACTCTTCTTGTTTTAACGGATGTAGATATGTGGGATCGAGCACTGCCATGTTTCCTCTCGTAGGACGATGAGATGGAGCTCTCATGTGACCATACACATTGAGCATCGCCGCGTGCAGACACGCTTGCCGCAGCGATGTAAAAAGGTGTCTCCGCGGCTGGATGAGCACCTGGGGAAAAATGCTTTCGGGCTAATCGTCCTCTAGTGTTTAGTGTTTTTTGGTTTTTCTTCTAACTAGTTGCTCGTCCGCCCTTGCGGACTTATAGGAACTTACGGGAATGGACGAGGCGTGCATAGGGGCATGAGGTCCATGTTTCCACTTCTTAAGCTAGAAAAGGAAAGATGCCGACGTTGGCCCCTGATGGCTGGAAAAGAGCGGAACCGTGGCACCACAAAGCAGCCATTCCAAAGAAGCACGGCCAAGAGGCCAAGTATGGCTCGCCCTGAAGAAGCTGAGGGGTTGGAGCAGCTGACTGGTTTTGGGGAAGCGGTTTGCTTTGACCCACCTGGAAGCCACTTGGATGGCTCAGTTGGGTGCTTTGGGTTTTTCTATTGACCGGCAAGTGCGTTCCAAGGCCCAGTCAACCAATGGTACCATTCTTGGATAGGCGCACCACCCTTTTTTAGGCTTCCAATTTTAGTGGTTGGATTGGGATGTTCACTGGGGGTACGATTTGGGTTTTGACCCACCGCCAAAAAGCCCACCAAAAGCTCGCCCCGATCGCCGGAAGGACCCGCTGGAGAAGATGCTGCAGCCTGAGGCCCAGCCAGCCCGGCGGCCCAGCTGGGCGAGTTGGACCGAGGTTTTCGGAGTTGGGAAGCGGGGCCTTGAGTGGAGAGTGGGAGGTTTGCAGGAGAATTTGGTTTTGGTTTGGTTGGATTTCATGTGGTTTCACTTGATTTTGGTGTGGTTGGTTTTGTTTGGGCCCGTTGGTGTATTGCGGAGTTGGCCATGCTTGAAGCCTTGTTTATATCAACTCATGTAGGCTTCCCTTGACAGGGGCCCAAGTCTGAGCCGCCCTCTCACTTACGGAGCAATGCTAGCGTTCCTCAAAGCTTTGGGTGAGCGAGAGAGAGAGAGAGAGAGAGAGATAGAGAGAGAAGCGAGATGCCGTTCTCTCCAACCCCCTGCAGCATTACCCTTTTGTCAAGTTTTCGATGATCATGACGACGTTTTGACGACCTCCTTTCTCGGGGATTTCTTGCTTGCAGTTTCCGTGAATTCCAGCTTGTGCAGACGGTCCCTATCAGACAGTCAAGTTTATCCCCCAACAGTCGAGCCTGGGGTGGCAGTTTGGCTCGTGGGGTGCACCAATATGGACTTGAGATGGTACCACCGGTGGCGGACCATTTGCTAAAGTTCCATGTTGGGTGCCTATTTTTGACCCACAGCCAGAAAGCCAGCCCGTGGGTTCCGGCCCAGATCCGCTACGGCCAAGCCGTGTGCTTCCGCGCGATTGAGACCGGGCGATGCCTGGACGTGGCCAACGCAAAGGCGCGGGGGGCGGAGCTGGCGTTCCGGCCGCTTTCCAGCGGAGCGGCGGCGAAAGCACAGGGGTCCTCAAAGACGTGTGGGAGATCCATTTCGATCAACCCAGAACTTTTACCAGGTTTGCAAAACGCCATTAAGGCAGGCGATGTTTGAAGCTTGCGCTTGAAGGCAACCCATTTTGGAAAGGAGCCGGGGGTTTCCCTCGCAACTTGCTGGGTGGCTTGGAGTAATTAGGCCCATCTCACTCGGCAAGTAGGCTGGAATCGTGGGTAACGAGCCCAGTTGTTCAATCAAATCATCATGACCTACTCACCAAGTCCCAATCTACTAGAGTGCGTGTTTTCGCCAAAAAATTGTCAAACCCTGCAAGTTATTCGCCGTCATAGCCCTTGGACTGGGCCTCCGAGTTTGGATCCGTTTCGAGGTGTCAGCGCGCTGGTTCGACCGCCGGGCCCAGAGCTGGGAGGGGACCAGGTTTCCGCGGGAATATCCGGTGGCTCGCACCATTTTTGGGACTGGACAAGTCTTACTTTTCATTGAAATTCGAAAAGCTCCGTAAAGCTAACCATTTTTGAGTGGAGTGGACAAGTCTTACTTTGCATGTCAAGCTTTGCCAGAGTCGCTTTTGAACTTCGAGTAGCTGGCCACATTCATGTAGAGCGCAAAGCTGGGACACGGCACGCTAGCCTTAAAGGTCGGTGCTGGGAGATGAGCATCAGGGCATCACTTTTATGTTGACTCTGTTCGACTTGGCCGTTCTACTTGGTATCGCGGATTTGCAAGGCGCCGTCCGATGCCAACAGCTTCTTACAGCATGTAATTGCCGATTTAAATTGGGAGTCCTGTTGGTCCGTGGTTGTGGTTTTGTTTCTCAAGCACATAGCCTTGAAGGCATGGCCTTTTCAAGAGGACTACACAGTGAGGGGGGTTGCTTAGTTTGACTCCGCTGCAAGATTCAAAGGAGGCACTAATAGTGCTCGCCAGCGATCCCCCGGAAAAAACAAGGAGGAAGTCAATTGTTTTTCCTCCAGTTGGCACCCACTGAAGTTGAAGCAAATCAACGCAACGTGGCCATTGGCAGCAGTTGTGCTGGGGTCATTTGGCACCTGGGTCGAGCACGGTCATGAACACTTGAATGAAGTCGCTATGTATCATGAGGATTCAAACAGGGAAGATTGGGAGGTTTGGCGGCTGAGGGGGCGACTGGCAGACCTTCCTTCTTTGCCCCTCGGCCTCTGCAGCACAAGAGGGCGCCAGAGCCCCAGCCGAGACGGATGAAGGGGACTTTTGCGATGGCAGACTCCTCAACGGAGCCGCCAGACGTCCTTGTGCAAAACGCACATGCCCCCATGCGAAGCGGGTCATTTTTGGCGGCGGGGCTTCTTCTTTGGCACGGTGCGAAATGGCGAGGCGGCCACGGGCGCCTTCCTGCACGATGGCGACACCGTGCGGTTGCTGGCGCACACTGGCCCAGGGGCCCAGAAAGACGGAGCGATGTCCCCGGAACTCGGCCCGGGCTTTGAGGTTGCCTTTGCCTCGCACTCACGGGTTTGTGTTGTGCTGGGAGGGAAACTAGGTCCCCGAGTAGTGCCCTTTCTCACCCGTTTTTTTTTGCGGGAGGGTTCCCCTATTAAAATAGACTACAGGAAAAAGGGTACCCTTATACAAACCTCTCTTTACTGGAGGACCTAGAAAAGGAGTGGCGGGGTGGCCACGCAAGCAGCATGCGACAGCGAGCGCGCGGCGGGACGGATGCTTGGCCGCCAAGGCGCCTGCCTGGCGGTGAGCAACACCGGCAAGGCGCGGGGCAAGGAGGTTGGGAGGAACGGGTGCAAACAGTTCGAGGTGGCAAACAAATGGTGTGCTCAGTTGAATCATGGGGTTTCCCCGCAGTGTGTTTTGGCCGGCCCTAGATTCGTTCCCGTGAAGCTTGCGGCTTGTTTGGACCAGTCCATGGGCCTGTACTTCAGGAATAGCTGGAGGCCACAAGCGATGCATGCAGACATCCTTTGAGCGCGTGTTTGAGTCAATGGGTTTGACATGGTTTGACTTTCTTTCCATTCCTTGCGCGGTGGCCCCCAGCTCCTCTCTCTCCAAGAAAGCTGCCACCCCCGGCCCTGGCAATGAGGTGGTTTGCCGCCCCGGCAGTCGGGTTTGCACTGAGCTCGTAGCAGCTTTGGCCGCAGGGAGCGAGCGGGTTGGGGAGTTGGGGTTGGCAGGTTGGGCGGATCCAGTTGAGGGGGCTCGATTGTTTTCCGAGTCAGCTGATTTGAGCCGATGGTTGTCCAAGGGATGGAGACTGGCTGACTTCTTTGCAGGTTCACTGGTCCAGCTTTCTTAGAGCAGGGACTGATTTTGGCGGCGGAACTTGCCTAGTGCGCGTGACTCGTGTGAGCCCACATGCTCGGGGCTCGCATATCAGGAAATTCGGAGCAAGACTCGCCAGAATAGAAGGGTCAAACAAATATTGAATGACGAACCAACACAGAGCTGTGTTCCAAACCTCTTTTGTGTTAGACAGAAAGCGTGCGATTCGGGATATAGAGGGTCCTGGATCGTGCATTCTTCCCCTGACTTACTGGAGCAAGTTGCAGGGGGAGTTCCAGCATGACTGAATGCCCCTGAAGCCTTGAAAGCAAACACAAAGGTGGCGTTGAGCAAAGGTTGCACAGCTACTTTGGCTGGCAAAGTCCTGGCAAAAGCCTTTTGATTACAACTTCAAACTGACACTGATGTCTTCAAGAGGACTGGCAGCCAGGCAGACTTGCCACCGTTCAAGTCGCTTGGGTTCAGAAGTCCGGGTGCGCCTCTCGGGCGGATGGCGGCCTGGCGCCTGCAGAGTCTGCGCAGGGCTGCGGCCTGGACACGCCAGGCGCCGACTTCCGTGCTCTGTTTTTTCATTGGCGGAACTTAGAAGCAGAAGAGGTGGCAGATGTGAACGGTGGATTCTTTGTTGACATGGTGAAATGGGAAGTATCGGAAAGAGGAAGGTTTGAGAGCAACCGACAGGAGACTGATTCGGTGCTTCAATCATATTGTTGCTTTGCTACCGGTGGCAGTTAGTACTCAGACTAGCGCCAGCTGCCGGTTGGAGAGCTTTCTGCCCTTGGGCAGGTGGATGGCCTGGGGCCGGTGCTCTCGCCAGCGCAGGCCAAGCAAGTCGCCTTCCGTTGGGCGGCAGCTGCGTCTCAGCCGAAGCAAGGGTGTGCATTTCTGGCAATTTCCAGTGCTCAGATTGAGGGTCCACCATGTGACGCTTAGGACTTATCCGCTGTTGGCGAACTCGTGGGAGGCGTCGATGCCTGCGCTCGGCGTTGGTCGACCACATTGCGCGATTTGCTTGCATCGAGCCCGAGCAACAGCAGCCGGCCAAAGACTTGCAAGTGCGGGCGTGCCCGGCCATCCTTTGGATTTGCAGGTGATGCTGCGCCTTCCTGCTGCGGCAGATGCAGGACCCAGGACATGGTGCGGCTTCGTGGTCCAGTTTGCAGTTGTGGCAAAGCGTTTCCTATTTTTGGAATGCCGGGAGATGCACGGCCCACTTGCTGCGTCAAGTGCAAGACAGCCGACATGGTGGACATCAAGCATCGCACATGCACATGTGGCAAAACGCAGCCTTCCTTTGGAATGCCAGGAGATGCACGGCCCACTTGCTGCGCCAAGTGCAAAGTGGCAGGCATGATGGACATTGTGACTTCCAAATGCAAATGTGGCAAGTCAAAGCCGCATTTTGGAATGCCTGGAGATGCACGGCCCTCTTGCTGTGCCAAGTGCAAAACGGCATACATGGTCGTGATCGGCAAACACGCATGCACATGCGGAAAAACATGGGCAGTTTTTGGCCTGCCCGGAGATGCACGTGCTTCTTGCTGCGCTGCATGCAAGACAGCACACATGGTTGACATCAAGCGCCGCACATGCACATGTGGCAAAGCGCAGCCTTTGTTTGGAATGCCAGGAGATTTACGGCCCACGTGCTGCGCCAAGTGCAAAGTGGCAGGCATGATGGACATTGTGACTTCCAAATGCAAATGTGGCAAGTCAAAGCCGCATTTTGGAATGCTTGGAGATGCACGGCCCTCTTGCTGTGCCAAGTGCAAAGCGGCAGGCATGATGGACATTGTGACTTCCAGATGCAAATGTGACAAGTCAAAACCGCATTTTGGAATGCCTGGAGATGCACGGCCCTCTTGCTGTGCCAAGTGCAAAACGGCATGTATGGTGGTGATCGGCAATCGCGCATGCAAATGTGGAAAAACATGGGCAGTTTTTGGCCTGCCCGGAGATGCACGCGCTTCTTGCTGCGCTGCATGCAAGACAGCACACATGGTTGACATTGTGAATCCCATGTGTTCTGTGTGTGGCAAGCGTGCTGTCTTTCCAGATGCATTGGGCAAGCCACGGCAGCTTTGCGCAGTGCATTCTGCGGAGGTTGGCGCGCACGTGCTGTCTTCTCCACGGTACTCGCGCATTTCGAATGACTGCTTGGATGCCTTGGAAAAAGACACTGGACACGAGTTTCCGTTTCGATATCGATTCGACCAAAAGAAGGGAACCTGGTCTGGCAAGGAAGTTTCAGGGCTGATTCCTGGCCGTGCCCTGCAGCCTGATGCATATCACCCAGAGAATCGTGAAATCGTGGAGTTCTTGGGGAAGTACTACCATGGCTTCCCCCCAGATCACCCGCAGCACCTTGGCAAGTACTAAGTGAGAGTTTATCTACTAGACCACACACACACACAGACGCACACATAAGAAGAATGAGCAATTCCTTAGACAGTTTCTTTGTTTGTGATATGGGTCACTTTTGGGTCAGCTCAGGCACAGCAGCTTCGTGTGCGTGGGCGGCCGGCCGGCCATGGAGCTCTACCAGGAGACCATGGCACGCCTGGATCTGTTCGCGGCGGCGGGGCTGCGGGTCTCTTACGTCTGGGAGCACGAGTTCACGGAGTGGCAGAGGGCAGTGGCCTGCTTGCACTTGGTTGCCAGGGAGGGAAGCAGATTGAGCCATCTTTTCCCATTTGGCACCATGGGGGTGCCAAATGTTCCGCTTTGCTGGAGAAGGTGAGGTGGGCATGTCCCATTCAGCAGCGCACATTTGGCATGTGAAGTATGAAAGAGATCAACAGTGTCCATCCTGACATCATTCGCCGTGCAAATGATGCCCAGCGACGGTCCCCAGCTGGAATCAATTCCCATGTGGTTTTGAGGAATTGGCCACATATCTTCTTGCAGCTCACCTGAATGACTGAGGCTGCGGGCAGTGCAGCCCCGCCGATCTCCAGCATCCTTCGTGCACACATTCCCGCATCGCCAGATAGATGCCATGCAGAGGATACCGGCCGGAGTCCGTGACGTTTTCTCCTTGGACTCTCCACTTGGCGCTTCGAGCCGTGAGTTTGCTGGTTCCACTTGATCTGGAAGGATATGCAAGGATCGGGAGTCTTCCAAGCGTTCGTGTCAGCTGAGCAGGGCGCAGTGTAGTGCCAAATCTGAAGCCATCTGCCGGAGCGACGCGCCGTGCTTATTTGGGGCTGCCGTATGGCCCAGACAGAAGGAATCGTGCAGAGCTCATGGCCTGGACATCCGAACAGATTCTACATGTTGCAGCTGCGGGGTGGAGCATTGTCATTCTTAATTTTGCGACCGCTCAGCATGCTGGCTTGGAGTCCAACATTTGAGTGGGGCTGGCTAGAGTTACAATTCCCACGCGACAGCTGCAAGGCTCTCATCCAGACTACAACGGCTCTCAACGCCTCTCAACGGCTCTCAACAGCTCTCAACGGCCCTCAGCGACTCTGCTACAAATGGTAAGCTGCTCCTGGAACAGTTGGAAAATGATGTGATTGATTCCAGCTTTGCAGCTTCAGAGTTTGGGCACCCGCGACTTTTAGTTTGAGATGACTATGACTGAATGCCATGGGACATCGAAAGCAAACGCAAAGGTGTCGTTGAGCAAAGGTTGCACGTCCGCTTTGGTTGGTAAGGTGCTTGCCTTCCACTGTTGCATGACCAACTCTCGCAAGAAACGAAAGGTCAACGTGACAGCGGGATCTATCTCCAAGTCAGCTTTCGTTGCAGCGTTTGGCATTACAGGCTTGAGAAGGCTTTGCCCCAGATGGCGAATACCCTTCTGGCAATATAACCTTGCAGTTACACCTTCAAATTGATACAGAAGGGGGGCATTTTTTCAATGGCACCTTCTAGTTGATAAGTGGCCTCAAGAGGATTGCCCAGTGGCAGCTTGAACGAGCAGCAACGGTGCCTTGGGTTCAGAAGCTTCGCCCTACTAGGCCGCGCTCGCCTTCCCCTCTCGGGCGGATGGCGGCCTGGCGCCTGCAGACTCTGCGCAGGGCTGCGGCCTGGACGCGCCAGGCGCCGTCACGTCGGGTCGCAGCGGGGCGCCGGGATTGTGAATGTGCGCTGCAAGTGGTGGGGTTTGTGAACCACAACAGCAAATCGATCAAGCAACCAATCAGAGGAAAAGGCTGGGGATTATAGACAGCTTTGTTGTTGTATGGGGTTGCTTTGCTACCGTGCTCTGTTTTTATTGGTGTTACTTAGAGCAGAAGAGGCGTCAGATGTGAACGGTGGATTCTTTGTTGACATGGTCAAATGGGAAATATCGGAAATAGAAAGGTTTGGGAGCAAGCGACAGGCTGATTCGGCGCTTCAATCATATTGTTGCTTTGCCACCAGTGTCGCCGAGAGCTTTCTGCCTTTGGGCAGGTAGATGGCCTGGGGTGGGTACTGTCGCCAGCGCAGACCAAGCAAGTCGCCTTCCATTGGGCGGCAGCTGGCGTAATCATTTCTGGTGAGTTCCAGTGCTCAGAATGAGGGTCGAACATGTGATGCTTTGGACTTTTCTACGAAATACTCCGGTGAGCGTGTGGGAGGCGTTGCTGCCTGCGCTCGGCGTTGGCCGACCACAGGCGGCGAATCGGTTGCATCCGGCGCAAGCAACAGCAGCCGGCCAAAGATCTGCAAGTGTGGGCGTGCCCGGCCATCCTTTGGATTTGCAGGTGATGCTGCGCCTTCCTGCTGCGGCAGATGCAGGACCCAGGACATGGTGCGGCTTCGTGGTCCAGTTTGCAGTTGTGGCAAAGCGTTTCCTATTTTTGGAATGCCGGGAGATGCACGGCCCACTTGCTGCGTCAAGTGCAAGACAGCCGACATGGTGGACATCAAGCATCGCACATGCACATGTGGCAAAACGCAGCCTTCCTTTGGAATGCCAGGAGATGCACGGCCCACTTGCTGCGCCAAGTGCAAAGTGGCAGGCATGATGGACATTGTGACTTTCAAATGCAAATGTGGCAAGTCAAAGCCGCATTTTGGAATGCCTGGAGATGCACGGCCCTCTTGCTGTGCCAAGTGCAAAACGGCATACATGGTCGTGATCGGCAAACGCGTATGCACATGCGGAAAAACATGGGCAGTTTTTGGCCTGCCCGGAGATGCACGTGCTTCTTGCTGCGCTGCATGCAAGACAGCACACATGGTTGACATTGTTAGTCCTAAGTGTTCTGTGTGTGGCAAGCGTGCTGTCTTTCCAGATGCATTTGGCAAACCACGGCGGCTTTGCGCAGTGCATTCTGCGGAGGTTGGCGCGCATGTGCTGTCCGCTTCACGGTATTCGCGTGTGTCGAACGACTGCTTGGATGCCTTGGAAGAAGAAACTGGCCACGAGTTTCCCTTCCGCTACCGATTGGATAAGATAACGGGGACATGGTCTGGCAAGGAGTTTTCAGGGCTGATTTCGGGCCGTGCCCTGCAGCCTGATGCATATCACCCAGAGAATCGTGAAATCGTGGAGTTCTTGGGGAATTACTACCATGGCTTCCCCCCAGATCACCCGCAGCACCTTGGCAAGTACTAAGTGAGAGTTTATCTACTAGACCACACACACACAGACGCACACATAAGAAGAATGAGCAATTCCTTAGACAGTTTCTTTGTTTGTGGGCGGCCGGCCGGCCATGGAGCTCTACCAGGAGACCATGGCACGCCTGGATCTGTTCGCGGCGGCGGGGCTGCGGGTCTCTTACGTCTGGGAGCACGAGTTCACGGAGTGGCAGAAGGCTGCGGTTTGCTTGCACTTGGTTGCCAGGGAGGGAAGCAGATTGAGCCATCTTTTCCAATCTAGCACCATGGGGGTGCCAAATGTTCAGCTTTCCTGGGGGAAGGTGAGGTGGGCATGTCCCATCCAGCAGCGCACGTTTGGCATGTGAAGTATGAAAGAGATGAAGAGTGTCCAACCTAACATCATGTGCCGTGTAAATGATGCCCAGCAACGGGTCCCGAGTTAGAATCAATTCCCATGTGGTTTTGAGGAATTGGCCACATATCTTCTTGCAGCTCACCTGAACGACTGAGGCTGCGGGCAGTGCAGCCCCGCCGATCTCCAGCATCCTTCGTGCACATATTCTTGCCACGCCTAGATAGACAGATGAACTGCCCCCGAGCCGGGCGCTGCCGTGCACAGGTTGCCGGCCGGAGGAGTGCGAGACGTTTTCACCTTGGACTCTCCGCTTGGCGCTTCGAGCTGTGAGTTTGCTGGATCCATTCGATCTGCAAGGATCTGCAAGAATCGGGATTCTTCCGAGCCGTCGTCCCATTTGAGCAGGGCCAAATGTGGTGTCGAATCTGAAGCCCGTCCGTATTTGGGGCTGCCAAGCGCTCTCGAAGGAAGGAATCTGAAGATTGCGGCCCAGCAGCCAGCGTGTCCTGTGCAGAGATCCTGCATGTTGTGGCTGTGGGGTGGAGTCTGACAATGCCCAACGGCTGCAAAGCTCCCATCCAGACCAAGCTGCTCCTGATGCGATAGATTCCAGCTTGCAGCTTCCCAGAGTTTGGGGACCCGCGCTTCTTAGGTTGGAGACGCTCTCTTGGTTTCAGTACAGCTTTGATGAGACTTAAATGGCTAAGATCGCGCAGTCTTCCCCTCTTGCAGCAAGTTGAAGGGGGGTGAATTGACTCAATGCCTATGGGACCTTGAAAGCATACACAAAGGTGGCGTTGAGCAAAGGTGGTTTCACGTCCACTTTGGCTGGAAAGGTGCATGCCTTCCACTGTTGCATGTCTGAGTTTTGCAAAGATGTCACGGTGACACCAGGATCCACTTCCAAGCCAGCTGTTCGTTGCAGCGTGTTTCATCCCAGGCGGCATCCAGCCTGGCAATATCCTTTCAATTTCACCGTCAAATTGATACAGGGAGCGCACCTTTTCAATTGCACCTTCCAGTTGATGAGGGGGCTAGAGGACTTCGCAGAGCGAAACTTGAGCGAGCAGCAACGCAGAAAGCCCACGTGTCCGCGCTCGGGCGGATGGCGGCCTGGTGCCTTCAGACTCTGCGCAGGGCTGCGGCCTACGCGCCAGGCGCCGACAAGTCGGGTTTGGATGGAGCCTGGGGCCGCCGAATTTGCTAGTTGCAACAGGAAGCGGTGAAGCCAAGTGCGTTGCCTTGCCACCGTGGTTTGCTTAATGGTGGCAGTTGGCAGAACAGTACTCAAGCATTTTTCCGCCCCTGGCAGGTAGATGCCGTGGGGCGAGAGCACCCAGCGCAGGCCAGGCAAGTCGCGTCCATTGGGCGGCAGCTGCCTCTCAGCAGATATCTGTGCTTAGCATTTCGGGTGAGTTTGACTGTTCAGAGTTAGGGTCAAACATGTGATGCTTAGGATTATGCTGCAAGATGCGCCGACGGCCGCGTGGGAGGCGTTGATGCCTGCGCTCGGCGCTGGTCAACCAAAAGCGGTGAATCGCCTTTATCAGGTAGCAACGTCAACAACCGCTGGCCAACGATCTGCAAATGCGGGCGTTGCCGGCCATCCTTTGGATATGCGGGTGATGCGCAGCCTTCTCGCTGCGGCCGATGCAAGACTCAGGACATGATGCGACTGCGAGGTCCAGTTTGCAGTTGCGGCAAAGCAAGACCGTCTTATGGAATGCCGGGAGATGCGAGGGCCTCTTGCTGTGCCAAGTGCAAAACGGCAGAAATGGTGAACATCAGGAATCCCAAATGCACATGTGGCAAAACGCAGCCTTTTTATGAAGTGCCTGGAGATACACAACTCTCTTGCTGTGCCAAGTGCAAGACAGCTGACATGGTGGACATCAGGAGTCGCAAATGCACATGTGGCAAAACGCAGCCTTTTATGGAGTGCCTGGAGATACACAGCCCTCTTGCTGTGCCAAGTGCAAGACAGCAGACATGGTGGACATCAGAAGGCGCAAATGCAAATGTGGCAAAAGGCAGCCATTTTTTGGACTGCTGGGAGATGCACGCCCCTCTTGCTGTGCCCTGTGCAAAACGGCAGACATGGTGGCGATTGGCAAACGCGCATGCAAATGCGGAAAAACATGGGCAGCGTTTGGCCTGCCCGGAGATGCACGCGCTTCTTGCTGCGCTGCGTGCAAGAAAGCATATATGGTGGACATTGTGAGTCCCAAGTGCTCCGTGTGCGGCAAGGTGGCTTCCTTTCCGGATGCATTGAGCAAACCACGGCAGCTTTGCGCAGTGCATTCTGTGAAGGTTGGCGCACACGTGCTGTCCACTTCACGGTATTCGCGTGTGTCGAACGACTGCTTGGATGCCTTGGAAGAAGAAACTGGCCACAAGTTTCCCTTCCGCTACCGATTGGATAAGGCAACGGGGACATGGTCTGGCAGCGAGTTTGCGGGGCTGATTCCTGGCCGGGCGCTGCAGCCTGATGCATACAACCCGCGGCGGCGTGAAATCGTGGAGTTCTTGGGGAATTACTACCATGGCTTCCCACCAGATCACCCGCAGCACCTTGGCTATGAGATGACGATGCCTCACCAGATTGTATATCGTTAGAGGGAAGCTGCAAAGACAGCAACATTTTGGTCTCTTCATTTGGTACTGCGTCAGAGATCATCCGCAAGAATCTAGAAGGCACCAACGCAGGAAACACGGTTTCTTTGTTCATGATATGGGCTAGTGGTGGCTTCGGCGCAGGCACAGCAGCTTTGTGTGTGTGGGTGGCCGGCCGGCTTTGGAGCTCTGCCAGGCGACCATGGCACGCCTGGATCTGTTCGCGGAGGCCGGGCTGCGGGTCTCTTACGTCTGGGAGCACGAGTTTACGGAGTGGCAGAGGGCCGCGGCTTGCTTGCACTTGGTTGCCAGAGGGGGGGGTGGCAGGGGCTGAGGTGGATGTTTGAGTCCGGCGTCAAATAAACATTTTTAGACAGCATGCTGAATTCATGCCCTCCTCTTTCTGGTGGAAGATGGGGCAACCAAACCGGGGGTGCCTGTCGGGGACATGCGATTCCAGCTTGAGCGGCGCATGAAATCCCCTGCCCCTACATAGAACTTCTCTAGTGTCCCATGAATTAAGTAAGAGGTTTTCCTGACCCAGTATTCACTTGAACAGCAATTAGAGAGCAATGAAGAGCAATTGAAAGCAATTAGAGAGCAAGTGCAAAGCAAAGGCAGCTGAAACGGAAAGGGAAGCGATCGGAATGAAAAGGGATAGATACTGCAGAGCAAAAGAGGCGCAGATGGCATTGATGCTCATTAATTGGTCAGTCTGACGAAGAAATGCCGGGTACTCAAGCTTTGCACGCTCAATCAAGACACGGACATTGACATTCCTTGTTTGGGTGTATTTTTCAGAGGTCGTTGCTTGGTGCGAATGCACAAGGGCAAAAGGTGGGGATGCACGATGCAGATGGTGCACTTGCAATCGTTCATAGGTTGACCTTATTGAAGAAACTTTCCGTATTGTGGCCTGAAGCAACACACAACGTCATCAGAACTTAGAGTCCGTGTCATTTGTGGATCGACGCAAGTCCTTCCTGACTTTGTCACAAAAACCAGCAGGTACTTACCACAGCACGACATGCGGTTTTACAGCATGGCCGGCGTATTTTCAGTGGCTCCTGACTGAGGCTGCGGCCAACGCAGCCCCGCCGATCTCCAGCATCCTTCGCGCACACATCCACGCATCGCACAGGTGAACAGAGGGGAGCGGTCGGCCTGCCGAATTCCCCCCCGAGCGGGGCTCTTCCGGGCAGAGTTGCAGGTTGGAGTATGTGGCGGTTTCGCAGCGAACTTTCTGCCAGCTGCGATTTGCCGGCTATCCTGCAAAGGATCGAAGTTCCCCCGCGAAGTGCGCCGAACCTGAAGCCGCCTGGCGAACTGGCGTGCGGTGCCCTTCAGACTCACGGGGCAAAATTTGATTCCTGACGATCAAGCAGCTGCAAGGCATCTGGACCTACTGGTGAGCTGCGCCTGGGAATTGCCAACAGTTGCAAAAAGAGATGTTTGACTCGTTTGATTCCCCACTTGCAGCTTCTGCAGAGTTTGGGCTCCCCTTTAGCAGCTCCTCGCTCTGGTTTGGAGATACCTTGGTTTTGAGTACAGCTGCAGTAGGATTCGTGGGGTTCTGGATCGCCCGCTCTTCCCTTGACGCACTGAACCATGACTCAATGCTCATACCTTGAAATCGAAGAAACAAAGTGGCGTTTTGGTCTGGCGGACTTCACACCATTCACTGCAAGAACGACTCGCAAAATGCAAGTTGAGAATCAGGAATGGAGGCACCGGGGTGCTCCAAGAGAGCTTTCTGTTGAAGGATTGTGAAGGCTGGGCCCCAGGTGGCGGATACCTTATGAATCCTTTTTCTTACACCTGGAGCAGCAACGCAGAAGTGCCACGGTGCCTTCTCTTGGCATACACAAAAGGTGGCGTTGAGCAACTGTTGCGCGTCCGCTTTGGCTGGTAAGGTGCTTGCCTTCGACTGTCGCATGACTGAGTCTCGCAAGATACGAAACAGTTAAAGATGTCGCGGTGACACCAGGATCCATCTCCAAGTCAGCTGGTCATTGCAGCATGTTGCATTACAGGCTTGTGAAGGCTTTGCCCCAGATGGCGAATACCCCGCTGGCAATATATACCTTGTAGTTGCACCTTCAAATTGACACATGATGACCTTCTAGTTGATGAGAGACTTTAAGAGGATTGCACAGCAGCAGCTTTCCCGAGCAGCAACGCAGACGTGCCACGGTGCCGTTTCTTGGGTTCAGAAGCTTTCACCCTACTCGGCCGCGCGAGTCTTCCCCTCTCGGGCGGATGGCGGCCTGGCGCCTGCAGACTCTGCGCAGGGCTGCGGCCTGGACACGGCAGGCGCCGGCACGTCGGGTGAGGATGGAGCAGGGGTAGGACGGCGGGGCACTGGGTTGCTTTGCTACCGTGCTCTGTTTTCATTAATGTCACTTAGAAGCAGAAGCGGTGTCAGATTTGAACGGTGGATTCCTTGGTCAAATTGGAAGTTATTTTAGGGCAAGTTTGGGAGAAAGCGACAGGAGGCTGATTCGTTTGCTTTGCTACTAGTGGCAACTAGTAACTTGCAGTACTTTGCTCTTGTCAGCGCAGGTCAAGCAAGTCGCCTTCCATTGGGCAGCAGCCGCCTCTCGCTGCAAACAAGCGTTTGCATGTTTTGCCAAATTCAATTGCTCAGAATCATCACAGGGTCGAGCATGTGATGCTTAGGACTTTTCTGTAAGATGCGCCGGTGATCGCACGGGAGGTATTGATGCCTGGGCCGGGCGGGATTTGCATTCATCGAGCCCAAGCAATAGCAACAGCAGCCGGCCAAAGACTTGCAAGTGTGGGCGTGCCCGGCCATCCTTTGGATTTGCGGGTGATGCTGCGCCTTCCTGCTGCGGCCAATGCAAGACTCAGGATATGATGCGACTGCGTGGTTCAGTTTGCACTTGTGGCAAAGCGAGACCTAGTTTTGGAATTCCGGGAGATGCACGGGCCTCGTGCTGTGCCCAGTGCAAGACGGCTGACATGGTGGACATCAAGCATCGCAAATGCACTTGCGGCAAATCGCGGCCTTACTTTGGAATGCCACGAGATGCACGGCCCACTTGCTGTGCCAAGTGGTGGATATGCTGACGCCAAAATGCAATTGTGGCAGAGCCAAGCCGTGTTTTGGCAGACTGGGAGATGAGCGGCCTTCCTGCTGTGCCAGATGCAAGATGCCGGACATGGTGAACATTATGAATCCCAAGTGTTCTGTGTGTGGCAAGAGTGCACACTATAGTGATGCATTTGGTAGACCGCGGAGACTTTGCGCAGTGCATTCAGCAGAGGTTGGCGCGCACGTGCTGTCGTCTCCACGGTATTGATGCGTTGGAAGAAGAGATCGGCCACAAGTTTCCCTTTCATTATCGATTCAACAAAACAACTGGCGCATGATCTGGCAAGGAGTTTGCAGGCTTGATACCGGGCCGTGCGCTGCAGCCTGATGCATATCACCCGGAGAGGCAGGAAATTGTAGAGTTCTTGGGGAATTATTACCATGGTTTCCCCTTGGCGAGTACCAAGTCAGAGCTTGTCAACTAGAGCGCACACACACACACCCACACATAAGAAGAATGAGCAATTCTCTAGACAGTTTGGTTGATCACGATGAGGGATGCCCTTTCTACACAACCCAGTTTCTACGTCCGGTCAGCTCAGGCACAGCAGCTTCGTGTGCGTGGGCGGCCGGTCGGCCATGGAGCTCTGCCAAGAGACCATGGCACGCCTGGATCTGTTCGCGGCGGCGGGGCTGCGAGTCTCTTACGTCTGGGAGCACGAGTTTACGACATGGCAGAGGGCAGCGGCTTGCTTGCATTTGGTTGCCAGCAAAAAAAACAGATTGAGCCATCTTTTCCAATTTGGCACTGTGGGGGTGCCAAATGTTCCGCTTTGCTGGGGGAAGGTGAGGCGGGCATGTCCCATCTAGCAGCGCACGTATGTAAAGTATGAAAGAGATCAACAGCGTCCATCCTGACATCATTCGCCGTGTAAATGATGCCCAGCAACGGGTCCTCAGTTCGAATCAATTCCCATGTGGTTTTGAGGAATCGCCCACATATCTTCTTGCAGCTCACTTGAATGACTCAGGCTGCGGGCAGCGCAGCACCGCCGATCTCCAGCATCCTTCGTGCACACATTCCCGCATCGCCTGAATAGACAGATGAACTGCAAAGGGTTCCAGTTGATCTGCAAGGATCTGCTTCCGCGCGGTCGTGCCAGCTGGTGGAGTCGAATCTGAAGCCTTCCGCGAGACCGACCCGTGCTTGTCTGGGTCTGCCGAGTGGCCTAGACGAAGGAATCCGAAGATTGCGACCCTCCAACCAACGTGTCGTCTGCAGAGCTCATGGCCTGGACATGCGAACGGATCCTGCATGTTGTGGCTGTGGGGTGGAGCATTGTCATCTTTAGTTTTGCGACCGCAAGAACCATGCTGGGTGGAGTGCGTCAAGGAGCATTTGAGTGGGGCTGGCTAGAGTTACAATTTTTTTTTCCAATTTGGCACTGTGGGGGTGCCAAATGTTCCGCTTTGCTGGGGGAAGGTGAGGCGGGCACGCCCCATTCAGCAGCGCACGTTTGACATTTGAAGTATGAAAGAGATCAACAGTGTCAATCCCGACATCATTCGTGTAAATGATGTCCAGCAACGGGGCCCGAGTTAGAATCAATTCCCAAGTGGTTTTGAGGAATCACCCGCATATCTTCTTGCAGCTCACCTGAATGACTCAGGCTGCGAGCAGTGCAGCCCCGCCGATCTCCAGCATCCTTCGCGCACACATTCCTCATACGCCTAGATAGACAGATGGACTGCCCCCGAGCCGGGCGCTGCCGTGCAGAGGATACCAGCCGGAGTCCGTGACGTTTTCTCCTTGGACTCTCCGCTTGGCGCTTCGAGCTGTGAGTTTGCTGGTTCCTTTTGATCTGGAAGGATATGCGGGGATAGGGATTCTTCCGAGTGGTCGTGCCAGCTGAGCAGTCGAATCTGAAGCCTCCGGAGGAGCGGCGCGCCATGCTTGTCTTGGGTGGAAGATTGCGCCCCCCAGGCAGCGTGTCGTCTGCAGAGCTCATGGCCTGGACATGCGAACGGATCCTGCATGTTGTGGCTGTGGGGTGGAGCATTGTCATCTTTAGTTTTGCGACCTCAAGCAGCATGCTGGCTGCAGTCCTGCAAGGAGCATTTGAGTGGGGCTGGCTAGAGTTACAATTCCCACGCGACACCTGCTAGGCTCTCATCCAGGCTACATCGGCTCTCAACGGCTCCCAACGGCTCTCAACAGTTCTCAACGGCCCTCATCGACTCCGAATCCAGACTACAAATGGTAAGCTGCTCCTGGAACAGTTGGAAAATGATGTGATTATTCCAGCTTTGCAGCTTCTACAGAGTTGGGGGACCCGCGCTTCTTAGTTTGGAGACGCTCTTTTGGTTTGAGTAAAGCTTTGATGGGACTTCCACTCCAACCATTTAAAAAGGAACCTGACAGGAGGGTAGATGGCTCTGGATTGCACATTCTTCAGTTGTAGGCGGTGTTTCAGATGACTATGACTGAATGCCCATGGGACCGCGAAAGCAAACACAAAGGTGTCGTTAGCAAAGGTTGCCCGTCCACTTTGTTTGGTAAGGTGCTTGCCTTCCACTATTGCACGACCAACTCTCGCAAGAAACGAAATATCAACATGACAGCGGGATCCATCTCCAAGTCAGCTGGCCATTGCAGCGTGTGGCATTACAGGCTTGAGAAGGCTTTGCCCCAGATGGCGAATAAGCTTCTGGCAATATAATCTTGCAGTTACACCATCAAATTGATACAGACGGGGGGCACCTTTTTAACTGCACCTTCTAGTTGATAAGTGGCCTCAAGAGGATTGCCCAGTGGCAGCTTGAACGAGCAGCAACGGTGCCTTGGGTTCAGAAGCTTCGCCCTACTCGGCCGCGCTCGCCTTCCCCTCTCGTGCGGATGGCGGCCTGGCGCCTGCAGACTCTGCGCAGGGCTGCGGCCTGGACGCGCCAGGCGCCGTCACGTCGGGTCGCAGCGGGGCGCCGGGATTGTGAATGTGCGCTGCAAGTGGTGGGGTTTGTGAACCACAACAGCAAATCGATCAAGCAACCAATCAGAGGAAAAGGCTGGGGATTACAGACAGCTTTGTTGTTGTATGGGGTTGCTTTGCTACCGTGCTCTGTTTTTATTGGTGTTACTTAGAGCAGAAGAGGCGTCAGATGTGAACGGTGGATTCTTTGTTGACATGGTCAAATGGGAAATATCGGAAATAGAAAGGTTTGGGAGCAAGCGACAGGCTGATTCGGCGCTTCAATCATATTGTTGCTTTGCCACCAGTGTCGCCGAGAGCTTTCTGCCTTTGGGCAGGTAGATGGCCTGGGGTGGGTACTGTCGCCAGCGCAGACCAAGCAAGTCGCCTTCCATTGGGCGGCAGCTGCGTCTCAGCCGAAGCAAGCGTGTTCATTTCTGGTGAGTTCCAGTGCCCAGAATGAGGGTCGAACATGTGATGCTTAGGACTTTTCTACGAAATACTCCGGTGAGCGTGTGGGAGGCGTTGATGCCTGCGCTCGGCGTTGGTCGACCACAGGCGGCGAATCGGGTGCATCCGGCGCAAGCAACAGCAGCCGGCCAAAGACTTGCAAGTGTGGGCGTGCCCGGCCATCCTTTGGATTTGCGGGTGATGCTGCGCCTTCCTGCTGCAGCAGATGCAAGACTCAGGACATGGTGCGACTTCGTGGTCCAGTTTGCAGTTGCGGCAAAGCGTTTCCTACTTTTGGAATGCCGGGAGATGCACGGGCCTCGTGCTGTGCCCAGTGCAAGACGGCTGACATGGTGGACATCAAGCATCGCAAATGCACATGTGGCAAAACGCAGCCTTCCTTTGGAATGCCAGGAGATGCACGGCCCACTTGCTGCGCCAAGTGCAAAGCGGCAGGCATGGTGGTGATCGGCAAACGCGCATGCAAATGCGGAAAAACATGGGCAGCTTTTGGCCTGCCCGGAGATGCACGCGCTTCTTGCTGTGCTGCGTGCAAGACAGCATATATGATGGACATTGTGAGTCCTAAGTGCTCCGTGTGTGGCAAGCATGCTGTCTTTCCAGATGCATTTGGCAAACCACGGCAGCTTTGCGCGGTGCATTCTGCGGAGGTTGGCGCGCACCTGCTGTCTTCTCCGCGGTACTCGCGTGTGTCGAACGACTGCTTGGATGCCTTGGAAGAAGAAGTCGGCCACGAGTTTCCCTTCCGCTACCGATTGGATAAGACAACGGGGACATGGTCTGGCAAGGAGTTTTCAGGGCTGATTTCGGGCCGTGCCCTGCAGCCTGATGCATATCACCCAGAGAATCGTGAAATCGTGGAGTTCTTGGGGAATTACTACCATGGCTTCCCTCCAGATCACCCGCAGCAGCTTGGCGAGTACTAAGTCAGAGCTTGTCAACTAGAACGCACACAATGAACAATTCCCTAGACAGTCTAAGAGAGCACGATGAGGAATGCCCATTCTATACAACGCAGTTTCTTTGTTCATGATATGGGTCACTTTTGGGTCAGCTCAGGCATCGCAGCTTCGTGTGCGTGGGTGGCCGGCCAGCCATGGAGCTCTACCAGGAGACCATGGCACGCCTGGACCTGTTCTCGGCGGTCGGGCTGCGGGTCTCTTACGTCTGGGAGCACGAGTTCACGGAGTGGCAGAAGGCAGTGGCCTGCTTGCATTCAGTTGCCAGGGAGGGAAGCAGATTGAGACATCTTTTCCAATTTGGCACGATGGGGGTGCCAAATATTCAGCTTTGCTGGGGGAAGGTGAGGGCATGTCCAATCCAGCAGCGCACGTTTGGCATGTGAAGTATGAAAGAGATGAATAGTGTCCAACCTAACATCATGTGCCGTGTAAATGATGCCCAGCAACGGGTCCCGAGTTAGAATCAATTCCCATGTGGTTTTGAGGAAGCGCCCACATGTCTTGTTGCAGCACACCTGAATGACTCAGGCTGCGGGCAGTGCAGCCCCGCCGATCTCCAGCATCCTTCACGCACATATTCTTGCCACGCCTAGATAGACAGATGAACTGCCCCCGAGCCGGGCGCTGCCGTGCACAGGTTGCCGGCCGGAGGAGTGCGTGACGTTTTCTCCTTGGATCTCTCCGCTTGGCGCTTCGAGCTGTGAGTTTGCTGGATCCATTCGATCCGCAAGGATCTGCAAGAATCGGGATTCTTCCGAGTGGTCGTCCCATTTGAGCAGGGCCAAATGTGGTGTCGAATCTGAAGCCCGTCCGTATTTGGGGCTGCCAAGCGCTCTCGAAGGAAGGAATCTGAAGATGGCGGCCCTCCAGCCAGCGTGTCCAGTGCAGAGATCCTGCATGTTGTGGCTGTGGGGTGGAGTCTGACAATGCCCAACGGCTGCAAAGCTCCCATCCAGACCACGAAAGATCTGAGCGGCTCTCAATGACTCTGAATCCAGACCACCAATGGCAGGCTGCTCCTGGAACAGTTGGAAAATGATGCGATAGATTCCAGCTTGCAGCTTCCCAGAGTTTGGGGACCCGCGCTTCTTAGTTTGGAGACGCTCTCTTGGTTTCAGTACAGCTTTGATGGGACTTAGATGGTTAGGATCGCGCAGTCCTCTCCTACTGCAGCAAGTTGAAGGGTGAATTGACTCAATGCCTATGGGACCTTGAACACATACACAAAGGTGGCGTTGAGCAAAGGTGGTTTCACGTCCACTTTGGCTGCTAAGGTGCATGCCTTCCACTGTTGCATGTCTGAGTTCTGCAAAGATGTCACGGTAACACCAGGATCCACTTCCAAGCCAGCTGTTCGTTGCAGCGTGTTTCATTACAGGTTGGCCCGGCGGCATCCAGCCAATGGTGAGATACAGGGCGCACCTTTTCAATTGCACCTTCCAGCTGATGAGGGGGCTAGAGGACTTCGCAGAGCGAAACTTGAGCGAGCAGCAATGCAGAAAGTGCCAAGAGCTCGCCCCACGCGCCCGCGCACGCCTTCCCTCTCGGGCGGATGGCGGCCTGGTGCCTTCAGACTCTGCGCAGGGCTGCGGCCTGGACGCGCCAGGCGCTGTCACGTCGGGTTGGGATGAAGCCTGGGGCCGCCGAATTTGCTAATTAATAGCAACAGGAAGCGGTGAAGCCAAATATGTTGCCTTGCCACCGTGGCTTGCTTAATGGTGGCAGTTGGCAGAACAGTACTCGAGCATCTTTCCGCCCCTGGCAGGTAGGGCGGGGTCTCTCGCCAGCGCAGGCCAGGCAAGTCGCGCTCTGAGCACTTCGGGTGAGTTCCAGTTAGGATCAAACATGTGATGCTCAGGATTTTGCTGCAAGATGTGCCGGCGGCCGCGCCGGAGGCATTGATGCCTGTGCTCGGCGCTGGTCAACCAAAAGCGGTGTTTCGCCTTTATCAGGTAGCAACGGCAACAACAGCCGGCCAACGATCTGCAAGTGCGGGCGTTGCCGGCCATCCTTTGGATATGCGGGTGATGCGCAGCCTTCCCGCTGCGGCCAATGCAAGACTCAGGACATGATGCGACTGCGAGGTCCAGTTTGCAGTTGCTGCAAAGCGAGACCGTATTTTGGAATGCCGGGAGATGCGCGGCCCTCTTGCTGTGCGAACTGCAAGACGGCTGACATGGTGGACATCAAAAATCGCAAGTGTACATGTGGCAAAACGCAGCCTTTTTATGGAGTGCCTGGAGATACACAGCCCTCTTGCTGTGCCAAGTGCAAGACAGCTGACATGGTGGACATCAGGAGTCGCAAATGCACATGTGGCAAAAGGCAGCCATTTTTTGGACTGCTGGGAGATGCACGCCCCTCTTGCTGTGCCAAGTGTAAAACGGCAGACATGGTGGCGATTGGCAAACGCGCATGCAAATGCGGAAAAACATGGGCAGCTTTTGGCCTGCCCGGAGATGCACGCGCTTCTTGCTGTGCTGCGTGCAAGACAGCATATATGATGGACATTGTGAGTCCTAAGTGCTCCGTGTGTGGCAAGCATGCTGTCTTTCCAGATGCATTTGGCAAACCACGGCAGCTTTGCGCGGTGCATTCTGCGGAGGTTGGCGCGCACCTGCTGTCTTCTCCGCGGTACTCGCGTGTGTCGAACGACTGCTTGGATGCGTTGGAAGAAGAAACTGGCCACGAGTTTCCCTTCCGCTACCGATTGGATAAGACAACGGGGACATGGTCTGGCAGCGAGTTTGCGGGGCTGATTCCTGGCCGGGCGCTGCAGCCTGATGCATACAACCCGCGGCGGCGTGAAGTCGTGGAGTTCTTGGGGAATTACTACCATGGCTTCCCACCAGATCACCCGCAGCACCTTGGCTATGAGATGACGATGCCTCACCAGATTGAATATCGTTAGAGGGAAGCTGCAAAGACAGCAACATTTTGGTCTCTTCATTTGGTACTACGTCAGAGATCAGTTGCTTGAATCTAGAAGGCACCAACGCAGGCAACACAGTTTCTTGGTTCGTGATATGTATCAGTTAGTGTTTGGCTTCGGTGCAGGCACAGCAGCTTCGTGTGTGTGGGCGGCCGGCCTGCTTTGGAGCTCTACCAGGAGACCATGACACGCCTGGATTTGTTCGTGGCGGCGGGGCTGCGGGTCTCTTACGTCTGGGAGCATGAGTTTACGGAGTGGCAGAAGGCTGCGGCTTGCTTGCAGTTGCCCGGGGTGGGAGCAAGTTTCCTGGTTCCTTCCAGTCGGGCTTGCAAAGTAAGCGTTGGTTGCTGTGATCCAGACAAATTCAAGTTGAGATCATGTTGAGGATGTAGGAACAAATCAACTAGCCAAATGTTCGCAGTAGGCACAGCCTCGCCTTTCAGAAACGCGGCCCAAAGATATCCATCAATATGCGATTGAATAAATAGGGGGGGGGGGTAGCCTCCATCTATGTGACACCTTGCAACCCAGGCCGCAGTCAGCACAGCCCTGCCGATCTCCAGCATCCTTCGTCCACACAATCGCACATGGCCCAGATAGGCATCGAGAAGCATGGGCTCCGCAAAGATTGAGCTGGGCTCTGCGTATGCAGACTTACCAGCTAGATGACATGACGTGGCAGGTAGCGCCCTACCAAGCCGCAGATGCTGCTGGGCTGCGGGAATAATGATGGCGCTGCAGTTTGGTGCCAGTTGACCTTCCTGTTCCAACGTTGATCGTTGACTTCGGACAAGCAAAGGAAAGGCGAACGATCACCTGAATGCTGTCATGCCAAATTGACCTGCCAAAGGCCAAAGTGGGCAAATCCAAGCCGACCGTGCTGCTTTGACCGAGTGCGCTCCTTTGAGAAAGACATGCGGTAAAGACCTCGGCGCCTCCAGCGTTTTGTATGTCCCCAGCCCCCCCCCCAAAATGGCTCACCTTAACTGGGTGCAGCGAGCCGAGGTGAGGCTCAAAGCCAGCCAGAGACGGGTGGTGCGGCACAAGGCGCGGTGCCGTCTTTGTCTTTGTGGGATGGTGAGGAGCTGGGTCCGATCCCTGTGCAAAAACTGGGCATGGCCTGCATTCAGACCAAGTGGATGCGTGGTGGGAAGGGAGCAATGGTGGGTATGAGGAGCGGAAGTTGTTCTTTTAGATTGCAGCTGTCGTAACCAAGTTTGCTGAGTATTCTGTGTTGTGTGGGCTGATGCAATCTCTTTGCGTGTAGAAAGACAAGAAGCCAGGCAAGCCATTTGCTGCCTCTTCCAAGTGCTTGTTGGGCATTTTCAGACAACGGCTGCGCAGACATGCCAGGATGAGATCTACCTGCAGTGTAGGAGCTGCTGGGTGGTCAAGTGCTTGTCGCATTTTGTTTTGCGGAACTGCAATGGTCGGATTCGGTTGGTTCTTCCTGTTTGTCAACCACCCAGGCCCCCCCAGATTGATCTAGCGACCATCCCCTCAAAATGGGCCATCACGACTCAGGATTTGAGCGCCCTTCACCCCAGGAGCACCGGCCGAGTGCTGGACGTAGAGGGCACGAAAGTTGCTGCCAGGCAGGGCGGGAGGCTTGGGATGGCCCGCTGCCAAGGTATGCGCTGCCAAGCGCCAAGGGAGGGGGTTGGTGAACAGAACTGTGCAGTGCTGCGGCGGTTGTTCTGGTTTTGATCGGAGGGTGGTGTCGTTTGTCCACAGCCCCTTGAATCGAGAAAGAAAGAAAGAAAAGAAAGAAATAAAGAAAGAATTAAAGAAGGAAGGAAGAAAGAAAGAACGAAAGAAAGACTTCATCGTTCGGACAGTCTATTGTTTGCAGTGTTGCAAGGAGCAATGGTGAATATGAGATAGACCTAGGGTGGCCTTCTCGCAGATCCAAGTTTCAGATGTCTTTCACTTGCACAAGTCTGTTCACAGCAAGATATTTTACAAAAAGAAAACACAGACATGCCCAGGGCCCCACACCCCCCCCATCACTCAGTGCCAGGTTCCAGCACTGCGGGGATTGGCAGACCTTGTCCGCCCGGCCGCCCTGGTGGGGTAGAGGTGTGTTTGGCCGCTTGGGCGCCCAAACCTCAAAGGGTTGGCCGGGGACGCATTGGAAGAGACAAGCCACGTGCCTGTTTAGACAGCCTTGGTTTCACGGCCCCAAAGCGGTTTGCAGTGTTGCCGGTCAAATTTACAACCCCTTGAACCACAAGTTAGCTGTTCAACAGCTGGAGTAAAACACACAATGTAGCATCTGGATGAACAATGATCTTTAAAGCAGAGCTTTGACGTGAGAGTCGCATGGCCAGATGTAAATCCCATCCTGGACTTTCCACCAGAGCACATCTCCTGACTGTATGCTCTCCTCAGCATCCATCTCCAACAATCTTGATCATGGCCCACATTTTTGCAATGGGTCCCGCAACAGGCTTTTTGACCTCGCAGTGATTATGATACCGGAGGTCTTGGTCCTTTCCGACTCTTCGCAACTCTGCGCCTGCAACCTTGGGGGCTTGCTGATTCTGAGTCCCCCGCCGCCCCCCTTCCCCACTTCGCTTGGTGAAAAGCGGTCTGCCGAGATCGAGTGCCAGCCCGCGCCAGGACACCGGGGGAAGGGGCAGACGGGGGGCGGGGGGAGGCTGGGAAGACTATCGCGCTGCGCCCAGCTTCTCGCGGGAGAACTTTTGTTTCTCACATCCCACGGACGTCTAATGCCGGAAGGCAACTGACAAGTTCCAATATTCAGTGGTACCTACCAAGCGCTGCTCTCCTGCAGGAGTTTGCCTTGACAAGCTTCAAGAGGCTCGGCCGGAGCCGGCAACCTCCGAGCAAGCCGTGTGAAGGCTGCAGTGTGCTTTAGTCTTACGGATCTCTTTCAGCTCATCACTGATGTTGATGGGCAGCATAGCAACCCTTCAAGCACCCAGTGGAGGTTCGAGGTATACCTTTGGAATTGTTGGTCACAATCACTACAGCTTCCCAGCTAGCGAGAGAGTGCGACACTTGACATGTTGCTTCTTTCTGCATTTGCTTGCTATGCAGTTTCGCTTCGCCGCGGAAGTCGTTGGCATCTTCCCAGATGACATGCCACTTCCTTTTCCCCCAAACCAACTCATGTTCCTCTCTTCTTCTTTTGTTTTGTGTGTGTGTGAAATCAACCCCCTTTGTTTCTTTATTGAAACACGGGCCCCCGCCGTGCCCGCTTTGTGCGTGGAGCCAGGGGCGGACAATCATCCATAACGACACCGTCCGGCTCAGGGCGGCCAAGCGGCACCGCGCCCATTCTCCGGGGCACGGTTTGGGCTCTGGGCCGAAGATGCGACACCCGGATCTAGAGGGATGTTGCGGGGCGGTTTTTGCGCATTTCTATCCATTTACTCCGCAAGGAAGCCCTCGACTTTGTGCCCTCGGTGGCAAGTGGACCCTGTCACGGGGATGCGCATCAAGGGTTGCCCTACCACCCATCCAAATTCTGGCACACCTTTCGGGGATCACATTGATTGGACTCCTCCTCTTTTGGGATTCCTGAGTTTGCCTGAGCAGGGAGAGGTCGCCATCTGGACCGTTCTTCAATCGTGGTCCAAAACTCGGACGAAGGCGGCCGCCCGTTCCAAGCTCCGCAAAGAGGAGAGGGCACCCCTTCCAGGCAGAGAATTTTTGGAGCGCAATTGCGGGCGTTTTCGGCTCACAGACCTCCAGCACAATTTAGCGTTTGCCAACTCCGATCTCCATTCCCTTTTCGTATGCCGAAGCCCGACGTTCCTTAGCCCGGAGAAGATGTGGGTCCAGAGGACCAGCAGAGAAGCTTTCGCCTTCGCATCGGGGCGCGACAGGTTCGAAGGTCTTTGGCGAACGCGGATGTTTGCGGCGACTTGCCATAGAAATGCGGGGCAGTTGAGGTCAACTTCAGGGGCCATTCGCTCGACAGTTTGCCAACCTTGGAGAATATTCAGACCTTGGAGCAACTTCGCATTGGCGGTGTGCTTAGGAGTTCGCATCTAGCGCCACAGTGGTCAAGTCATACCATCCAAGACCTGGATTCGTGCCACATCCCGATCTTGGGCATTGAACCTCTGTTATTTTTGGATTCTCCATCAGTCATCAGTGGATTGGGCAAAAAGAGCACTGCAAGCGTGCAAAAACATCGCCCTTATATACACCCTCCTTTACCTTTTCCCTCAATTACGCGGTACATGCGGCAAGTTCAAAGGGATGGTTGGAGCACGTCGCCAGCGAGAAATCCTGCCCTAAAGTTGGACCGCAGCTGAGCTGCTGCAGGAGCCTGCTGCTGCTTTGGACCGCCGCCGCGCTGCGCACGGTGAAGCTTGCGAGCCCCGACCACAGGCGTCCCCTTTGGAACCACCGTTGTTGTCGTCATGGTCTCAACAAACAAGCAGACCATAAACAATACATATCAACCAAACAACCAGAAGCAACAAACAACAGCATCAAATCACATCACACATTGTGAACCTTGAAACACCCGCGAACAATACTGTGGGTGTGTGTGTGTGTAGTGTGTGTGTGTGTGTTGTGTATTATAAGAGTTCTTTGAGATTGTTCAAGGTTTCCCGTAAAGGAGCGTGGCTTTGGGGTTTTGGGGGGGGAACGATCGTCTTGGCTTTGGCCCTCAGGCAGATCTTCTTCTTCCGGCACGGGGAGACTGAGCCGGTGGCAGCGCGGTGGCTGGAGCGCGGGGCACGGGGCGCGAAACGCTCGATCTGTCTTCCAAAGATGGGCAAATCGGTCTCAGTTTCAACATCTAAGCCGGGTCCGGCCGAGTTTTGGTCGCTTTTTCCGGGTCCGGCTGAGTTTTGGACGCTTCCTTTTTTAGAAACGGTTAGGGACGAAGCTCGGGGCCAAAACACGGAAGTGGAAGGCGGGACAAAGCGACGCGCAGGACGACACGGGCGTGGCGCAGTGCCAAAGCTTCGCCCGGGATCTGCGGAGCCGGCCGGAGGGGCTGCGGGGCTTTGCATGGGCGGATTGCGCCTTGGACGGCCGCACTGAATCACACGCCATTTAAGAAAGAAGAACAAGGCCGTTTCATGGTGTGCTTTGGTATCACCGAACAAGTGTTATGTCCTGCAAGCATGAGCTGGTTTCTTCTCTTCACCCAAGGGAAACCCTTCACAAGATTCTGCGGTCGGTTTGCCTTGACTTCTCTTGGTTTCTCTTGGTTTAATCCCTGCCCCTTGGCTTTCTTTCCCCCGAAACGTGGTCCCTTGAGGCGTCTTTGCATCGCCCCAGAACTGTGCGGTGCAGAGCGCGCTGTTGGCGCTGAGCCCGCTGCTCTTGGAGCGGAATCTCAGCGTGGTGCTCTTGCCGGACCTCCAGCCCCAGGCTATCAACGAAGCCAGCTCAATGCTGACCCCATATTAGTCAACCCTCGTTTATTAATAGGGGGTGTCCCGGGTTTAGTGGGGGATCATCACTTTTGGAGGGGAACAGCCCCCCTATTCATAAACTGAGGTTGAGTCATATGGGGTCAGCATTAAGCCTTTTTGCTCTTGGCGGAGTGATGTTTCAAGGAGAGTGTGTCAAAACTAGGGATCCTTTTGGTGACGCAGCCAACACAAGCGGTCCTCAGTTTTGAACGGGGAGAGGGTGGGGGAAGGATCTGGATCCTTTCTGCGTGCCTTTCAATTTTGCGGCCTCACAAGTGCCAATTCCGGGGCCAAGGCATCCTTGGCAGTACAGTCTGATGGCTCCTGTTTGTGTGTTCTGGTTGACGTCACAAGAGTTCCACAACTGCGGCTGTGATGAGGAGACAACCAACTTCATGTCTCCAACCGATGCATCCAGGGATGTTCGAGCACCAAGGTCGTTGCGGCAAGGGGTTGGCCATTCTTGGTCGGCGTTCAGTGCAAGGGGGTGCATGGAAAGAGATAGATTGATGCCTCACTCGGCCTGATCCCAGGCATATTTCTAGCTGTATGATCCCCATCCTTTGCAGAGATCCAGTGTTTCAGAACAGAACCAGGCATCATTCAGGGGTGGGCACTGCCACCAGATTCAACATCTAGATGCGTCTATTCGTTCAAGCATCAACTCCTTGAGATTGCCCTCCGAATTGAAAGGCGTTTTCAATCACCTTATTCGGACATATTTACACCATTTGTTTGCACAGGGGTGCCCTCAGCGGTTGTTCAGCGATGCGCAGGTCTTCCCTTGGCGCGTGAAGAATCACCACCCCCAGGGCGAGGAGCGGTCGAGTCGCCAAGTCGCGTCCGAGGATCCTCTGCCGAGTAGGGGACTTGTACCGGGTGCACCCCACAATTCCGCGAGGGTGGTGAGACATGTCGCCTTTTGCAAAGGCGGATTTTGGGTACTTCCTTTTGGCGGGGTCGACGCAGGAGGCGTCACTTCTAACATCGCCCAACTCCAAGTCCAACTCCAATCATATGATGGGGCATGTTTTTGGATTGCAAGTATAGGGGAGCTCTGTCACTCTTCAAGTTGAAGACTGACCAGGTGTGTCCTAGAACATGGATGCCCGAACTTCGTCACCTGCAGCAGAGATCTCTGGCAAAACCGTTTTCTTTCGGTTTCCTTGTCCTTTGGTTTTTGGGTTCGGTTTCCCTTTGCCCCCTCCGTCGCGCGCTCTGTGCGCGAGGACATCCAGCAGGAGGCCATCCGCAAGTTGGCCCAGTCCGCGGTGCCCGAGCCATTGCTGCGGGGCTTGGCCCAGGCGTGAGACCCTCGCCGAGGTTTGCTCGCAGCACGTGGGCCACAAGCAAAGCCCGGGAAGTGAGTATTAGGGACAGTCCCAACAAAAACACCCGCGACATGCTCCAAACTGCAAGTTCGCCTGCTGCAGTATGAGCACCCTTTGGTGGCTATTATCCCATTCAAGTCGGGCTTCATCCATCCGATTCCCCACCGGCTTTGGTCCGTCCACGGCACCTCCGCGGACCGGCCAGGTGCCGGTGGACGCCAGCCGCGCCAAAGGGCGCTGGGCGATCCCGCGCCCGGAGTCCAGCGCGGAGGCCGGGGGAGCCCATACCCCCAGTGAACATCCCAATCCAACCACTAAAATAGGTTCGCAAATGGGTGGCGAATTCACCTACCCCAAAATGGGATCCCATTGGTTTTGACAACCACAGCCATATGTTTACACCGTAGATATGGTTTTTGCGTTTAGACTAGTATTTTGGGAGATAGATACACATGCGCATGCATGGTTTGCTTGCAACAGCCCCTTCATCATACTCCCCCGAACCCCCGAACCCACCACGAACGCTTGAGGCAGATGGGCACAGTCATAAGATGAAGAGAGAGATCTTGACTTTTGAGCACCGTCATTTGTAGCCATCCTTTGGCTGCCGTCAGTTGCGCGCGACATTCTACTGGCAAGGATTTAGCTCTTCGCCAAGCTCTTCATGAGGCACTCTTGACTTCTTCCCCACCACCTCCTTCCACACCTCCTTCCACACCTCCTTCCATACCTTCCCACCACCTCTCATCTGCATCGCCCCCGCCTCCACCGCCACCACCGCCTCCATGTAGGTGCAGGAGCGCATGCTGCGCTTCGTGCAGCAGCTCTACGGGGACTTCGGGCACTGCCGGCGCTCCATCGTGGTGGGCCACTCGCAGAACCTGAAGGCGGCGCTGCTGAAGCTCTGGGCCCACAGCGCCGACGCCAGCTTTGGGCGCCTTGGCGTTGGGGGGGGGGGGGGGTTTGGTTTGGATGGGATGGGGGGTGGGCTGGGAAAAAGGGGGTCCAAGTCTGTGTCCAGTCAAAGGGAGGTTATAAAACAGCGGGCTTTTGGGTCGGTGCAAAGTGAGTTGCGTAGACGCAACTCAGGCGGCACTGTAGGTCCCTGGTATTTCGAGGTAGCTGTACAGGTAGAGTGGGGTGCCTTGGGATAGGGCGTGTCGGACTCGATGGGTCTTAGACCCCGCGTGAGGTACATCCCTTCCTGGTACCAGGGGCCCACAGCTGATTGGCACGGGCTGCTGAATAGCTCCCATTTGTACGAGGACTCGTTGGCCTATGGTAGTATCCTCCAGGCAGGGACGGGAAATGGATGGTGGGTATCGCCTTGGTTGCCCCTCGGTAGAGTGCTGGGTGGCCTTTTTTTCTGTTTACGGTGTTTGGGCATTGTTCGTCTACGGATTGAAGTAAACAAGTCGATGGGTGGTGACCGCATTTGGCAAGATTCTATGTTCCAGAAAGACATTTTAATCCACAGGGTGCCAAGTCACATCCCAGGAAGGCAGGGGGATGTGGTCTGGGTGGGATTGGGAGGCTGGTCTCGCCAAAAGAACCACCTTGAACAATGGCAGAAAAGCAAATAACACATGCACGACCTCCATTTCCAAAGGCAGACTCTATACACCCGTTGTTCTTTGGTTTTTGGGCACTTATATGGCGGTTGGCGCCATTGTTCAACAAGGCTTGGCCTCCTCCATTTGGATGTTTCCCAAAAAGGGACTCCCCCCCCATTTGTGAGTTGTTCTTCCCCGTAAGTCCACACTCCCGTTTGTGAGGCAACCTGAAAATTGTTGGCTTCCAGTTGTGCCCTTCGAACAGCAGGCAGATCTCCGCCGCCCCCCCCCCCCCTCCGCGCTGCCTGGAACCCGCATGGTGTGTTACTACCGTGGTCTCCACACTTGGCTCGGCGGAGGCGTCCCTCGCAGAGGAGCCTGGATTGCTGGAGCCGCGACTTCTCTGGGACTCGCGCTTCTTGGCTTTCATGTAGCAGGTCACTGCAGTCACTGCTTCTCATGTAGACCTCTGGCTAAGACCTCCCGGTTTTTTTTTGCAAAGAGGGTTAGGGAGGGTTCCTTTCTGCCAGCAGCTAGCCCCCTGACCAAATATAACTGGCCATTGCCTTGGCTCCACTCAGATTTTGGAGCAAGCCTTCGAGTTTCCTCCTCTCAGACTCCTCCATCAGCCATGGCTCGCTCCTTGATGCTGACCGCTGCTGTGCTGCTGTGCTCCGGCGCGCTCTTCAGCGCCTTCGTGCCGGTGGCTCGTGCTCCCATGTCTGCCTCGGCCACCCACGCCGGCACGGCGGCAGCTTGAGGGCACCATGAAGGCACTGTGTGGTTGGAGTCCCTTCATGGAGTCCCGGCACAATTGACCTGCAGCGCACTAGCATGGACGTGTGCAAGCACAAGCTCAGGGCCTCATGGAGAAGAACTTTGTGGGCGAGCTTCATGGCACAAGGCCGCCGTGACGGCTAGCACTGTGTTTGACCCTGGCCGGTAAAAGCTGGCAGCCAAGCTGTACCAGCAGGGCGACAGCCACCGCAGAACCGTTCTGGTCGGGGCGGCCAACTCGCTCGCGACCTACCAGAAGATCTACGAAGGTGACGTCACGGCCAGCGTGGTCCCATCCTGGGAACACGCCGCCTGGAGCTGCCGTGCTTTAGGTCGGGCTGGCCCATGCCGGCATGGAACACTCGAACCACGAACGACCTCATCGCCTTCCTGGGCAAGGTCCGCTGCACGCTGAGGGGGTTCGCCCCTGAGGGCACCGTGCGATAAGGGCAGGACATTTCATGGTGGACTGGTCTGCGGGCCGTCTCATCAATGAAGTCTTCTACTCATGGAGTCCCTGACCAGCTACGGGCTCGTGATCGCCCTGGTGCTGCTGTTCGCCAACCCTCTCATCAAGTGAGCTCCAGAAGTTGCAGGATTTCGGGAAGGCCCCAGTTTTTTCCATGCGGATCAAACCTCAAGGTCCAAGAAGAGCGCAGATCAAGGAAAAGGAAAGTGGCGGTCAAGCACGACTCAGGGGATCGCCAAGATGTCTCCTTGCGTTACTCAAGGGCAACTCACTTCAACTTGGTAATGAAAAGGCGATTTCTGGCATCTCAGGGTGGTTGCAGAATTGGTTTCAACAAAAGGAGGGGGATGCGACCGCTCCGACCACAAGCCCTGCCTCACGTGTTTGCTCCCAGGCCAGGCCTGACTAACGTACCCAACCTCGGTTTGAATTACAATCTCTCCCGAGAACTGAGCAACACGGAGTTGGGCAAAATCATTTACCTCCCATCAATCTCCCTCTTGAGAAGGGTATCCAGGAAGGGTGTCCTTGACAATCTTCCGAGAACTGTTTTGAGGGCGTCAACTCGAGAGGGATGGCCCGTCCGGCCGCCCAAATCGCATGCCTCGAGGCCTCGAGAGCTGGGCCATCCGCTTCGGTCGCTGCGGCGGCAGCGGGGTGGCCCTCAACGCCCGCGGGGAGGCGCGCGGCGGTGGGCCAGTGGGGCACTTGGGACGCCCCCGAAAGTTTGCGTTGTCGCGCAAGTCCGTGGAGAATGTCAGTTGTGTTTTCTTTGAAAGATTTGGAGTGAGAAGTAGTTGCCATGTACAGTTAAGGACAGATAGGTCAGATTCTTTGATTGCCGCGAGTTTGTTTGGAATGCCGGGGTTTTTCGGAATGCAACAGCAACAGCTTGGCAGGAGACGGGCGACTTCTGCGCCTGCCCGTACGGGCAGTGCATAGGGTCTGGCTGTGGCTTGGCCTGGTGACTGTGCCAGGGGAAGGGGGTTTTGCCACGAACGGGTCGTCAGGCTAGTATGAGGAAGTGGGGAGGTTTGGTCGGCGCAGTAGACATTGTAAAACGAGGAAGGGCTTTTGCCAGGCAAGCAAAGGCTTCTCAAAAGAGTCAGTCGCGGCACTTGGTGAAGAGGCGCAATCAAGTTTTAGGGGGATAAACATCGGGAGGCCTTGCGAAGAACTACCTTCCAGCTACACACAGGCTACTTGCCGCTACCTGCCGAGCAGATTCCCGCCTCAAGCGCGCGCCTGGCGCTGAGGTGGTGAGAACATGGCGGCCTGGCCCTTCCCGCACAGCCAGAACGTCTTCCACAGCTCCTGCAAAGGCCCGGCACTTCGGGGTACCCATCAGCAAGACCTTTCGGAAGATGACTTTCCCTTTGCAGGGGGCGTTTCTTTGGGCTTCTTTGGTGTTCAACGGCTTGGAAGGCTCTCAAAAAAAAACAAAAAACAAAAGCTGTGCCAGATTCCAGTTAGAACCTAGCAGCTCAAGCACACAAGGTGCCTGTGTTTCTTCTCAACCTGCCAAGTGTCCCAAGCCGAGGTAGGGTCAACACCCCACCAAAGAGAAGTTGAAACTCACTCAAAACTGGCAACCAGCTGTTCAAGGCATCCCAGCCAGTTTCATTGGCGTCGCCGCTGGGACGGAGGGAGGCCCCGTTCCCTGGACGCAGGCTGCAGCTGCGGGGAGGCAAGGCACCGGTGCAAGGCGCGAAGTGGGTAGGCTCTGAAGCGCTCCCAAAAATGAAAGCCCGTTTGGGAAGACAACTCTATGGCTGTGGTTGTCAAAACCAGTGGGATCCCATTTTGGGGTAGGTGAATTCGCCAACCATTTTAGAACCTATTTTAGTGGGGAGTGGGATGTTCACTGGGGGTACGGGATTTTGACCCACGGCCATATTCCTGAGAGGGGTTTGTGTACGTTACATGGTGGGAAGATAGGATCTGGTTTGCAATCATCTGTCTAGAGCATTGGCCTTCCTTGAATTTGGTGCGGAATAGCTTCTAAGTCGTTTTCTGAGGGAGGGTTGATTTTGAGGCCCGAAATGAAAGGACGTCGAATGGCATTTCACACATCTTCAGGGTCCTACTTTAAAGGGTCGTTGTCCACATCACCTTGCGTGCCAATTGAAAGTGAGTTCCCTGGCATAGCGCCCAAACAAGACGAGGTGTGAAGGAAACACCGTCCAAAACGCAAAACGCCGAGGAGCTCACTTGTTCTGCCCTGCCAGCCGTTGTTTCCGCCGCTTTCGTCGTGGGCCCCCCAGGAGTTTGCCACTGCGGAGCAGTGCGTCCAGGGAGTCAGCTCCTTGAAGCAAATTGAGGACGTGTCGTCCGAAGCGAAAGCTGTGGCGAAAAGGTTGCGAATCCAACACGGCCCTTTCCACCGCGATGGTTGCGGTGTTGTGTGCTGCCTTGGGCTAAGGGAGATTTGAAGAGGGCGGTGATGTTTAAGTATGTGCCATGGTCAACAGACCTGCGTGACTGGGGGGTCGAATGGGTCGTCAACCCTGCAGTCGGGAATTCAGACAATCAAGGGAAGCCGAACCATGACCCATACAAAGAGTTTTAATCATGGCACACAGGAGGTTGGGTCAACATTTGCTGTAGTCTAAGGTCAATGCAGGGGCCATCGAGAACTCGCAAACAACTAAACTGGCAACACCCAAATCTAGGGGAGACACACTCATTTCGGGCGACTTTTGCCTGCTTCGACTGGGGCTCACACGTTTCGACTCTCCGACCTCATGGAGAGGCGCAGTAATTCGCCGCGAGACCCCGAGAGACCCGAGGCTTCACGGGCCACCCCTGCGAGTGGTGCGAGGTGCACGGGACCTGCCGCGCCACCGGCATCGACGTGAGCTGCCCCGACACCTGCTGCATGTCTCAGGCGAGGGCTGATCTTTTTTTGGCGCTCAGATGGCAGAAGCCGAGGGAGTATGGGTGAGAAATCTCGCCTTGTCATCTTGACGATTGATCCAAAAACCTTCCCCCTTCCCCTTTATTGGCCCTGTTGCACAACCTGAGCAGCGCCCAGAACCCCCCGTGCTTCAATCAGGATACTGGTAAAGCCTACACGAACCTTTCTGGCCATCTTGGAACCAAAAAGCCTTCCCTCGGGTTTCGCCCCGCTTTCTCCTCGCCTTACGCCTGGCAGGTGGAAGGCTCCCGGTGCCTCAGCCGCCTGGGCGCCTCCAGCTGCCCGCTCCGCGCCGCCGGCCTCGCGGCAAAGGGCGCGCCCGTCGGCTTCGACGCCATGGCCGCGCGGCGGCTGGCGGAAGCCTCCGCCAGCGGAGGCCGAGTTGGAGGAGTTTTGGCGTCGGAACGTGGAGCCCTTGACAAAGGGTTTTTTGTCCGTAGCCAATTTGAACGCCCCAGATTTTTGGACATCATTTGGAAGGAAAAACAAGGGTTCGGTGAATGTATGGTTTGGGCAAGATGCATCCAAATGGTGTCCCCACGGTCCCATATGAAAAATCACACCTTTGAGCCCACCGAGGGTTTTTTGGTTGCCTTTAAACAAATTTTGAACCCCCCCAAAATTTTCGACAGCACTTTGGAAGAGAAGGGTGCACTGAATCTATGGACCAGGATCCAACATTGATATCAAACACTTGCCTTTGAAACACCACCCCCCCAGGTTTCGACATCATTTTGAAGGAAAGACACGGGTTCACTAAAACCAAACTAAAATGAAGGAAGGATTTTTCCGGAGCACAGGGCCACGCCCCAACACCCCGCAGGCCGAGTGACGGCTGGGGCCCCGGCGCTGGGCGTGGTGGCGGCGCTCACGGCGCCCTGCGCCGTGCAAGGCGGCGGCTGGGCGCCGGAGGTGCAGGCGAGTTCCCCGTGGTCCGTTTGGCTGTGGGTCAAAACCAATGGTACCCCTGGTGAACATCAAAATAGGTGGTTCATGGGTGTTCCGCCCCAAAATGGAGGCGTAGGTGATAGTTGTGATGCATGGCCATTTGGGGCGATCCAAAAACATGCTGGGGGGGGGGAACCCTGCAACAGCTTCGGTTTTCCTTTGGTTTCCCTGCAAACCCGGCACAAAAACAGGGGCACAGCCTCAAGAAAGACACATACGCACACAAACACACAGTTGGCGTTCTCGAGTAGCCTCAAGGATGATTGCTGACAAGGGCATGGCGGATATTCAATTTTCCTACCAAAACCCGAGGAGTTTGTACATTTTCCATGGCTTTCCCTTTCCGAGGAAAACCAAAAGGATACCATTCAAAATCGGGTCCCCGAATTTGGCGGGCCGAGGGCTGACGGGAGAGTTTCACGAGGCCCGGTTGATCTTTCCCCTCGATTTGGTCAGCCTCACTTTGGCGGTTTCTTCGAGCGAGGGGAAGGAATGCAAAGAGCGCAGATGGCTCCCCTCTGACAGGCCTGGAATAGCAGCCTGGTCTTCCCCTTCGAAGGCCGGGCTCCGGGCTTGCGGGCTCCAGGTCAGTCCGTCAGAATTTCTCCCTGGCGAAGTTACGTGTCGCCGAGTGGCCGGGTTGAGTGAGTTGGGTATACTTGAAAGGGGACGGATGTCCAAGGTGGAGCAACGTGTGAGGGGTCAGCACTCCTTGTGTAAAGCCACAGCCATTCAGGTGTATTTCTGGTTGAGAGGCTCAGAGACAAGAGGGCTTCCCCATTTGGGTTGGCCTTTTGATTTGAGCAAAGCGAATCGTATCCTGAACTTGTGAAAGGGATGCTCTGGGAGCTTCCACGTCAGCCGGGGGATGGTTTCCACCCCGCAACTCCCCGCAAGCCACTGTGAAAATGTGGCAACACTCGGGAGGTTCCCCCGACTTTGGGAGAACGGCTCAAAAACCAATCTTCAAACTCCAAGTTGCCTCAGGCCAGCCCCCAAATGGACGTGGCTCAAAATTAAAGAACTAGAGAAACACATGTGTTAGTCTTTGGGTTCCATTTACCAAGGTTCAAACATGTTGGTCCGTGTTTTTTTTTGGAGCCCTGGCCAAGTGGCCCCAGGCGATAGCTTCCGTCAGGCGAGCGCCGCGGCGTGGGCGTGCACGCGACCCTCTGGGCCCAGCTGCAGCCGCGGCTCGCGGAGCTCCGGGCGCGGCTCGAGCAGAAGCCGCGGCCCGTCTTCCTCACAGGCGGCAAGCTGGGGAAGGGTAGGGGAAGGGTGGGGTGCGGTGGGGGGGGTGCGAACCGGAAGTGGGTTGATGTGGCTTCTTATGTTTTCTCCCCTTAAAAAAAGAACAACAACTAGAAAGCAAGACATATTTGGAGGTGTCAAGAAATTTCTTGGGCTCATCGATGTAGGCCGCTTGAGGGAGTCGGTTGTCTTCACTTCTCGCAAGTGCTGAGAGAAATAAACAAAGATTCGTGCACCCCAATCACGGTTTTTTGTTTCAGTGTCCTGGTAAAATCGCCCAACCACTGAGGAAAGGATCTGCAGCTCGCACGGTGGGTTCGTCCCTGAACCCCTATCAGACCACTCATTTTACTGGCTGTTCCCAAGCATGCCACACATATTTATTCTATATCTGCACGTTCTGGAAAAAACAACTTGGCATGTCCCAACTATGGATTTCACCAGCTGTGTTCACGCGCGGAGCCTCAAGTGAAGAGCCAAAGAAAAGGTCATCATGAGTATCCCTGGCAAGTGGTTCGTAAGCCCGAATCACCCTGCCTTTGTGCAAGATGCGCTGAGAGGCCTCAGCTATTGCGTTGGTTGCTCATGTTCACAGGTGTTCGAAAAAGTCAGGGAATGTTGACCCCGAATTAATTCACCCGTCCTATAGGTGCGGGGCGTTCCTTTCAATAGTGAGGACTCCCCACTAAACCAGGGACTCCCCCCTATGAATCCGAAATTGCCCTTATGTTTGAAATGGATGGAGTTCACAGGTATTGAATTCAAGTCTATCCTTTGCCCGTGCCATTTGCTTCTTTTCTAGAAGGACACCTCGGCTCATTGACCCGCAGCTTTCCTTTTGGGCCATGGCGATCGTCATGGCCATCGGAGGGGAGGAGGTGATGACAGCGGAGCAGTTGGCAGAGTCCCAGCTTCTTTCTGTTGGTTGTGTTTCCCTTTGAAAGGAATCAAGACAAAGGAGAGAACTATCTTTTCCGAGCCAGAAAGGAAAAGAGAGACACAACGGTCTTTTCAGTGGGTTTCTCTGTGCGGAAGCTGACAAAGAAGGGGGCAGGAAAGCTCTTTGTGGCTGGGTTTCCCTCTTGAGTCAAGCAACTCAACCGGGAGCCAAGCTCGTGAGGAGTGGTTCGAAGCTCAGTCCGATCGGAGAGGCGCAAGTTTTCTGGATGAGCTGAGACGGGCAGTGGCCGTACGGCTGGGGCTGCCCAATTTCCGGCAGCTGAAAGTGATGGCCGAGGATGCCGTCTTGGAACCTGCAAGCAGCTGCTTCGTTTGCATAAGGCGACTCTGATTTGTTGTTGTTTTTGCAGGGACTGCTGGTGAACTGGCCAGCGTTTTGAGGGCTTTTTCGCGTCGCCCGAAAAGGGCAAATGGAAGGCTGGGACACTCCGGGGCCTTTTTCCGTCATCGTGCGACAGTATGGCGCGGATGCCGATGGCACAAGACTTTGCGCGGCGGCCGAGCGCGGCGACCTGACTGAGCTCGTGAGATTCTTGGAGCAGCCGCTGGACCCGGCGGTTGCGAACCTGCAGGGGCGGACGCCTCTCCATTTGGCGGCCCGCGAGGGCCACGAGGAAGCTGTGCGATGCTTGTTGGCAGCTGGCGCTGACCAAGACCGCGCCGACGCTAATGGCGGCACCCCACTGCATTTCGCTGCCGAGGAGGGCCACGATGCGGTGGTGGGGTGCTTGTTGGCAGCAGGCGCTGACATGGAAAAGGCCAACCGATGCGGGCACACTCCTCTGCATTACGCTGCTGGTACTGGCCACCCCGATGTCTTGCTGCGCTTGCTGGGTGCTGGGGCTGACAAGGACAAGGCCGTGGGCGACTTTTGTGTCACCCTCGTTTTACACTGTTTTCCTTTACTAGGTCCGCACCAACCAACAACTAAAAAGGTGTTGGGTTTTGCATGGCACACCCAGCAAAAGTTCGAGGTCGACTCTGGCGGGCTCACACCGTTGCATGGCGCTGCTTTGGGCGGCTTTGAGGAAGTTGCTCGCTCTTTGCTGCAGGCTGGCGCTGACAAAGACAGAGCCGCGGATGATGGATACACGGCTCTGCACTTTGCCGCTGAGTCTGGGCACCTGGAAGTCGTGTCTCTCTTGCTGAAAGCTTGCGCTGACATGGACAGGGCAGATGAGGCTGGGTGCACGCCTTTGCATGTTGCAGCTGAGAATGCCGAGGACGAAGTGGTGCGTTGTTTGCTGGTGGCGCGCGCTGACGCGGACAGGACCAGCAGTGATGGGTGCACGCCTTTGCATTATGCAGTCACTGGCAAAAGGTTCAAAGACCAACGTGTTGCGCGTTGCTTGCTGGAGTTTGGCGCTGACGCGGACAAGGCCGATGCCAATGGTGTCACACCTCGACAGAGGGCTGCACAGATGGGCCATCCGCTCATCGCACGTTTGCTGAAGATCCGGCTAGTTCAGTCCAAAAGTGCCAGCCCGCCGCAGGATGTGGAGACAATCCCGTAAAGATCTGAGTTGCCCAGCATGGACCCTAGGGATGACAAGTTGGGAACAAATCACCGGGTCAAAGAAAGTCAAAAGCTGCTCTTTGGGAAAGTGAGGGTAGGCTGTGAGGGGCAATTTGATGGAAGGTTTGGAGCAGTCGCAGCCTTTGGTGGTTTTGACACCAAGAAAGCAAGCCCCCTGACCTCTTGCATCTATTGGGGTGTGTTCTTTTTGTTTGATTGTTGTTCCCAACAGCATCTCTGATGCTTGGGTTCTGCTTTAAACCAAAAGGAGATCGTTTAAACGAGGGGTGTTTGAGCACGTTCAAACAGAGGCCAATGGCGAGGTCGGTGGGCTTCAAGGGCCGTTTTGGTCGTCAACCAAAGGGAGCCGCACTCAACATTGGAACAACCGGTGACTGCCAACTCTCACCTTTAGCCAAATCGCGCGCCGGTTTTGGGCCACGCGAAAACCAACACATGCCATAATTACAGGAGCCATATCTCAGTAGTTGCCAACATGGAGGCTGGCTGGGGGGTCACAGCACGTCGTGCGCGTTTCAGGTTTGTTTTTCAACCAGGCCAGAACAAGAAACTACCCTGCTTTTCTGGAGGGGGGGGAAGGAGGGGGTTGGGCTATGTGTCAAAACAACAATCAATCCACCCACCTCCTCGAACATAAAACAGACAGGGGAGGGCTTGGCTCCTTCTCTCCACCACCCTGTTTTTTTGGGGGGGAGGGGGAAGGCGAAGGGGAAAAGGTTCAACCCACTCACCTCCCCCAACAGAAAACAGAAAACAGAAAACAGAAAACCACCACCTCCCCCCAAACAGGTTTCCCTTAAGGGAAAGGGAGGGGTGTGCCCGGCCTCACCGGCAGGCCACGGCCTGGGCGGCGGCCTGGCCACCCTGGCGGCGCTGGCGCTGGAGGCCGCGGGCGTGGAGCTGGCGGGGCTGGCGACCTTCGGGGCGCCCAGGGTGGGGAACCTGGCCTTCGCGGCTCGGCGCGGGGGGTTCGCGCGCCGGGGGGGGGGGGGGGCGCGCCGGAGGGGGTTGGAGATTTCTTGGGTTGCGGTGCGTGGGACGGGAGGGAAGTGGAAGGGAAGGGAAGTGGAGGTCAGTGGAGCCAAGAGGGTGGCTTAAGTAGATTGGCGCTTTTTTTGGGAGGATTTGAGGGGAGTCATGATTTTGGAGGATTTTTTTGAGTGAGTGCTGATTTCCTCTTTTGTAGGATTTGAGGGGAGTTTCCCTTGAGTGAGTGATGTTGAAGGGGCAGCTTGATGCATGTGTCAGGCAGCGCGCTTAGTGCATTGGTAGAAAGTCCAAAGGGATGCGCCTCATGGAAGAGGGGCAGGCATAAGTTCATAAAGGCGATCTTGTGAAGGGACTCCACGCATGCAATTGTAGCTGTCACATGACGTAGCTTTTTTTAGTTCCATACGGGTTTTGGCAAAACAGCAATCAGTTGGTTGAAGCGGCCTCTCGCCATCAACACAGCAGTTGGATGAAGAGACAGAAGCATTGCCATCAATCCGATTCATGATACTTGGACTGCAGCTGACAGATGAGAAGCTTCTGTGCAGTGCTTTGCTTCTTTTCGGGGCTGGGACAGAATAGCGGCTGCATACCCGTGTAAATCCACCGGAAATGGTTGACACAAATGTTAACTGACATTTGGTGAGGAGTGCGGCACCACCAAACTAGTTTCGAAACACCTGATTGAGGAAAGCATGTGCTTAGCCTTTGCCGGGCAGGTCTACAGCCTTCATCCTACCAAAGTTACCAAAGGAGACTCACAAAGTAGCTTCACACGAATTATCATGCAACCTGGTCATATGTATAGATGCAATATCTAGTGAGCAACCGGCAGCTATATCCACAGTTCCCTTTGCTTCCTTTTGGTTGCCTTTTCTATCCTGCACTCTGCGCCTTATCTGAACCAAAAGCCCCACATTTTTGGATCCCCAGCCATTCTCCCTCGCCCCTCCTGGGGGGAAACCTCCTGCCACCTCCCAGGCGGTGGCGTTGCGGAGGGCGCTCGAAGGGAAGCCGCTGTGGCGGGTCACGGTGCGCCGGGATCCGGTGGTGCAGGTGCCGGCGCGGGAGCTGGGCTTTTGGCGCCCTGGCGTGCTGGGACGTCCAGGTGGTCCAGCGCCCAAAACGGAAGACCCACCTTGAGATGCCTTTAGTTTCGCCTTTGGTTTTAATGCCACCAAAAGAGGGTGTGCCCCCAAAAAAGAGACCCATGTGGCATAAACAGGCGCATGGATGCCTTTGTCTCTTTGTTTGAACGCAGGACACAGGGTTTGAAATGGAAGTGAAGAATGGGATACAGCTCAAGAAACACAGCAGGCAGACGGTAGAGGGCTGTCTAAGCGACGCAGGGCGTTTTAGTTGGTTCCCAATCGTTTTTTTTTTTTTTGCCAGGCTGGTGGTCTTGCATCCACGCATGTGGGTCCATAGGGCTGGAAGCAGGGGCTTGCCCTTGCCTCGGTGGTCAAAAAGAAGTCACATACATCTCCCAGCAGGTCGGCGCGGTGTCCAGCTGGTTCCCCGCTCGCCTCTGTGAGGCACGTGGCGGGGGAAGTTTTCTTCCCGGACGCCGCAAGCTCGAGCTACGTCTTGGACGACGGGTCCGGCGAGGACCCCAAAGGTGCCGGCCAATATGACGCTGGGCGAACAGGTGGAGCGTGACTTTCGTTCAGGGTCCCCTTTTTCCGGAATGTTGAAACGGGAGGCCAAAGGCAAAACAGGGCCTTTTTTTTCTTTTTCGGGGGGGCTTCCTTTGAGGGGAAAGCATCCCGTGGAAAACAGCAAAACCAGAAAGACCAACCACAAAAAAGCGGAGGCTCAACTCTGTTCTCATGAACATTGGCTCATCCGGCCATTTCCGCGGCAACGCGTGTCTTTCGGGCCAAGGAAGGCGCGCCGCTGAAGTTCATTGCGGACCACCTCAGTTACATGAACGCGGCTTGAGACATTTTGGGCGGTCGGTTGGGTGCCGGGTGTTCGGTGCAGAAGGGCAGCTGGCAGCTTCTTGCCGTTGGATGCCCCAATGGTTTCTTGTCACTTTGGGGGGACGGGTGCCTGCCAGTGGCTCAGTGAGTCAGTGATTTATTGAATGGGCTAGTGGATACTTCTTTGTTGCGTATGCAGTTGGTGATAGCCAATTATTTAGCCAGTCACTCACTTAGTTAATTGGCTGACTTGTTTGGTAGGTTGTTTCTTGCAAAGTTGCTATGAACGAATACAGCACTACTTGGAAAGCAACTACCAGGAGGTGATTCGATCATTCACTTACTCGGTACTAATTCATCACTTGGCAAGTGGGTTAGTTGGTCTGTCAAGCCAATTCTTTGGCGGTTCACTGTACTTGGTTTGTCTCAAAGTATGGGAACTTCCCACACGGGGGGTGGTTTCCCTTTGGTTTCCCTTCTGCAAAACAGTGACATCAGTGACTTCGAGCTAGAGTCTTGGAGTGTGTTTGACCATGTGGCACATGGAGCCCAAAACAGATAATCCCCCAGAGCCTCCCCAAACCATAGATCGTTTGCTTGGCCTAAGTTTACTTGCAGGGCAGTTCCAGGTCAGAAGATCCCCTCTCCCGGCTGGCATGGACGGTCATCAACCTCTTAGCTCTTTTGTTCAGCCGATGCAAAGGTTTCTATCAGCTTTTTTTTTTAAACCATGACTCATGACCCACATGGGGAGCTTCTTGGCATCAGTGGCTTCAAGTCCCCGTCGTGCTCCCTCCGCCCTGAGGTGTCGATGCCCTGCGCGGCTTTGCCGGAGCCGGCGGTGTGGAAAAAGAGCACGGACCTGGCGGCGGCGGTGGTGGCGGCTCGTTGCTTCACTTGGTCCTGGGGCTTTTGAGCCGAAAGCGCCTGGAGAAAGCCACATAGTCCCATAGGCTCCCGGAAAAAACAATCAAACACTGCCTTTTCTGAAGCGGCCCGTTGGGGCACTTAGAACCGAACTCCAGCGGAGAACGCCGCGGCTTTCCAAGCTGGTCCCCGGCTGCCACTCGCCTCGACCAGACCGGGTCGGCCCGAGGAGACCCGGAGCCCGGACGTCGTCTTCCGGTACCAGGGCGCGCCCTTCGAGGCGGCCAACGTGGGCCGAAACGTGGCCTTCCAAGGCGCCGGGGCGGGGACGGGCGCGCGGGGGAAGGCGCTCGGCTGCTGCGGCAACCCCTTGGTTCAACGGAGACCTTGAACATCTGCAAGCAAGCATCTTTTTTTTAAGAATGTTCAAGCAGGTCGGCCCCATCCTGGTGGAGAGTTATGGCCTCAGCGATGTGGGAAGGTCTAGCTCGCTGGAGTTGAACGTTGAGGTTTGCTAAGGGGCTTTTCTGCGGCGAGCCTTTGGTTGTCCACGGGGTTCGACGTTTGCATCCTGAACATAGCCCCAACGTGGATCGGCAAGCTACTGCCGACACCTCGGGGCAAGAGACTTGCCCCTGGTTTTTGCTGAGCAAGGGCCCAACAACTCTTCTAAGATAGGAACCCAGAGGGAGCGAGAGGGCTGGACCATGAGTTCAGTGCCTTCTTGCATGTTTCTGTATAAGGGGGATCACATGTTGTATTTGTGGCACTCACTAAGAGGAGCTTCTCACCAAGCTGCGATATCGTTGAGGCATCTGCTTGGCATATGTACAATCACACATGTCTATGAGGAAGCATGGGTTACTGGACAAATTTCAGTCTTGCTCGGGAACAAGTATTGGGTGGGTGGTCAGTTGGTCAGCTGTAAGGGTGAAGCGCAACCACTTGGACTTAGGGTTATTTTTGAGAAATGCAAAGGTGTTTAGGGCCAGTTCTGGGCTGCCCGAAAAAAACTATGACTGGTTGTTTGTTTAAACCCATGCAACGAATGCAACCTATGCAGCTCCAGGCAACTTACAAGTTTCTCTGCAGTCGCATTGTGAAGACACAGGGGGCCCAATCGACATTTTCCTGGGACCCGCCCATGGGAAAACATTTGTTGCAACTCACAAGGATTATTTTGGTTTACTGCTCTTGGCATGCTGTTTGCGTCTTTTTCAGTTCTGCTCGTTTCAAGTGGACCGCAAACAGCAACCCATTTTGTGCTAAGATCGTTTGCCCAGGTGCCCGTCTTTTTTGAAGCGCCTCCACTTGCAAGCCACCCGACTCCCGCAGGGCTGAACACCAAGACGAAGCAGTGGCTGCATTTCCTGGCTGGTCAGTCCCCAGATCAGCTGGTGCTCCTGCCCCTCGACTTGTCTCGGCTCGATTTGATGTGGGTTATGAGGGGGGAGGCGGTGGTTTTGGAAGGTTGAACGCACCGCCTTTAAGGCCTTTCTCCCATTTTGTTTGCTTCTTGCCCCCCCCCCCCCCCCCTCATTTTTATCCGGCGGGTTCTTCTGGGGCTTGATTTGTTTTTGGGCAAGTGGGTCCGGACAGAATATTTCCTTCAGAGGCTTGTTGAGTAAATCTAGAGTTGCTACTCCAAGAGTACAGTTTGAGTGTTTCCCTCGAAAAGGGAGCCACTTGTTGGCGGCTTTCCATTTGCCTCCCCTTGAAGCCAGCCCAAAAAGGCAGGCCGGGTTCGGTGTTGGACCAGGGAGCGAAGCCGCACGTTTGGAGAGCCCATGGGTTAACGCCAAAGTGAGGGACGCAAGGCCTGGGCTGGATCAAACCACTGGCTATCTGAGGACAGATGCCAACGACGTCATCTTTGGCGGATGCGACCAGAAGCAGCTCATTCGCAACTACGAGGCGCGCTCGCAATCGGGCGCGTTCGGCATTCAGGTCCGTTCAACGAGCCAAGAGAGAGACAAACACGGAGGCGCGGCGTAGCCGTAGCTTAGAAAAGGGATGGAGAAAGCCAGACCTCCCACAGTTCCAGGTGAAAGCCCCCGGCTCGAAGTTCCAGTGCCAGAAAACGGACCAGCGTTGATCTCGAGGGACACGCCTGCTCTTTTTTGTTTTGCCGCAGGCCGTGGCGACGCTGGGGGGCGCGCCGGTGGTCATGGGTGCGGAGCTGGGCTCGCGCCCGGAGCGGCTCATGGCCAACTTCTCGGCGCTGGAGGGGAATGGGGGGTGGGGGTTCCATGTGGAGGGGATGGGTTTGATTGGTTACTGCCCGGCAAATGAAGGGAAAGAAGCCCAAACAAGAGGCTATGCTCCAAGAGAGTGGAGTTTCCTCTGGGTGTTTTCTGGGTTCCGTGAGACTTGAAAGGGAAAGCACACTGGAGACTTGGATGTTCGCAATTCGGGCAGAGGCAGGCTCCTGTTCATATCTTGCCACTCCTTGAGGGTATCCTGGCGCCGAGTTTTCGATCTGAATCAATTGTCGTTCCAATGCGGCCAGATCAAGTTTCCACTGGCTAGTGATATGGCTGTGGGTCAAAACAATGGTGCCATTTTGGGGCTAGGTGCACCATCTATTTAGTCTATTTTAGTGGGGATTGGGATGTTCACTGGGGGTACGGGCTTTTGACTTATGGCCATATGTCGAAGGGAGCAAAAGCAGAGGTCCGAGTTGGAGACACCGAGATCAACCCACCGCCCGGCCGCCATCCCCACCCACGAGACCTCAGGAGTCCCGGCGGCAGCGCGTGCTGCGTGCCTTCGCCGTGCCGGCCGACGGCTACGCCGCGCGCGCGGACTGCACGGCGAGCTTCGGGCCTTGCTCGAACCCGCCGGCGTATCAGTTCCTGAACAGCGGGTTCTACATGGGCCCCGCCAAGGTGGGGGTGGAGGGCAGGGTCACTGGCTCCCTTGGGCACTTTTTCAGTTGACTTTGCCTTGTCAGCTTGGGTGAGAAGTGTTCTGGCCGAGGCACTCCACTGGGCCCCAAACAACCTTTGCCATTCTGAAGAGCTGTTTGTGGCATCCTCGTTTCAGGACAGGTGGTCCTTTTAGCCTATCTGTTTGGGCCCCCACCAAAACGTGTCTTGAAGGTATGCTGAGTTTTCCCACAATTTCTCTTCGAGGTATGCCAACCTTGTCACTTCAGGATGTGAAGGAAGTCCTGGAAGCGGCGCTGGACTACGAGTGCGACCAGGACGGCGCTGCGGAGTACATGTTGCCGCCCGGCAGATTTTCGCTGAAGAAAGAGTGCGGCTCCGAGACGTCATCCCAAACTGCTCCACCCTCGCCCCCTTCCCCACCCCAAGAATCTGCCAAGGGGCATGCGACAAGATTCGCCGCTAAATTTAGCGTCGTGCTGTCAAGAGGTTGCATCCGGACAAAGTGACCCTGGACTATGCCGGTGCTTTGGTGCTGAACCTGCACAACTTTCATCAGGATGAGAAGTTGCTGAAGGTCGAGACGGTGAACAAGCAGCCCGGCAGCAAAGCCATTGCCAGGCCCTCGCATACGGGTGTGTGTCTTTTTGGAGGGTGCCTAATTTTGGTGGTTTCAGAGGGACACCGAAAGGAAACCACCATTTTGGGGGGCCTTTTTTCAGGGTACCCCATTTTTGTGGTTTTGGGGGCTCCCCTAAAAATAGACGCCCCCCCTGTTCTTTTCTTGGTGTTTGTCAGATCGCTGTCATGGCCGGTAGCATATCTCATCCGGTTTCGCGCGCCATTTCCAGGCAGCTCCGCTTGCACAACCAGGTGACCGGCATGACGCAGTGCTTCGTCCATGGGAACGGCAACGGCAAGGCCCCCGCGTCGCCTTGGGTTCTGGCCGCCTTGTTATGAGAAACCCACACAAGTCTCTTTAAAGCAACAGTTCCAACATGACAACATCAAAATGTTTGGACCACGCTTTGGAGTTGATATCTGAACGGCGCGCCGACCCTCCCGAAGAATATACCGAGTCGCTCCCTGCAGGGCCATGGAGGGACCTTTTGGCGAGTTCCATAGGAAGTTCTTCTGCGGGGTGTGGCTCAGACCCCCCAGGAGTTCGTCAGCCGCCTCGCGGCGCGATGGCTGCCGGCACTGGCCTGGGACGAACCTCGGCCGGAGGCGGAGGCCCATGCAGGAAGAAGAAGAACAACCGGCCAGGTGTTAAAAAACTCGCGCATCCTTATCTTTGCATGGACGAAATCGATTTCGCACCGCCGAAGGAGCCCTAGGATGATGATTCCCCTGTAAATACCGACCAACAATGGTTTCCCATGGTTTCCAAGTGGTGCAGGATTTCGTCCATCCGCAGTATGTTTGTGTTGAGAAGATGTCCCTTCTGTGCCTCGCTTCTTCGAAGGAAATCCCGCAAAGAGCCGAGGTGTGGGGTGCATGGTTTTCCAGCTGGGGGTGAAAGATTTCTTTTTGGGGGAGGTTTTTTGTCCTTTGAACTTTGGCGTGTGCAGTTTATATGGTTGGTAGTATCTTGATGGCTGAACCACTTTACCTTGGATTAATCCTAGGTGGTTCAAAATTCCATTTCTCCTGGGTGCTGCAATCAAAGCCTCCAAAGGTTGACCACACCGAAATGAGTCTGAATGAGGTTGTGTTGTTTCGGCGGAATGGTTCTGTGTGACAGTGGTGGTCCTAGCGGACAGTGCGGTGGTTCTCATAGGGAGATCATGAGGGATTCGCCCCAAATGCTTTGCGTAGCGAACGAGCAAAGTTCTGTGCTTGGCTCATGCGATAGTGTGTGTGTGTGTGTGTGAGTTGACTTGCAGCCAAATGGCCATGCGACCAAGTCTTCCTGTGACTAAAAGGAGATGCGTGGTGCATCGTGCATTATGTGAATGGCTTGGTTGCGCCGCTTCCTAGTCACCAACAGATACACACACACAGTCACCGCCTGAGAGAGCATGTTGGTTCGTCCATTGCTGCGTGCTGTGTGTCGCTAAGTCGGTGCGAATATTTTTGTCGTGTTCGAGAGAGCTGGCCAGCCCAATCTGACCACCGGCTCGTTGGGCTGGGCGCTTTCTGCTGGCCCAGGACCGGGATCCGCACCTGCAGGCAGTGCCGGAATGCGCGACCGCGCCCCTGGTGGATGATGCGCCTCGACCGCAGCAAGCGATTCTGGGCTCATCCCAGCCGATTCCACTGTCTTCGAGCCGATTCCATTGGCTTTTTATCCAGCTGCGGATCCTAGCCCATTTCACCCCTGTGGCTGTTGTTGTTTTGAGCCATTTTTCCTCGAGCTTCTTCACGGGTGCCACCTCCGAGGCAGCGTTGCGGCTCGGGTCGAGGCCCTTCCGCCCGCCGCGAACAGGCGCGAAGATGGTGTCGTTGAAACATCAAACCGATGGGCGGAGGGCCTGGCGTGTGGAACTAGTTGCTTCAGGCCTATGAATCGGGAGTCGACACCAGGCGCGGCCAACCTTTGTCCTTTGTTTGACCACCTGTGGAAGGATCGCCTCGCTGAGGTGTTCGCTTTCACGGGTTTCCCGGCAGGGCGGTGGTGCTTTCAAGGGCTCAGGGGCTGCGGTGTTTTTCTTTCGCCTTGTGCCGATTTGGTTGGAGGGCTCCATTTGATTTTCCATCCTCTGGGTTTCGAAAGCTCACAGTCCTGGTCGCCCGAGTTTCTCCACTCGGGCACGGGCTCGGTTTCATGGACAGATGAGTCATCGCGGCATGTCCGGATCGAGCTGAACTCCTACGGGCGTTGAACGGATACACAGCACCATGTCATCGCTACTATCCTCATATGGCAGCCACAAGCCCACCATTTTCCACCATGAAGAGCAGCCCCTCTGAGTTTGTCAGTTTGTCCCTTCCTTTTGGCCTCCCCCGGCCCTCCCCACATCCAACGACCCCAGGGAAGACGACGCCCTGGGAGCCGACCGCTCCGCCGAAACCTCAGCGCCAGGGGAGCTGCTCCGCGCCTGCCACGGCTCCGGCTCCAAGGCCCTGGAGGTGGTGGTGCCCTGCCAGGCGCGGCGGAGCGAGCGAGAGCGACGCCCGAGAAGCGCGTTGGGTAGTCGGGTAACACTCCAAAATTGGGCCGGCGCTGGTTGGAGCTAACCCCCAAAATGGGTCGCCCCCTGGTACATGGAGAGGGCTAGAACCGGTGGTTTTTCCGGTGGTTTCGTTTTTGACCCATGGCCATGTGCTTTTGTACCAACTCCCTGCCACAAATGCTGCTGTGGATGGTTGCGAAATCCATTTCGCATCGGACGGTGCGGACGTGTCAGGTTTTGAAGGCCCGATTTCTGCGGGTTGTTTTGTTTCGATGTTGTGAGAGCAGCCTGGAATGATTCGATTCCCCAACACAAATACCAAGAACCAGTGGTTTCAACAGCTTCATTTGGTGGTGGCAAGTTTGGGAGGGAACAGGAATCATGCTGGCCCAGCGCGGTGGAGTGTGTGGGTTTGGGCGCCCGCTTTCTGTGCATAGAGCGAGAGGTCCCAAGCATCGTTCCGCCCACCTCAAATGGGCCGAAGTTGCCCACCTTCGACCTGCCTGGTTTCAAATGTTCCCCCCCCCCCCCGCACAGAAGGGAGGTGATTGAGTTCTCCCTTTAGTTTTGGAGATGGGCTTCACTAATTGGCCCTGAATCAATACACTTTTTTTGGTTGGGGGGGGAAAAGCTGAGGTCGCTGAAGCCGAACTTAACTTCTAGCCAAACCGGGAAGGATCAGACAGCCCAGGCGAACGGCTGCGGCCTGCGGGCGGAGGTGCCCTGGATCCTGCGGGTGATGCTCGGCGCCTCGACATCCACGAATCAGACGTTTTACAAGCGGCCCGCGACAAAGGGACATTTGGGTAGGTCCGTGTTTGCGGGTACCAAACCAAGAGGCCCCCTCTTTCCTTTCCTTTTGGGGGGGTCCCCTAAAAAAACCCATCTTTTTTGTGACCAGAACCGAATTTATTTGGGGGGAAGGGCCCTCCGCCCGGCCCAGGCTTCTCCGACATCCGCGCGTCCTGCCTGGAGGATTTGCTGCTTGGACCGCAGAAGGTCCTTTGCTGGTGGTCCGATTTCTTCTTACGCTGACGGGGGATGTCCGTTTGACAGTTTCAAAACCACCAGCAGCCAGCTTCAACCATGATCAATGCCACTCATATGCGGGGGATGTCTGAAAACTAGTCAGATTTTTCAGGCTGGACGCACCAAGCAGAGTCCAACGGCTGTGGGCACATACCCATACGAGCCATGGGCGATATTCTTCAAGGCAACGGGGAAAATCGAGCGAGGATAGCAGGAGTTGAGCGGAATTGCGGGAGGTGCCACGGATCCAAAAACCCGGATCAAGGTGGGGGGGTCTGTGACACTCACTCTCGGTGCTTACAGTTTTTGTTGCAGGAACAGGCTGTCCAAATCAAGCCACTCATTATGGCATCCGATGCTCAACCAACCTCAATTTGGTCTCCAACCATTTGCACGCACGCACCTAGCTTACACACACACACACCAAATCGAATATATGGGATCATCCTTTGAGCAGTTCATGTAAGCGACTTTTTGACTACTTGCGGGGTTCCTTTCAGACACAAATTCATACAGGGCTTTGACGACAACACATCCACAGAACATGTAAACCAAGTTGAGGTTGTCAAAAAAGGCCCTCCAGAGGACGAAGGCCTAGAAGGCCTAACACTCACTTGTGGCATAGAACAACTCGTAGGAAACATGTACATGTCGGAACAGACCGCTTGAGCGCCGGCCTAAACCTAGGCATGTCAATCACAAGACTGTCATGACATGACAACATCTACGCCCTGACATGACAGGCCTCAGGAAAACGTTTCTTTTGCACACTTGGGCCAAAGGCAAGGATCGACCCTGCTTTTGAGCAATGCATTACCCCTAGCGACCGCTTGAAACTTTGAGGAATGGCCAGGAGGGGAAATAATTTTTCTTAAGGAAGCATTCCGTCTTTGCAGCCAGAAACATGCGTAGGCTTTGGACAGCCCAACCTTTGCCCTTTGCTACACAAGCAAGCCATTGTCCATTGACAGGGCGAGGGGAAATGTGTGTTTTGTAAGGAGAGACAACCAGCGCCAGCGCCTCTTGGTAAATTGCACCGACACTCGTTGGGTAAGGAGCGACCTTGCCCAGGTACAACTCCAGCGAGAAAGGCGGCCCAGGCGTGCCTCAGAAAGACAAGTTGCGTGTGCCCAACTTCACTCAGATGGGTGGGGGTGTTGGGGTGCCGCTCGGCCTGGTTGCTTGGAAGCCTTGCACATGTGGGTGTTTTCTAAAGTGAAGATCCCTTGCCTGATGGTGCCATCTGGGCGTGTCCGCATCATCGGGCACCTAAACGAAGGGTTTGGTTGCCTTTGGGTCCGCTTGGTACTCGTACCATGCCTGTTTCAGGGGGTCCGAAGCTGTCCTTGTGAGACGAGACGCTTAAAGAAACCATTTGAACGGAAAATATATCGGTTGTTCAGGGAGCGAAGTGTGAATGCTTCAGCTTTATCTTCATGTGGGTAAATGAACTCTTTGGGACTGGAAAGTGACGTCCTCGCTTGGTTCGTGGCCGGCACTTGTTTTTTGGCAGGAACTTTCACGAAATCAGACTTCTGGATGGGTTCCTAGTTTTGTCACACATTCGTCGGGGAAGATGTGGTGTTTCGTCGTTCCAGTTGTAGTGCTGTTTGTTTGGGACATGTATTTTTCCCCATTGAAGGAGACAGACATCATGCGTCGCAGGTTCTTGCGGCTTCACGTTTTGGCTACAAGCACAAGAATCATCTTAGCCTTTCTGTGCGGCAACCGCCGCGCAATTTTGAAAAGCATCCCGACCAACGAGCACGAGTTTGGACCTATGTCCTGTAGATATTCCTACACCTAGCTTCCTAGTGTCTTGGTGGGGATTTGAAACAACTTGCTCTTTTTGCAGCCCATGGGGCTCGACCCCAAATGGTTTTGTCTGGCTTCCTTTTGGCTTCCCGTTAGAAGCCTCCAACTGAGCGGCATGAGCCAAACCACAAGAACCCGCATTGATGACGTGCATGTGTTGTGCTTAGGGGTACCTCTTAGGTTGGTGTTCTCGGGGTCTCTGACGGGAACGCTGCGCAATTTGGGGAGTCGCTGTTCGCCCGAGGTGCGGCCGGGCCAGGTGCTGGTACTCACCAGCCGGAAGTATCAGATGGGCCTGGACGTGGCGCGCGCCGCCAACGTGCCGCGCCCCGGCGAGGCGGTAAAGATGGCGATGTCCGGTCGCGGATCGAGCGGTGGGGAGTGGGGGGGGTGGGGTGCATGGTGATGTCGAGTTTATGAGGGGGTTCAACTTTTTGGGTGTTCCTTCTTTGGGCGTTTCAAAGGAGGGGCGGGCGTGTCCCTTGTTTGGGCTGGGTTTTTTGGATCCGTCAGCGCCAGCGAAAATAATTTTTGGGTGAAGCTCCGAGGCTGTCGCAGCTGGTGCTGGTGCACATCGCGGACGAAACCAAGGCAGACCAGGCGGCGTGGGCGCAGCGCTACCTCAGCTGGCGCCGGGGGTCCCGGCTCGGACTCTTCACCGCGCGGCCCCGTTTTCCCCCTGGCTTTGTGTTTCTTTTCGTTTTTTGTTTTTTTTTGGGGAGGTTTGGGGGGTGGTCCAGGTGGTCCCTTGAAGAAGATTGTTTCAAGACAGGTGCCTTGGTTCCGCGTGGCCCGTCGAACAACGATGGACCTGTTGCTTCATCAGTTTTTTTGAGCTCCATGCTGCTTTCTTTTTGGAAAGCCAGCAACATAAGAGGATATCGTTCGAAGGAGGCATACCCGCTGGATTTTGAGCCCTTGCGATTAGGTGTAGGATTGATAAGACTAGTTGGTGGCTTGGCGCTTTGAACCCCAGCGCCTCTTGATTTAACAAAGGGAACGTATTGGTCCCCCCCGCCCGAGCTCTAATCCGCCTCGCAGTTCACAAAAGCAGCCCGTGAATTTCTTGGGTTGGAGCACGGCGGTCCGTTTTCAGTCGCAAAGGTAGGTAGACTCAGGGTGCTTCGAGATTTGCAATTCTTCAAAGCTATTCGGATTTCTTGCTTGATGCTCAACACCCCTTGAGACGGAGGGGTCCTGAACATAAGCACGCTTGTGATCATTCCGCATCAGAAGTCCTGACCACCCCGGATGAATCCATTTTGGTCTATTCAGAGGCTGCACCCCCCCCCCTCCGCCCCCCCAAAGTGGTCCGAATCTCCAACATGTTTTGAAAAGGAGCCAAGCCCCCCTACAAATCCACCTTTGGACCTATCGCGATTGTTGGAGGCATCCTACTGGCGGCTGCAATGCTTGTAGCTGAGCCTCCCCTGTTATTTGTTTCCCAGGCGTCCTTTGCAGGAGAAGGGCCAAAACTTGAAGGCCCAAGGAGTGGGTTTCTGAATCCAGCGATCGATGCCAAGGCACGGGAACGGGTACCAATCCTCCGCTTTCCAACCGGGGCCAAGGCTTTGTCTTTCGGAACTACTGGGTGGACGATCAGCAGGGCTCCTTTGAGAGGCTCTTGGAGCAGGCACGGCTTGCAAGACACACCATGCACGCAGTGAGCTTGACTATGGCACAGATGGGTGGGAGCTTTTTGAGGGTACCCTTTTTGGGGCGGAATCTCAAGAGGAAGCCACAATCTTGGGGACAAACCAAAGCAGATGGATAGATCATTCAGCGCATCGCTCTGTGGAATTTGCGAAAGAAGTGCCACTGCCTCAGCTGGTGTCCCAAATGATGACCTTTGATTTTCTGGGGTGGGGACCAAGTTGAAGTTGTCCATTTCAATAATTCAGTCAGATGGTAATTTACAAGGTTTTTCCAGGGTTTCTAGTGTTTACCGGGGTTGCTGCGGGACCAAATTACTGAGAAACAGACACCTGGCTGCATCCTGCCAAAGCTGGGTCATTGAAGTTAGAAGCAGCAGAGGAATCTGCAGATGCCAAGGCCCGCCCCCGTTTTCGAGCTCCCCTGCAAAATGAACAGACAAACATCCAAGAGGGTGTCCGATCACCGATGTCTCATGCGGACGCCCCAAAACTGGTGGTTTTCCTTGGGTTCCTCTATGCCACGCAACGCTCCGTCCATTTGCAGATTTCGATCGCTTTTGGATCAATCAGAATGACCTCACTCAGGCGCCAATCTGTTTTGACTTTCTCAGAGGCTTCTACACAAATCTGGGCTGTTATGGATTATTTTTGACCCCTTCTGTGGGCTTCCTCTTAAAAAGAAGTAACAAAAAACAACAGAAAACCACCTCCCCAGCCGAGCAGCTGAACTTTCATTGTCTGAATGCCCCAGGATCGTTTGGCCTACTTTCCCTTGGGCCCCACGCCGCAACTGCTGAGCTTGCCTCGTGACCGGTTGGCGTCCCAGAGGCAAGCTGGCCTGCTCGCCCGAGCTGGGAGTGAGATGGGTTTGTCTCAACATAGAGAAAACACCATGTGAGCAGCACCCAACCCCCCTGCAATGGCCATGTTAGTACGCATCGCGTGGTTACCCGCCCGCAACACAACTTGGACGTGCGGAGTTTGGAAGCTGCGCATTCCCTTGTGTGGACCAACCAAGTGTTGAAGCATGGCTCGAAACAGCTGCGTCATCACATCAGCATTCATGGCTCCCAGATTGTGCTTAGCATGTCCCGCACTGGAGAACCGTTTGGGTCGACTGAGTGTGACCAAGAACGTGAACGCTGCCATTTTGGAGAACCCGAACACCACCCTTTGGAGAACCCTCTCAGTCCACTGGGTGTTCCTGTGAACGTGAACGTTAGCTTGTTGGATTTGGTGTTTACCCTGTGTTTACCACTTGCACCTACCCAATATTTTTGAGTAGGTGGTTCTACTAACTGGCCTTATATGGATTAAAGTAAGGCCTGTGCAAGCATCTTTTACCACTATAGAACCAATAGTTGATCAAGTGGCTTTGATTTGGCTTTCCTTTGAAACCGCAAGGGTACAAACAAGTTGGCCCCGATTCGAGTCTGTTCAGTCAAGGGTTGAAGCTTTCAGGCCAGGCTTCCCGTCCATGTTAGTATTTCTTGGTATGGGGGCAAACTGTCTCACGATTTATGTGTCGGCCTTCTCCCGTGTTCAAGATTGCATCAAACGCCAGAGAAGGGTCTAGAGTTTGGTGAGGGAAGAAAGGTATTTGGCCAGAAGAAGAGGATGAAGTGCAGGACTGGCTCATGTTCGGGTCGAAGGGCAAAGAGGCCGATGGTTGAACGGTTGAAACGCGGTCGTGAGAGCGTTGGCCGGGGGGGAGGAGGGGTGATGGTTGACCCCTTTGCTTGCACACGTCTCTGCTAGCCCACAAAGTTGTCGCGGGCTGTTCGGGTTGAAACCTCTTGGGACACGGGCTCACTTTTTTCCTCCGATCTCAGGGGTGTTGCCCCAACTTCGATCAACACAGTGCCTACACGGAAACAGCAAGCAGTGGTTCCTACGTTCCTGCCGTGACATAGCCTGCCTTCACCCAGTTGGTAGAGCATGCAACTATTCCCTTTCGGCATTAGGCCACCCCAGCGGCCAAGCATTTGACGCCAGCACCCCCACCCAAAAGGCATAGCACTTGAGCACATCCTTGAATGGAAAGCCAACATTTGCTTTCCTTTGGGTGTCCTTTCAAGCCTCGCTGGGGCCCTGATTCAAACTTAGAACTTCAAGCACCAGCACTGGTTTGTCACTCATGTGCAGTTACATATGCACATTGCAATATCTACACATTCGGACCTACCACAGACGTATGATTACACATCTCTCTTTTCATACACACACACATACACGCAATAGCAAGGCAGATACAATAACATGCCTTCACGCACTCATTTTACGTTCGCGCACACCCACACTTATTTGCAAAAACAAAAACACACATAAAACACATGAACACTCCCTAGGTGTCCTCACCTCGAACGAGTTCCTCGAGACGTTTTTTTGCGTTTCGCGAGGTCGGTGCGGGTCTTCTTCAGCGGCCGCGCGGGCAACGGCGCGGAGCGCCTGGGCCGCCTGGGCGCGGCGCAGCGGCGCCTGGGCGCGAAGCTCCTGGTGCAGACCACCACGGAGCGGAAGTACGGCTGCCCCTCGGGCGGACTTTTTTTTGGTGGATGGAGTTATTTAAGGGCTGCCGCCCAGTGCCGCCGACCCCTGGATTTAGTTGTGGTTTTGGAGCCACAAAAAACAGTGCCCTTGGTTTTGGTTTCTTTGGTTTCTTTTGGGTGAAATGTTAGTGGCCCCAAAAGGCTAATCTTGTATTTCAGGGTTTTGTTTGCATTTTTGAAGACACGAACAGGGACTGTGACTTGCTGGGCAACAAATGATCCCTGTCATGATCACTATCATCGTAGCATCCTCTGCATTACCAAGGGTGCCTAGCGATGATCATGACTACGCATCACTATCGAAACGGCACCTCGCCTCAGATGCCATTTGTGTCATTGAGATTTGGAGTCCTGCCTTGATGATAATCATCACTACGCATCATTCGCAGCATCTGTGGCAATCATGAGGATAATCATCACTACGCATCCCCAGCATCTCCAGCAGCGATGATCATAATCATGACTACGCATCACTGTCGAAACGGCACCTCGCCTCAGATGCCATTTGGGTCATTGAGATTTGGAGTCCTGCCTTGATGATAATCATCACTACGCATCATTCGCAAGAAATGAGAAGAGCGATGACATCATAATAAGGATGATCATGATGATGATTATGATGATAACTATCATCGTAACACCCTTTGCATCACCAGTACTGCCTAATAAGAGATGATAATGACCGTGATGATAATGATGACAAGGATGAGGACTGTGATGATAACTATCATCGTAGCATCCTCGGCATCACCAGTGCCGGCTACTAAGAGACGATGATGACCATGATGATTACGATGACAAAGATGAGGGCTGTGATGATATTTATCATCGTAGCATCCTCGGCATCATCGGTGCCGACTAACAAGAGATGATGATGACCATGATGATAGTGATGATAAGGATGAGGACTGCGATGAATCATGATGATGATTATGCATCGTAACACCCTTTGCATCACCAGTGAGAGATGATGATGACATCCTCGGCATCACCAGTGCCGGCTAATAAGAGATGATAATAACCATGATGATAGTGATGATAAGGATGAGGACTGTGATGATAAGTATCGTCGTAGCATCCTCTGCATTGCCAATGGGGTCTAACGTTACTTTTGAAATGCATATAAGAATAAGAACAAGAATGAGATGATGATGATCATCATGATGATGATGAGAAGAGCGATGACATCATAGTCAGGATGATCATGATGATGATTATGATGATAACTATCATCGTAACACCCTTTGCATCACCAGTGCTGCCTAATAAGAGATGATGATGATGACATCCTCGGCATCACCAGTGCCGGCAATTAAGAGATGATAATAACCATGAAGAGAGTGATGATAAGGATGAGGACTGTGATGATAACTATCGTAGCACCCTCTGCATTGCCAATGGGGTCTAACGTTACTTTTGAAATGCAAAAAAGAATAAGAACAAGAATGAGATGATGATGATCATAATGATGATGATGAGAAGAGCGACACTTGAAACGTATACAAAAAAAGATAAGGACGATGACGAAGAAGATGATGATGATGAACACCAACTGACATGGTAATCATCATGACGCATCCTCAGCATCACCAGCAGTCATCATGATAATCATGTCCGCGCATCTTCTGCATCTCAAATCGGGTCTAACGGGACACTTGAAATACAAAAAAGATAAGGACGATGACGAAGAAGATGATGATGATAAGCACCGTGATGATGCTGATGATGATGATGATGAACTGACATGATAATCATCATGACGCATCCTCAGCATCACCAGCAGTCATCATGATAATCATGTCCACGCATCTTCTGCATCTCGAATCGGGTCTAACGGGACACTAAAAAAAGATAAGGACGATGACGAAGAAGATGATGATGATGAGCACCGTGATGATGCTGCTGATGATGATGATGATGAACTGACATGATAATCATCATGACGCATCCTCAGCATCACCAGCAGTCATCATGATAATCATGTCCGCGCATCTTCTGCATCTCAAATCGGGTCTAACGGGACACTTGAAACGTATATAAAAAAAGATAAGGACGATGACGAAGAAGATGATGATGAGCACCGTGATGATGATGATGATGATGATGATGAACTGACATGATAATCATCATGACGCATCCTCAGCATCACCAGCAGTCATCATGATAATCATGTCCGCGCATCTTCTGCATCTCAAATCGGGTCTAACGGGACACTTGAAACGTATATAAAAAAAAGATAAGGACGATGACGAAGAAGATGATGATGATAAGCACCGTGATGATGCTGATGATGATGATGATGAACTGACATGATAATCATCATGACGCATCCTCAGCATCACCAGCAGTCATCATGATAATCATGTCCGCGCATCTTCTGCATCTCAAATCGGGTCTAACGGGACACTTGAAACGTATATAAAAAAAGATAAGGACGATGACGATGATGAAGATGATGCTGATGATGATGATGATGAACTGACATGATAATCATCATGACGCATCCTCAGCATCACCAGCAGTCATCATGATAATCATGTCCGCGCATCTTCTGCATCTCAAATCGGGCCTAACGGGACACTTGAAACGTACATAAAAAAGATAAGGACGATGACGAAGAAGCTGATGATGATGAGCACCGTGATGATGATGATGAACCAAGAGACGATGATCCTCGGCATCACCAGTGCCAGCAGATGATGATGACCATGATGATAATGATGACAAGGATGAGCATCGTAGCATCCTCGGCATCACCAGCGCCGGCTAGTAAGAGATGATGATGACCTGATGCTAGTGATGATAAGGATGAGGACTGTGATGATAACTATCGTTGTAGCATCCTCTGCATTGCCAATGGTGTCTAACGTAGCATCCTCGGCATCACCAGGGCGGCCCGAGACTTACCCCACGGGCCCAGTATCCCTAGCACTCCTTGTGCCGAAAAGTAAGGGGCTCATTTTTTGAGATAGCGCCCCCTGCGCCTAAATGAGTCCAATGTGTGGCAGCTACAATGGGCCAGAGCGGGGCGTTAAGCCCCAATCTTCAGGGGCCGGGGGGGGCAGTCATCATGATCATCATGTCCACGCAGCTTTTGCATGTCAAACCCTCTCTAACGCCACAATTGAAACGTATATCAAAAAATAAGGATGATGACGAGGATGATGATGTTGAAGGATATAGAAATGATGATGATGATGTTGACGATAAGAATGATGAAGGATCATATCGATGATGATGATGATGATGGGCATCCGTATGATGCCAGTAGTCATATGCTTGCCTCAAAGATTAATCCATGCGCTTGTACTGCAACCACCCTTCCCGTGCGCCTCCCCCTTTGAGGAGAAGGGGTCGGCGGATAACTTTTTCTTTTTGGTGGAGTTTTTTTGTTTCTTCTCCGTGGATGGATTTTTGTTTGTTTGTTGGTTTCCGTGAGCCTGAAGGAACCATCCATTTTGTTTCTGGGGGCCCCCATGTCCATTTGAAGCCATGCCAATAGGGGATACATGCCCAAACAAAGCAAGAAACATGGAAGCGCATACATCTAGGGGTACTTTCCAACCATTCTTTCCAGGAATCCTTCTTTCTAGAAAACCATCAGAAGCCCAGGGAAACCGCTGGTGATTTGAAAGAGCGATGGTTGAAAGAATGGAATCGGAATCAACCCCTAGAACGACAAGGTTCTCAAGACCCTCTTTTGAGGTTCTCAAACCACCAACACGCGGGATTCTGTGTATTGCAAAGTGGGGTTTTGGGATGCTAAAAGTGGGGTTCTCATGTTTTTCTTGTTTGAGCAATGCATTGCTCAAAGCGGGTTTTGGTAATTTTGCTTCCTGACCAGAGAGTGGGTACATTTTGAGGGTTTCTCAAAATTACTAAGGAGCTGAACAAATGAAAACCCGCATCGTTGCAGGTACGTGCAGGTTTACATGGGGCCTGACGTTAGGGGGTCCTGGAAGACAGGTTTCCTTTTAAAGGGACCCCCCAAATGTCAGGTTCCATGTTGATTGTTGGGAGGGCATCAACTCCCCAGTTGAGGGACAGATCTAAGTTACTCCACCACCTTTTTGCGGGTCAAAAGGTAGCCCTCGCTGCTTTACCCAGGTTTTTCGGGGGAATCTTTCAATTCGGGTCCCTTCTGTCATATTTTATTTGCTTAATATTCTTTGCCCAGTGCCCACTTGGGTGTCTTCTTTTTTTTGGAGGACCCCCCCAAAAAAAACAAACAATGATAAATAACTTGCCATTTGGGTTTCCCCTCATCTCCCACCAAAAGAGGGTCGCAAAGGGTTCGCTTTGGTTTCTTTCAACATGCGCGCCGCGCCACAGCGGGAGCGATTCGACCCAGCCAAAGTGCGTAGAGTGTGGTCACCTTGCGCTCGCAGAACGCGCGCCGCGCCACAACAAGAGCGACTCGACCCACCCCACAAACAAGACACACCCATCTGCCTCGCCAAAACGCTTGTCGCCACCTCCGAAGGCTACGACTCGGAGTACGTGCAGCGGCTCACGGACAGCGCCATGTGTCTGCAGATCCCCGGAAACAGCGTGGAGTGCTTCCGCCTCTACGAGTCCCTGGAGGCGGCGGGCGACGGGCGACGACCTGAGGTCGGATTCCTTGCTTCGGGTGTGGGTTGCCTAAGGCAAAAGAAGGAGCTTCGGGGTTGGGCATTTTGATTGTGTTCGGACCCAAAGGTTTGTGGGGGGGGGGGGGGGTTGCAAGCAATGTTGCAAGCGTTGCCTCTTGTTGGCTGTCCCTTAAACCAACCCTTTGTGGTTACCCTTAAGACAAGGCTGAACGGCTACTACCGACATCATCACGCAGCCTCAATAATCTGATGACGATGGCAACTGATGGCACTGACAGCTGATGGCAACTGATGTCACTTTCAGAATCTGCGCCAATAAATGGGCGGGTTGGGCGCGGCCCCAGGGAACGCACAGCTTGAAAGAAGGTGGCTTGGCCCGACTCTGCACATCGGCATGTGCGGGCCGAACAGGACCCTCAGGAGGCGAGGGGATCCGGATCCCTTGTTGGTGAGACCAGTGGGCCGAACACCTAAATGGACGGGGGGCTTGGCGTCGCCTCTGAGCCGCAGGCCGGCTGCGTGCCGGTGGTGGTGCGCGCCTGGAGCTCCCCGAATGGAAGCGACCCCCTGGTGAAGCTGCAGGCGAGTGAGACGAAAGGAAGATTGTACTTTTTCCAGACTTCCGGTGGTGTTATTTTTACGTGTTTCGACTTGAGAGAGAAAGAAGACAATTGACAATTCATGGTGGGACAAACTCCGAGAAACCCTGGCGGCGTTTTGGCTTTTCTCACCTGCTTCGACTTGGGAGGGGGGGAATGCCAATTGAAAATTCACGGTGGGACGACAGTTTTCTTCTGAAAGGGACCGGTATTGAACCCACAAACAAGCAAGTGCGCAGACTCTCGTGGCCATCGGAAAAAGTGGGGCAGTCGGAACTTCTAGAGGGACTCCCAGAGCACAACAGGGGCATTGGCAAAAAGCAAAGCACGGTCCCAGTTAGGTTCCATGTTGGTTTCATGTTGGCGGGTGCGAGGGTACGACTTGTAGCACCTGTGGATAATGGTGCCACCCTTGAATATTTGCTATGTGAATGGCAGTTAAGCCGGGTACAATCCCCTCCTCTAGCCTCGCTCTCAAAGGCGGACCCTCTGCTCTTCTTTGGCCACCCATATCTTAATTCTTCTGTTGGATCACAAGGCAGATGTGAACGGCACGTACTGGCCACTGCACGGTCCAGTTCCGGCTTTGGCAAGCGGAGGGAGCACCAAAAACCGAGGTGATTGCTCCATGGAACCCTGAAGAGCGGGAAGTTCTGCAACAGTTCCACGGGATTTTTGGCTCGCAGTACAAATCTTGAATTCTGTGAATGGACCGAATCAGCACCAGTTGGGATGGATGAGCCCAGCGAATGGAACAAGCCACCTGCCAACCGTTGCCTGGCACGCCAAACGAACCCGTAGTGACTGGACTCCGTGTAAGGTGGACGGGCAGCCCCCGCCCTTTTTGTACGTGGACCGTCCCGAGGATTTGCCGCAGGCGCCGTTGATTTTTCCCAAACCCCTTTCAAAGGAAACCAACAAGAGGGCGGTTTCAAACACGGGGCACATGTGAAAGAAGTGCGGTTTCCCCTTCGGTCTCCCCCCCCCCCCCGAAAGAATCGGACGTCCTCAAATCATCCAACACAGGGGAGCTTGTCACGGGGACTGCAGGACTACTGCAAAAAAGGGGGAGTTCCAAACGAGTTTCAACATTCGTGTCCCGCAAAATGGGAGGAGCAAAAAGACGTGTTTTGTCAGCTTCCTTTTTCCCTTTGAGTAGTTTCCCGGAGTTTCAAGGCCTTCGTTCAGAAAGTGATGCGCGGCTCCAGGGCAGTTTTCCCATCAGCCCCCAGTCACTCACATCTGTCCAATCAAGTTGAACGTGTGGGCCGTGACATGCCGAACTCGTGCAACGTTTGACCGATTTCCAGTACCTGGCAGAAGTCCTTAGATTTTGCTTTGTGGGTGGGTTAGCATCAGCTGTTGGGCCAAAGTTCAGTGAGTTTGGTTTGGAGGGGAAATATAGGAACCCTGTCGCTCTTCAAGTTGAACCAGCCAAGTGTGTCCCAAAAGTGGACTCGGCCCCCAAGGCGGTTGTGTTCCACCTTTCAGTTTCCCCTTGAATCGCCACCCACCACGGCTTTCTTTTTTCCTCCTGCTTTTCCTTTGTCGCCTTGTGGTTTCCTTTAAAGCGCCACCCCCAAAACGGGGGGACCCAGCCGCCAGTCCCCCCGGTTCGAGGTGCTGCAGCTGACGCCTGCGGAGCTGGACTTGGCGCAGGCCAGGGCCGGCGCGTGGTGGGCCAAGGCCAAGCGCCGCTTCCGCGAGGTCTTCGCCCACCAGCTGAGGCGTGGCTCGCTCGCTCGCTCGAAGTCGGCCGAGTTGGCCGACTTTTCCTCGTCGTCGTTGGCGTTGTCGGTCGTGTTTTTTTGCTCGCGCGCGCACACGGGAAAGGGGGGGCGGGGGGGAAGAATTGGGCCACAAGGTTTCGTTTCTCGGTTGATCGCCTGACGACTTTTCGCTCGACGCCGCCGGCCTTTTGGTCGTGTCGTCATGTCGTCGTCTTTTTGCGAGTGCGGGGGGGGGGGAGCTACTTGAGAAAAGAGGAGCCCTTTTCGGGATCTCTTCGGTGTCATGTTGTGAGGCACCATTGGTGGGACCCCTCCCTGCGGGCCACCTTAAGATAAGAAGCTTTGTTCAGATGGTTCTCCATCAACGACAGTTTCATGGCCATGTATCCATTTCCCCCCCCCCCCCGCCCCGATCCTCCTTTCGGGCCGGGAGGGGAGCTTTGCGTGCTACCTGGGCCCTCGGCAGGCCACCGGAGGCGCCAACGGGCATCCTGAGTTGGAGGCCGGGCACTCGCATCGCTGCCCAACAACCGCAACGGGAAACAATGACACCGGGAATGGCCCAAAAAATCAAAGGCTGGCCACACCTATATGGGTGTGGGTTAAAGTTAAACAGTCCACTTGCCAGGGTTCCAGTTTGGTACCGCTTGTTTGAGCCGCAGCCATATATGTGTATTTAAGGCTTCTATTTGGACAGTATGTCGCGGATTGGAAGGCCAAGTCTTTGACCCCACCGTTTTCCACGGATTGGAGCCTTCAGACCCGACAGGCAGGCACTGGCCGCGGGTTCGGAGATCTGGGCCTTCGGGGCGTTGTATCTGCTGCTGGTGCTGTGCCTCACCAACTTGCGGCCATCGGAGGTCGAATCGGTCGGGCGGGTGTGTGGTGGTGTCAACCCCGAGCTCTTGGGATCCTTTTGGGGCTGGATTTTGATTAAGCGGAACATCAAACTGATCAGCTGGACAGGGCCCTGGTTTTGGCAGAGACCCGCGTCGTTTTGTGTGGGCAAGTGTGTGTCACAGGGCACTCTTGACATCATTGAATCTTGGTATACAGGGCCGCCTGATCCTGGCAACCGCATATAATGTATTCATTGCTGTCTGAATGTACCAGGACATATGCCTAGAAATTCTTTATGCATGAATTCATAGTGGAGGGGTAGCATTATGTATTCCATGTTCCATGAAATGCCATATGCCCAAGCGCCAGCAAGGCCCATCGGACAAAACCCAATCGATGGAACAAACACATCAGCCAGTGAGCAAGTCAGAAATCTCAGTCCATGGGACCAAAACCGCCACCGCCGACCAAGTCGGAGGTGGAGCCGGAGGCGCCGGGCATGCTCCTTGAGGTGGAGGTGGTGAGGCGCCACCCGTGAATGTGTGTGTGTGTGTTGTTTGGTGTGTTTTCTCGAGGGTTTTGTTATGATCCTCTTCGAATTGAAGATGAGGATCAGCTTGCCTAGAAAAAGAAGCGGCGAGGAAGCCCGCCATTTTGTTGGGCCCCATTTTGATACCCGACTTAGGGATCCCGGGTCCCGGTCGACTCCTTAGGGAAGACTAAAATAGACCAAACCTGGAGGTGTGTTTGGTTGGTGTGTTTGTGTGGTGATACTCACAAGTTGTTATGTGAGTCAGCCAAGGCAAAGGCATTTGGCCACCCTCCCTGAGTCTTCAAGTCTTGCGGTGCAGGGTTGGCAGCATCGCCCTCATCGTCATGGGCCACTTTTGGACGATGCGCATGGAATTGCCTCTGCTGCAGCACGGGCAAAACCACGTGTGGAACCTGGTGACGCTTGGCTTAAACCGGGGGGCGTCCAGAAGTCCCGGACCTATGGTCGATCCGAGGAGTCGGGCTGAGTGTGGGATAGCGGTGGGTTCAGCTTCGCAGTGCCCTTGTGAAATTTGTTGGGGACCAACTCTTCTTGCAACAATTCCGAGGGTTCCTGTTGGACCCTCATGCCAAATCAATGCAAACCACAACTCTGACAAGCGCTGGCACTGGGCATCTCAGGGCGATCAGCGGTCTGGTGACGCACAAGAGCAAGGTGTGGCCCTTGATGAGGCGCGGGGCGAAAGACAGTCGGGTGTTAATGGAGCAATGGGTGTATGGTGTGTATATGGTGTGTATACATACAGTCATACAATATATTATATACACACATCACATATGCGTACATATACGTACACATGTTTCCTGACTATGCTGGCATACTACCAGCAACATCAAGCACAAGACCTCGCATGCACGACCTTGTTTTGTCACATGTCAATCGGGGAGCAATCGGCCCATCGCCCGTCGGGCGGAGTTCCCTTCCCGAGGGTTGCAGGTTGATGTGCTCCCTTTGAGAAGGGAGCAAGGAGTGACTGAAGGCAATCCCTTTTTCCGCACTTTTCTTCACCGTTTTCACTTTTTCTCCATCTTTGTCCCCCCCCAATTGTTTTTACCTTTTCAACTTGTTCCATATGCTTTTCCATATGTTTTTTTCCATATGTTTGTCCACTTTTTCCACCCTTCCCCCATTTTCCCAAGGTTCTCTCCGGCTCTTTCCCTGATTTTCCCCGGCAGCTACTTCCGGAAGCGCTTCGCGCGGTGCCTGGTCTGCTACCAGCTGGCCTGCCTCGCCGCGGCGGCGCTCTCGCTGCCAAAGCTGCGGGCGGAGTGGGCGCTGAGCTTCCTGGGGCTTCAGACCTGGCAGGCGGCTCGGGCGGTTTCGGCGGCGGTTTGCGCGGCAGAGGGCGGCGGTTTGGGCGGAGGGCAGAGGGCGGTTTGGGGCGGTTGAGGGCGGTTGGGGGAGGCCATGGCTTGCTGGCGTAGGCAGGGAATGAGACTTTGGCTGGGCGGTTCAAAGGTAATCCTTCATCCTTACCTTCGGTTGCGCAAGGAACCGGCCCCTCTTGTGCTGGCTTCCCTGTGATTTTAGATTAGGATTGGCCAAGCCTCCGACATTGAAAATGTGGGTTTGTGGTGTGGCCCACTTTCTGTGATTTCCCTTCAAAGGAATCTGGCAAGTGACAGGTTAAGTAGTGATATGAGGATTTGTGGTTGGACATCCTAAATAGTTGGTGAACATCAACCCGTGGGGGTGTGGACAATTCGGTTTCGTGGCCACTTTTTGCGACGACTGGGCGAATTACAACGAGCTGGAAGGCAAGCGAGCTTATCCACGATGAAGATCCCCTACTCGGGCATCCTCTCACTTAGGTTTCTCAGCTGGGATGTGTTTGTGCCTCTATGTATCTATGGTTATCACTAGGGATCCACCTTTTTATGGTAATTCTCACGTCAGCTTTTGGTCGAGCTTGCTTCAGGGAGACCCAGCAAACTCCTGCGGCGTAGTGTCTTGGGGTAACACGAGAGGTTCGTCCTCTTTGAGCTTCCTTGCCCGATTCGTTTTCCGACGCTCTTTGGCACACCCTGCGCTTCTGGTTGAGGTTTTCCTGCAGTTCCCGGGGGCTCCCTTTTGTTAACAACAAAGAAACAAATGTCAGTTGCAGTTTCCCCTTCGCATTGGAGCCGTTTGGTGGCCACGCGCAGTTGCCCTGGGCCCCGGCGTGCAACGAGCGCTTCGACATCGCAGAGTGCGTGGGGCTGGAGCTGAACGCGCCGCTCTGGACGATGCCGGGGCTGTTCCTCTGCTGGGCCCTGCGCCTTGCCAGAAACGATCCCAGGGGCTACCCAGAGGACACGAACGCCATGGTCTTTGCGGGAACTGAGCTCATGTGAGATCTGTTGGACGCGCGAGAGTCTGAAGCGTGCCAGATTGCAGTAGTTTCACTTGTTGGAGCGGATCACGGATTAGGATCAGGAAGTCTCCCCCAACTACTCGTCAAATGGAAGATGAACACCTTTGGGTTTCCCTTTCAAAGCAACCTCCAATGGGTATCCTGAAAAGAGACAGTGGTGAGCCAATGAGGCCTGGTCCGTGACTCTAAATTTCCAGTCCACTCGCAACCCCGAAAAAGCCTTTCACAACGGAGTTGAGTCCAAAGCGGGGCCTTTCACGATCGCCTGAGACGGCGCAGCTGCATGAGCCAAGGTACCCAGCCGTGGTTCTTATCGCCGACCGCGTGCAGTCGCTGGCGCCGTCCCTATCAACGGCCGCAGTGTTAGCCTGCAGCGGCCTGTGCTACGTGCTGTCCATGATGCTTTTGCAGTCGCAGCCTGGCTGAAATTGCTGCATGAGTGCTTCCGTGCTTAGCGGCTCGCATTGAACCACGAAGCTGCTACTGTGAGGCAATAGAGATGTCGCCGGATTGGCTGTTAGCTATTGGACAGATAGCCACCAAGTACACCAGCTCCGAACTTCTTTGGTCCTCACTCCCCCTCTCCCCCTCTCCCCCTCTCCCCCTCTCCCCCTCTCCCATTCTCCCTTTCGCACATTGTCCCCAGGCGCTTCTTCATGTGGCCCCCGGCCTTCCTGGTGCCTTTCCTCTTCGGCCTCTGCTGCGCGGAGCTGCGCCGGCGCGCCGCGGCACCAAACCGCGCCGCGTGGAGCGCCTGGGCGGCGCGGGCGGCGGGGCCGTTGGCGGCGCTGCTGCTGCTGACGGGCCAACCGGGCGCCTTGGGTCTGCGGGGGGAGAAACACCGCAGGGCCGCCTGTTTTAAGGGAAACGAACAAACGAACAGCAGGGATACAGGGGCAACCAGGATTCCCCCTAAATGCACCTTGACTAAGTTTGATATGGGAAACGGCGCCAAGGGAATCCCCCCACAATTCCCCGCTCCCTCCGTATCCCCGCTTGTTCGTTTGTCCATTTTAGAGATAAAGTGGGAAAGAAGTGGAAGGCTTTGCCATTGGAAGATGACCGTTTGCAGAATTGGAGATTTTCGAACGATGGCTGTTGCTTCCTTGTCACAGAGGACCAAGAAGGGACCTGGTTGGAAGGCACGCCAATGAGGACGATTTTCTGTGGCAATTCAGGCAACGTTGTCAATCAGGGCGATGTTTGGCAGAGCCACTCGATTCATAGTTGCGGAAATGCGTTAACATCAGCAGGGATGTGAGTGACTCGTCACAGTCCTGCCCACACGCCGCTAGCTCACAGACTTGGGATCTTGGGGTGGAGCTTGGCTTCTCGGTTGGGCTTTGACATTCCCACCAACCCAAAAACCGAACATCGCGCACCCCAACCCTCCCCCCAAAAGAACACGTGGCAGAGTTGCTGCAAAACATTTCAACATCCAAACCACAAGGGTAGATGGGCATTGCCTCCAAAAGCCAAACATCCCAGACACATTACCAAGGCAACGGTCCAGACAATTGGCAATATCCTTCTTAAGCATCCAAAAGGGTGTCCTTTTATCTTAAGCATCCAAAAGGGTGTGCTTTTTCCTGGGGGCTTCTGGTTTCCTTTTTCTCGGGGGTTCTTTTGTGTTAAGCAAGGTTCCTTTCCCTTCCGCCCGAGACGCCGTCGGCCCGCCGGGCTGGCAGCTGCCGCTGCTGCTGCCGCTGGCGGCCAAGCCGTCCACCGAGAAAGCGCCGCTGGAGATGCGCCGCGGCGGAGGGGTTTGGACACGGAGCTCTCCCCGAGTTTCTGGAGCTTGGGCGGTCGTCGTTTTGGAGGGTACCCGTTTTGGGGCGGGGCTTTTTTTTTAATAGACACACCCAGATATTGTATATAAAGATATCTATATGTAGCTATGCGCTTTGGGATGACCACTTTGGTGGCAGCCAAACGGAGTTTGTTTTTTGCAAATCCACTTGGAAAGTGAGGTTTGGGGTTGTTTTGACGGAACACCAAAAAGCAAAGCACCCCGTTGTTGTTGGCTTTTCCTCACTTGAGACAAATGCAGGGATTGGCTGAGGGAAGGGAGGACATGGGCGGACGGCACAGTTTTGGGCTTGAGAGGGAGGGACATGCCCTAAAAAGGAAGCAAGTAGGGAACAAAGAGCACTCACTTCACTCGCAATTTTGGACACAGTATCGGTGTTTGTCTCGCGTGGACCTCGAATATAGTACCTCGTACCTTTCTTCGTGTTCTTTGGAAAGGAGGTAGCAGAGAAACGCTTCTGGGGGGGGGGTTGGAGGTCGACATTGACCAGCCCAAAACACTAACAGGAGCTCACCCACGTTCCTTTCCTTGTTCTATTTTTTTTGGAATACATATGTTGACTGTTTTGCGGGAGACTTTGAAGCCGCCAACAGAGTAGACCCCACACACTACGCCATACGACGCCCAAGTGCTCCTGGTTCTTGAGAGGATTTGTCGGCAGCAACCGCCATTTGGATTGCTCACCGCGGACGCACAAATTTTGACCGTGGTTGACCTGGTCTGGCAAGAGCTGCCTTCAGCAAAATCTGCCGGCAAACATGGGGACTTCAGCAGAATGACATACACTCATGAATGTTCATGTTATTCATGCTAGTTTGCACGCAGATTTAGAATACCACGCGCTCCCAAGGTCTTTATGGCAGTCTTTATGGCAGACGCTGGGACGCGGGAGCCTTGTTGCCTACATGCCGCTCGAAGAAGAAGAGCTCAGATTGCGACCGGGGTGGGGTGGTGGGAGGGTGGGAGGGGCAGTTACCACCATGTTTGAACCTCGGAAGAGTCCCTTGCAAGGCCATGCTTAAACCATATTAGCGCACCCTGGTGGCGTTTATTAATCGTTTCTGAAGACTTGGAACCGCTCATTTTAAAGTTGGTCTTCTGCACTCAGTGCCCATATTTTTATGGACATTGACGCACGCAGGCATTTGATCTGGTTTCTGGGAATTCCGATTTTGGATGCACGAAGCATTACAAAGAGGATCATCAAGAATTGCAGCCGAACCCACTACTTTTGAGACGGAAGGGTGAAATCTTGCAGGGCCACGCGTTGCATCCATTTTGAAGATCACATGTACCGGCTGGGTTTTGATAGGATCTCCTTGTCAAGCAGGTGAGTGCGGGATCTGCGATTCAAGGAACCTGTGCGGAACGTTACCCAAAGCCAGCCAAGGAACTCGTGATGAAATAGCACGCTAAACAGCGACCTAGCCCGCCTGAATTGGGCGGAACAGATTCTGTCTGCCACATCTATGACCTTTTGCTTTCAGGGGACCCCAGACGGGTTCTGACAAATAACTGGTATCTGACCATGCGCACCTGGGGAGGCGACTCATTGACTTCCAATAACCCACACACACACACATTTACTACCCTCCACTTACCACTCCATCCCATGACCCTCCCTTGATCAGATAACCCTTAATTGGTGGTGGTGGATCGGAACCCCTGGTTCTTGTTGAGGCAAATGGGAAACCACTCCCTAGCCTCCAAACCACCAATGAAAGCACCAAGTAGAGGGCAAACTGACATGGCTGTGGGTCAAAACCAATGATAGCCATTTTGGGGTGGGTGCACCACCCATTTTGTTTTTTTTTGGTGGGGATTGTGATCTGGGGGTACGGGATTTTGACCCACAGCCACATGACCCTTTTATGACCCTTCCCAGACTTCGGAATCTGAGGTTTCAACTGCCGCTGGCTCAGCTCTTCCTGGTGCTCTGGCGGCTCATGGGGCTGGATGGCATTGCGGAGCTTCACCCCCGGAGCCCCGAGCAGGCGCAGACTTGGGGGAGCGGTGTCGGGGCCTAGCTGGGGATGAAGGGGGGGTTGGAGGCTTGGAGACGAGAGGTGGGGGGGGGGAGGGGAATTTGTTTCAACGGCCAGACCCTATTGCAGCATCTGGCATGGTGGGTTTTGCGAACAGCTCTTCTTTCAATCATTGTCTCATTGTGCATTTTGATTCCTCCAGCTTCCTTGTGACACGTGTCTGAAAATAACAGATCTGTTGTACTTCTGCTTCCCACTTCCCCATATGTTTGTTCACCGCCGTTTCCCTCGCAGTCCCCACAGCCACGAGCTTCTGCGCTTCCGAGCTTCCAATTGCTTAAGAGTATTTTTTGTTTTCCCATGTTGGTTGAAAAAATAAATTTATCACCACTGGCCATATTTGTATTTTTTTCCGGGGGTCTGAACCAAATGGAAGCGAGTGGTCGCCGTGCGGAGGCGTGGACCAAGGGCTTCCCTGCTATGGGCAGCGGAGCCTTCGCGGTGTACTTCTGCGTCTTGTGGGCGCTGAGCTGCTTCTGCGCCGTGCGCTGGATGTCCAAACGATGACCAAAGGCAGATCAACCCCGCGAATTTGGATGGGCCAAAGTCGATTTATTTATTTTTTGCGCCCACGAAATGAAACAAAATGGTTCAAATGAAACCCCAGAAACGTTTGGTTTGCAGGCGATGTTGATTCCTGCGGGAGGAGGGGTCGGCAGGACGAAACTGGGGCCGTTTCTTTGCCACTGGCAATTGGCGAATGGCTGCCGTTCGGCCGAAAGTCCAACAGATCTGATCCCACATGATCCAACCCAAGATTTGGTTGACGGTGATGGGTGTCAAATGTTCTGGGGAGCATCCGGGAAGACTAATCAAGCGCCCTTTTCGCATCTGTACTGAGTATCCCAAGGATGGACATGTGCAGGGGTTGCATGGTGCAGATTGTTTGCGATTCCTCACGTTTCCCTTTGTTTGGTGCCTTTAAGCATCACCCTTTGAGCCATCTTGAGGTGATTTGCCTTGACGGTGGGGCGATGTTTGAAGGGGATATTTTGGAGGAACCCTGTTGTTGGGTCCTTTTGGCCGATTGAGCATTGTGCGAGCTGAAAGCTTGTGTACCTGTAACGCGGACAAAAAGGGGTGCGCGCGTGCGGTGCTGCTCCTGAAACTCTCTCGGGACCCTTCCATAGACCAACCTTTGGGTTCGACAAGCAAACAAATGTGCAAAACCTTGCTGGTGCGCAGTTGGCAATGACCTTCCGGGTTTTGGCAATGCGCCGTTTTGGAGTTCCCTTAGAGGAAACCATAGGGGTGCCTATCGAACCGATCGAAAGAAGCAGCCATCACACTCGGGTTGTACACAGCTCCGAGGTCCGCCGAGGTGGCAGGCCTGGACGCCTTGGAAGAGGCAAGCCGTGGATTCTTCGCGCGAAGGGGAGCGAGCGGTGGATTCTTGTCGTGAAGAGCTCGGCTGTGAAGCCATGGTGCTGTAAACCTGGGCGGTTCCCAGCGGGCCCCTGGCCCCATTATTTTTCCAAGATCAAAGCCACCCCCTGGTGTGTTCAAGGGAAGCTGCCCCAGTTTCTGACTTTGATAACCCCTAGAAACAGTCAACATAAGAGCCCCAGCCTGAGGTTTTTAGGTTTTTGGTTGGTTGAGTGGTTTGGTTTGCGTGAAACCCACAAGTTAAACGTTTGGCAACCAACCCTGACATGGAAAGGAGGACAACCCCTGACTATGGTAAATTAGCAGGGGATTTATATGTTGATGATTTTCCTTGTGAGCAACTCTGAAACAGTTCCTGGGACATTTCTGTTCTGCCTGTTCAAAGCCAACGCCAAACCACAGCCGCTGGACCTCTAAAGCTCTGGCAGGGCAGAAAGCTGGGCCTGGCTGGGGCTCCGGTGGCGCCTTTTGTTTTGCCAGTCACAGATCGGGGAAACTAGACAGCCCGTTGACTGGACTTGGCGCGCGTCGAAGGAAAGACACCACAGATTGATTTGGTCGAGCCCTAGAAAGCACGCCAGCACGGCACCAACCCAGAGGCAAAAGCCATGTAAACTAGCGATTTCATGCCACTTTTCCTGGGTCCAAAAGCACCCTTGACATACTGAGAAACATCTTGTTCCCTTCACTATCACAATGCCACAGAACATATCTTATTTAACAAACCCGCCACTTGTAACGTGTTTCTTCACAGAATTGCAAAAGAACACGCCCAGTTCAAAACTAGTTCATATTTACTCAAAGCCAACCAGAAGAGGCGCCTTCCCACTATCACGGAATCTGACGGACTGGGTTCAGCTGCTCTTTCCTCAGATGGGCGGAATCTTCAGCATTCCATTTCCGCAGAAGGGCCCTTCTCCTCTTTCCTTTTTATCCAGGGTTCCTCGACACCAGGGGCACCAGGGGCAAAAGTACATACCTCACTGCGCTTCACCTGCGTTTCCCCGCGTTTTTCCGGCTCAGCGAGGGGGGGGGGGTGCCATGGCTTTGGTGCGGAGCCTGCGCCGCGTGGCCCTGGCCGGGCAGGCGTGCTGGGCGGATAGGTGGGTACTGGGCGTTACCATCCAAGCCGGAGGCTTGTTTCTTTACTCCTGAGAGCGAACGCCATGTCTCTCAGTCTTTGAATGCGATTCTTTCCTGTTGTTTTTTGTTCTTAGATCAGTGGTGGCAAACAGCTGTTGAGTTCAGTGGAAACGAATCAAGGAACTGTTGGCAGCACGGGGGCCAACTCAGTCAACACATGCCAGCAGCAATTTGGGGGACTGGTCAGGGACTTACGACGTTGGCTTGGAACTTGTCAACGTGCCAACGATCACAGTGTTTGACCAGTTAACTAACTTGGTCTTCAACAATCACTTATCACAAAGACCACTTCAAGTAGTGTTCTTCGAGAACCTGATACCCTGCCTGGCTCATGCGCTAGGGCACTTGTGCCAAGTGATGTGCCAGCAATATGCGCAGAGTGCTGGATTGGACGTTTGTCTCCGCCCTCACCGCCAGGGGCCACTGCTGCAATGCTTGCCAGCACAGTGCAGGGGATCTTTTGCCCTGGCGCTGGGGTTGCGGGCGCAGGGTGGAGGACTGCGTGGATCATGGGACAAGGTCAACATGTCCAGTATTTTATGGTCCTTGTGGACAAAACCGGGGAGGGGGGGGGGTCGCTCAATTTCTATTCATCGCCAAGGGACTCACGAATTCTCAGTGGCTTGCATGTTGCCAGATGCGGAGCTATGCAAACTCAAAACTGTGTTCTTTGTGTGTAATGGTACCCCCCTGGAATACTCAGGTTTTTGGCCAGAAATTGACATTTTGGCTGCAACAATGCATGTAAAACACACGTTCCAGCTTTTAAAATGAGGCTCTAAAAATGCATGCCTTTTTTAGACTTAAATTCTTGCATCGGTACTTAGTGCAATCCAGGATGTGCTAGCACGTGCTAGCACATCCTGGATTGAAGATTGAAGATTTCTGACAATTCTTTCTGGAAATCTTCAAATCTGTACTTAGGGCAATCCAGGGTGCGCATGTGCTAGCACGGGCTAGCACATCCTGGATTGACGATTGAATATTGAAGATTCTCTGACAACTCTCTCTGGGATTCTTCAATCTTCAATCTTCAAAACAGGATGTGCTAGCACGTGCTAGCACATATTAGTTTGTCCTAAGGTGGATTGAAGATTTCCGGAACAAGTGGTCTGAGAATCTTGAATCTTGAATCTTCAATCCAGGATGTGCTAGCACGTGCTAGCACATCCTGGATTGCCCTAAGGACATATTTGAAGAATTCCAGAAAGAGTTGTCAGACAATCTTCAATCTTCAATCCAGAGCCTGGATTGCCTTAAGTGCGGATTTGAAGAATCCAAAAGGCAGACCGGGAGTACACGTTGTCGGAATCAAATTGTGGATGCGCACTGGCATTGCCTGCATGTGGCCAGGGGGGAAACATGTTGTTGACACCTTCACAGGTTTTTTGTGGACTTGAGGGCTGGCCAGGATGGACATTCTCAAATACGAGGTTGATCTTCAATCTTCAATGCAGGGGGCAACTCCTTAATGAGTCTATAGCAAACTGTCAAGCTTTTGGGGGGCCAGGATTGAGGATGTTCTAAAAATATGTTTGTGGAATCTTGTATATTCGATCTTCGATCCACGGCAACACGATCTGAGAAAATGCTGAAAACACTGTGTTTTACAGCCTATCTGCCAATAATAAGATCTATGATTGAAAACACTTTTCAGTCATTGGCTTGGCTCAGTTCTTAAGGGCAATAACCCTTTCAACATTGAGTTTGATTCCAAGTTCATTTGGCCATGACAATAGCTATCTTCTCCAATTGAGTTTTGAAATGCACCATAAACTGCAAACGATTCAAAATGAATTTGGTTTGAACTCGAAAACTTTAAACTGGATATCCTTGCTGTACTTGAATTCCAATAGTTGTTATTGGCGATGACTGAATCAACTTAAACAAGCAACACACAACTGAGATAGTTGCCTTGCAAAATGTGTTTCAAATAGACTGAACTAGCATGTACATGGAATCATGCACAGCACTTGAGTTAACATGTACATGCAACTGCACAAGGACATGAAGTAGGAATGAGTTCCTTTTCCTCAAGCTGATGATTCGCTGAATTTTGCTGCCAAACAAAAATAACAAAAACCAAATAATAGAGCTGCGACAGGCGCGTTGAAGTTGTCAAAGCATACTTCGCGCACTACTCTTGTGCTGAAAAGTTGTGCTTTTTGAGCTGGAGCTGCCAAAGTGCACTTTGCATACTCCAATGTGACTTTAAGTTCACTTCGCGCACGCCAATGTGACGGTCACACAGCTCCTATTCAACGTTGAGCTTAACTTCTGCTTGGTTGGAATTTGCATGGAGTTGAGCGTCCAGTCAGTTAATTTCAGAGTCTCAAGGCATTTGTCACCCCTCGTCTGGTCAAAAACCTCAGTTCTGGCCAAAACCTGAGTATTTCAATTGGGGGGGGTGGCCTATTTTTCTATATATATATATATATATGTGTAGACACATACATGTATCCTCGTAAACACACATGCGCCATACACTGTTCCATGCTTCCTCACCACCACGCAGATTGCGCCGTTGCTGTTGCAGCTGGCTGCCCTTCATGCTGCCAAATACAAGGGAAAGCTTGCTGATCGCGTGCTTTGTCAGGAGAGCAGGACGACGGCAAGAGCAGCGATGACAGCAAGAGCGCTCCCAACAACTTGCTTAAAGACACCAGGGTGGCCAAAAGGCTACAGCAGACTATAATTGGCAAAGTTGACGCTCTTGCAAGACAGCCTGGCGCCTGTGTTTGTGGACGTGCACGCTATCCTAGCTTTGGATTTCAGCACAATGCCTGGCCCTCGTGCTGCGCCAGCTGCAGAGAGGATGGGATGGTGAACATCAAGAACCCCAAATGTAGGTGTGGCAGGGCCAGACCGTCTTTTGGGATGCCAGGCGATGCTCGGGCAACTTGCTGTGCCAACTGCAAAGAGGACGGGATGGTGAATATCAAGAGCCGCAAATGCAGGTGTGGCAGGGCCACACCACACTTCGGTATACCAGGCGATGCTCGGGCAACTTGCTGTGCCAGCTGCAGAGAGGATGGGATGGTGAACATCATGCACCGCAAATGCAGCTGTGGCAGGGCCAGACCGTCTTTTGGGATGCCAGGCGATGCTCGGCCAATTTGCTGTGCCAACTGCAAAGAGGATGGGATGGTGAACATCACACACCGCAAATGCAGCTGTGGCAGGGCCAGACCGTCTTTTGGGATGCCAGGCGATGCTCGGGCAACTTGCTGTGCCACCTGCAAAGAGGACGGGATGGTGAATATCAAGAGCCGCAAATGCAGGTGTGGCAGGGCCACACCACACTTCGGTATACCAGGCGATGCTCGGGCAACTTGCTGTGCCAGCTGCAGAGAGGATGGGATGGTGAACATCATGCACCGCAAATGCAGCTGTGGCAGGGCCGGACCGTCTTTTGGGATGCCAGGCGATGCTCGGCCAATTTGCTGTGCCAACTGCAAAGAGGATGGGATGGTGGACATCAAGAACTCCAAATGTAGGTGTGGCAAGGCCATACCGTGTTTCGGCATGCCAGGCGATGCACGGGCAACTTGCTGCGCCAGCTGCAAAGAGGACGGGATGGTGGACATCAAGAACCCCAAATGTAAGTGTGGCAAGGCCAAACCACTTTTCGGGATGCCAGGCGATGTTCGGGCAACCTGCTGTGCTAAGTGCAGGGATGATGGCATGGTAAATATTGTGAGTTCGAGGTGCCTTGTGTGTGGAAAAGTTGCAAGCTATCCAGATGCTGCTGGCAAGCCTCGGCAATTATGTGCACTGCATTCTGCAGAGGTTGGCGCACACGTATTGTCCCCATCTTATTTTTCACGAGCAGCAAGCAGTTGTTTTGACAGTTTGGAGGAGGAATTAGGCTACACATTCACTTTTCGACACAGATTTAATGCAGACACCGGCGCTTGGTCCGGCAAGGAGTTTGCAGGTTTGATTCCAAATCGTGCTGTCCTGCCCGATGCATACCACCCAGAGAGGCGTGAGGTGGTTGAATTTTTGGGGAACTACTTCCACGGTTTTCCTGTAGAGCATCCACGGCGGCTTTGTGGCAGAATCATACTTCAGCTTAGGTGTTGTTGTGCCGCCAAACAAAAACACATTATCAAAGACAGACATTTTTCTGTCACCAGCTCTCAACTCAAGGCATAGCAGCTTCGTTTGCGTGGGCGGCAAGCTAGCACCAGAAGTCTACCGCGACACCATGGAACGCTTGGATTTGTTCACTGCGGAGGGCCTGCGCGTGTTTTACATTTGGGAGCATGAGTTCGTGGAGTGGCGGAAGCGAGCGTCTTGGCAGCATTGGGCTGGAGGTTCTCTTTTTGAAATCGATATCAATTGTGACAACACTTTCTCGAAGATGTCAGTAGCCAAAGCTCTGGGATGAACTACCCAAGTTGGTCAGGGGAATGGGATGCCTTGGCCAGTCTTTGCTGCTTTTGCAGGCTCGAGATGGTGCCTTACCAGAGAGTCTGGCATCAGCGGGGCTGTCCAAAAGAAACCTTTTTGCAACCTGCCGACTTGCCTGGCGGGTGCAGCCTCCCATGAAAACTGAGGCAGCCGCTGGGGAGGCCGTGCCTATCGCCAGCCTCCTACGCCGCCATGAGCCCAAAGCCCATGCGAGAAAAGCAGCGCGTGCCTGGACCAAGCCAGGGAGTTGATACAGAAGGTTCTGATACCACAGAGGTATCGCAGAAACAGGGCATATCATGTGTCCCCCTCATTGCCTAAGCCCTATCCTTTTCCTTCTTGCGAGCAACTTACAAAGAGTGTCTCTGCTTTCCCATGGTCACTGGTTTAGGAAAAGGAACAACCGCCAGGACTAGGCCAGAGGGATTTGCCTTTCGGTTTTCTTTTCACGTGACCGGGCTTCCAGCCAGGCCTGATGCGGCTTCAAAGGCGCGTTTAAACAGCGTGAGCTTTCGCGCCGGGAAGCAACTGATTTGTGTTGCCGGAAGAAGAATGGCAACGACGGGGGACGGACGGCTGCCTGGAAAGCTCCAGGGTTGATGTCCACCCTTCAAAGGAACAGGTCGTCTCTGGAGACAAAGAAGTTCGGGAGGGTTGCGTCGGCGGCTGTTGGAGGGTATGATGTTCCACTCACAGGAAGACTGGGGAATACGTTGAATTGGCTACATGCTGGATACAATCATCTTGAATTCAACCAAAAAGCCAAAGGAGTATCCCTGACAGCCTGGCCACCCTCTTGGAACCTTCTTGGAACCCTCCCAGAACCCGCTAAGACTGCATACGCGCTGCAGGCCGAAGCGGAGATCTCCGCAGTACAGTTGGCGTCATTGCACAGTTGCTGCCATTTGGGCGCGGGGCCCCGGAGCTCTTTTCGACCCCTGGGAGTGAGGGGAGAAGGAGGAGGAGGAGGAGGAGGAGGAGGGTGACGTGTTAACAAGAAGGGTTGGCTTGTGTTCGAGGTTCACGGGTTCGGGCAACCGTGTTTGATAATTGATGCTCCTATTTAGAGGGTTCTGTGGACTCTTGAAGCCCATCCATTCTTCCCTCAGCATGATGCCGTCCTGCAAAGTGCTTCAGGCATGGTTGGATTGTCTTCAGCTTGTTTCCAGGCACTGCATCAAGGTACGGCAGGTGGAAAGACATTGAACTTGTGACTGCCCTTTGTTAGCTTCAACGAGGATGACACAAATTCATGCCCGAACCTCCCCTTTGCAGAAAACCAATCATCATGCTGCTTGAAACCTGCTGCAACCAACAGATAACAGATGGTCCCTTTTCTGCCCCCAAACCTCAACCTTCCCTCACGCCAGACCCCATTTTTTGTTGCGTTATTTTCCTTCTTTGTTTCGCTTCCCTCCGGCGTTGTGTTTCGCTTCCCTCCGGCGAGGCCAGCGAGCACTTTCGTACAGCGTAGGCGCTGAGACGGCGGAACGCGCCGAGTCTCAGGACTGACCGGCCACTAGAGACTAGTGCGCCGCAATCCCGGGAGCCTCCGGAGCCCTCGCCGCCTCACCGACTCGGCCCCGTGGCCGGCGGATTTCGACGGTTAGTTGGTGTTGCCAGCAACTCCCTGCCCCTCGGATCTGAGACCCACGCACGCAAATGCAAAGGCGCCGTGTATTTGTGTATCTATATATATATACACATATATATATATATATACAATATTGTTTCCTTTGTTTGTTTGTTTGTTTGTTTGTTTGGTTGATTGGTTGGTTTGAGTTGTTTTGCTTGCTTGCTTGCTTGCTTGCTTGCTTGCTTGCTTGCTTGCTTGCTTGCCTGCCTGCCTGCCTGCCTGCGTGCGTGCGTGCGTGCGTGCGTGCGTGCTTGCTTTGCTTGCTTGCTTGCTTGCTTGCTTGCTTGCTTGCTTGCTTGCTTGCTTGCTTGCGTGGGTGGGTGGTTGGTTGGTTGGGATTACCGCCATGTGCCAGGGCAGTGACATGTAGCCATAGTCTGTGCTGCTGCATTCAGTGCAGGGGCTTGTGCACCGGGTTCAGAATCAGGCACGCCAGATGTCTACTTTTCTTTTGAACAACTCTTGTTTGTTTGTTTGTTTGTTTGTTTGTTTGTTTGTTTGTTTGTTTGTTTGTTTGTTTGGTGGGTTGGTGGGTTGGTCGGTGATGTGCCGGGGCAGCCATAGTTTGTGCTGCTGCACTCAGTTGCGCTTGCAACACCCGGCTTGGAACATCATACCATGTTTGGTCCACACGCCAACTGCATTAGATGTACTCATTTGCTTACACTAGGTGCTTTTCCCCGTGCTTCCCCCACACCCAACAAATCTTCATCGTTTCTGGAGCGAGGGCCTCCAGAGCTGCGGCTTCCACCCCGGGTCTTTGGCCGATCCGAACTTCGAGAAATTTTCCCCGCTCCGAACGGAGCGGCCGCGCGGGGCGCCCGGCTGTGGCGCGGTTTGACCCAAGGTTTTGGGCGCGTTTGAAGCGCGGAACCCCCGGCAAACGAAAGGAAAGCCGAAGATGTGTTGACACATGGCTGTGGGTCAAAACCAATGGGATCCCATTTTGGGGTACATCCGGTTGAACGACGTGACGGGTTGGCCGCTCTAAAAAATCACAACAAGAGCTGCTGATTTCGGACCCCGGTATGGATCTGCATTCCTCCAGTATGTTTTTTGTTTTGGAGGGGATGTGTTGATTTTGGCGCGTGGGACACCTGTGTGGTGTCCCTTCGGCTTCCCCAAAAATGGGTTTCCGTCTGTGGAGGATAGCATGTCTCACTTCTTTCTCCGCAAGGACACCACCTGGCTTTGGGGCTTACCTACGGCAAGACATCATCAACCTAAGCCATCAAGTTTCGACCATGCTGTGGATGGAGGAAATCCGGCACCACCTCAGAAACCCTGGAATGATGATTCCCCAACAAACAATGGTTTCAACCATGGTTTCTTAGGTGGTGCAGGATTTTGTCCATCCACAGTGGCTCGCTCCGTTTCTGTACCCCTTTTGCTTTTATGGAGGAGTTCCATACCTTAGCACCGCAGAAGCCTTTTGCGCATGGACGCACCGCAGCCCTGAGAATCTGCACGGGGAGCAAGCGCTCGGAGACCGCTTTTGTGTGGTTGTAGGGCCGAGCGTGTGGCGATTGGGAGGACTCCGGGGGCGCCTCAACGGCACCAAACTGGGTGTGTTGATTGTTGAGGCGACCCTTTTCAAGGAGGCCAGAAGGAAAGCAACATTTCGGGGTCCCCGTCTTCTTGACACCTACCCACATGGCAGTGAAACTTAAAGAGGAGCCCCCTTGAAAGTGGTTGGTGGGAATGAATCCCCACCTAACCAAATGGTCTCGAACTAAAATATGTATGCCCATAAGGGTGTGTCTTTTTGTGATGGTACCCTTGTTTGGTTTAATCAAAGGGGAACCAAAAGGAATCCACGTGTTTGGAGGTGTCCCCCCATTGTGAGACAAACCCAAATACGTCTTTCCCTCGAGTTGTTGAGGCTCCGGCAGATCCTCCCCCGGCACCTCCCCGTTTGGCAGCCGCCCGCCACTGGTTCCGCCAGCGGCAGGGCCCAATGTCGGCGCCAGCCTCGAGGCATCGAATCGGCCATTCACCTCAGGGCGACGCCTCGCCGAACCCGGGCGCTTCAAAATCCCCAGATGAGGGCAAGAATGTGTGTGTTTGTTGCTTAGTCATGTTGTTTCGTCTTGCTACGCTTATGAATGTTCTTGTTCTGATTTCGTATTTTGCCCGTTCTCGTTTTTTTTTTTTTTTTTTTTTATTCGTGTTGCTCTTATTATTCTTGTTGGTCTTCTCATCAGGGGTATGATGTTTATTGTTCCTATTCATGCTATTGTTGTTAGTTTGCTATTCTTCTTATTGTTATCGCATGATTCTTACTTGTACTCCTGTGCTTATTGCTTATGTTGTCTTATTGATATTATATTGTTATTATCATTCTTACTCTTACTACTTGTATGTTTACTATTACTATCAGGATAATTATCATCAGGTTTGAATCCTCTTTGTGAGAGGCCCTTTTCTGCGCTTGGCACGCAAGACCTTGGCGCCTGGTTTTGATTGGACGCTCGCCGTGTGGAGCTTCGCGAGTTCTTGCTTCTTTCTTTTGACATGCAGTGCCCGGGTTGTGGGGCGTTGCCTTCACACAGAAATCCAAGGGCTGGTCTGAGGGCCCGGCAGCGGTCCGTGAGTTCGGTTCATCGGCTTGTTCTGCAAACCTTGGGTCCAGAGACCGGTAGAGAGACCAACCCTTGCATGCTCCGACTGCCTTTGACTGCCTTTAATTTGGAGCATGCCGGCACCTGGCTCGGCGCGAACATTTGGGGGGCCGAAGGTGCAGCCGTACATGGAAGCGACCCATTCAGATAAGGTACCAGGTGTCAACCAAAAAGAAACACGTGAACAAACGCCTTCTGAAGCCATTGCCAGACACACATTCTTTCTTCCGCCAGGGCCGTAATCTTGTTCAGAGAGGCTGTCACTTTTCAAGTCGCCGAGCCGGATGCCCAAACGTAGGCACTGACCGGGCCTCTAGGGTCCAATTTCATAGCTCGGCGAAGGAGCCGTGGGTGCAACCAAAAGATCCGCCCACGGCTCATGGGCCGCAACCAAAAAAGAGAGGTCGCAGTTTTCGGGGGCGTTGCAGGCCTTCGGACGCACGAGGCGTGGGATGGGCTTGCATGGAGGTGTTCGAGGCTTTTGAACGAAAAAACATCCCGCGGGTTTCGAGGTCCGCGCGCGCCTTTCGAAGCGCGGCTTGCCCATTCTGGAGATCCGAAGCCGCCTGCCACGCAGGTCTCGACACCGCCTGAAATACCAGGCGGTTAGGGCGGCAGTGGCCCTTGCCACTGGCGCAGTCTTCCCACGGCCGAGCCAAGAGGCAATGCCTCTCTTTTGCACCACCCCTGGCAGGCTGGATGCTGATTCACCATCCGTGTCTTTTTTTTTCCAGTTAGACTCAAGAGGGCAAGCAAACAAGCGTATCAAACCGCGCTGGAGACACTTCAATCCGGCGTCTGTCAGTCTTGATCCGGACAGGCTTCCAGGTCTGGGACAAGCGAACCGATGTGCAACCATGTTGTTGCTCAATGGAGTGACTTCGGTGGTATGAGGGCCAGTGAGAAGCATCGATCAAACATCGCGAATCTTGGGCCTAACCAAACAATGTTGGACGGGGGCCAGCACAGAGGCTGCCCTACGTGCAAGAAGGTATCCATTCTGGGCAAATTGAAGTGACCTCACAAGCGCAGATTGCGCAGGTCGTGATGATGTGTTTTTTCTTCCCACAGGGAGCCTTGTTTTTTGGTAGTCATTCTCATAGTGCGCTCAGAAGCGCTACTCGCGATGAGCTCACCTGGGTATTTTGATGTATTGTGTGTTTTGGCTTGGGATGTTTGATCTAGACCCGGTGCTGTTTCTTTTTCTCCCCAAATTCGCATGGAGCCCTCACAACCCGCATCTTCTAGCGGCAAGGTGCTTCACGCGATTCATGTTTGGGGTTTCCATGTTACTGATAGGCAGCTCCGGCGCTGGGGGTCTCACTGCACGATCGCTCGGCCGCATTTTCAGCGAAGCCTTCTGCTGGGCCCCGGACTTTGGCCGTTTCAAGCGTGGGCAAATGGGTCAAAGGTCTTTGTCCCAGAGTTGAATCTTCATCTTCAACCCGGATTGAATCAGATTTGAAGTTTGCAACTTTGATTAAATCTGCCTGGAACCTATATTGAATCCGCATTGAACCTTCTTTGAACCTCCTTTGAACCTCATTTGAACCGGCCGAGTTCCAAGCAGCTTCACGGCCCCAAGCTCCAAGCCGCTTCTGAAAAAATCGCCCCCAAGTCCTGGCGCCCAGCGTGCGGCTTCGCGTAGGCGGCGAGGTTTTCCCCGAAAGCCCACCGCGCGCCATTGCATGAGCTCCAAGGGCCTCGGCGATGCGAAGGAAAGGCGCGGCGCGCGGCTTGCTGTGTCCTGGTCCCCAAAACAAACACACACACACACACACAAACACTTTTTTTTTTTTAAAGAAAAGACACAGAGTTTTGGTTTGGAGGGGTCCCCAGTCAACATGGTCCACCCCGGAAAGTCCATCCATTTTTTCCACTAGTGTCACCGGGTAACTGGAGTATATATGTATTTCTTTCCTCCGGGCTTTCTGAGAAGGGTGCAGAATTTGATTCAAGAGGAGCCAGTTTGGAGAGGGGGCGGCGGTCGTCTTGCACTCTTTCTTGGGGCAAGATACATGTTGCGCCTCGCTGAGCCTCGCTGGTGACCAGAGAAGAGGCAACCACCAGAAGGGCCTAAGTCCGATCATGCCGTGCTTTTGCAGTGGTGCCACTCTTTGATGTGAGTGCGGCTTGTCAGCTAGGATGCACGGGTTCCATCGAGGCACCTGGAAGTTTTAGTGTTTTGGCTTGAGATCTCTGATTTTTACTAGGTCATTTTTGCTCGCCCAAGAATCACGTGGAACCTCAACCACCGTAGTTCTGGCGGAACCCTTTGGGTTTTCACGTCATTTGCGAGCCACCGCCCAATACTTTTCTGCAAGTTGATCTGAACCCAACGAAGCGTTGTTCGGCGTAAGCTTGAATTGGGGGTCAGTTTTTGGTTGCCATGTTGATGACGGAAAGCGCTTCTTGAAGCGCTGGGAGTTAGTGTACGAAGTTGTGGGGGGGGGGGTAACCTCGTTCCGGGTGATTTGCAGGTTTGGTCAGCCGAAAAATACTCCCAAAAAATGGGAGTATTTTTTGGAGCACTTTCTGCCACCGCAAGGCTGGTTTTTGGTGTTTTGCTGCCTATCATGTCTGACCTTTTCGTCTGTGGCTCTCGCGGGCCAACAAGCGTGCCAGCTTTACATCATTTTACTTTGCTTCCGGCCTCGCCGGACTTGGGCGCACAAGGGGTGCCGGGGATGCACGGGATGCCGGGGATGCAGGGGATGTCGCTTGTTTTGGAAGTTTTTGCGGTCGGCGATGCTGGGGATGTCGCAGGAAAAATACCCATTTTTTGGGAGTATTTTTTGGAGCACTTTCTGGCAGGTTTGCAGGTCCCAGGGAGACGACACTAAGTACGGGCGCTGGTTTGGGTTGTTGCTTGTATGTGATTCAGTGCAGTTGTTGGTTTGCTGTGACTTGGGTCAAGCTGGCAAGGGACAGCAAGGCAAAGCAAGGCAAACCAAGGGAAAGCAAGGGCAAAGGAAGCGAAAGTAGGGGAAAGCAGGCCAGGCAAGGGAAAGCAAGGCAAAGCAAGGGACAGCAATGGACAGCAAGGGAAGCAAGCAACAGCACGGGCAAAAAAAGTCAAAGCAAAGGAAAGCAAGGGACAGCAAGGGACAGCAACAAAAAAGCAAGGGAAAGCAAGGGAAACACAAGGGAAAGCAAGGGACAGCAAGGCAAAGCAAGCGAAAGCACAGGCAAAGCAAGGCAAAGCAAAGGAAAGCAAGGGACAGCAAGCAAGGGACTGCAAGGGAAATCAGGGGAAGGCAAGGGAAAGGGAAAGCAATGGAAAGCAAGGCAACGCAAAGGAAATCAAGGACAAGCAAAGGAAAGCAAAGGACCGCAAGGGACAGCAAGGGAAAGCAAGGGAAACCAAGGGAAAGGGACAGCAAGGGAAACCAAGGGAAAGGGAAAGCAAGGACAACCAAAGGGAAGCATGGGAAGGCAAGCAAAAGCAATGGAAAACAAGGGAGAGCAAGGCAAAGCAAGCAAAAGCACGGCAAAGCAAGGCAAAGCAAAGGAACACAAGGGACAGCAAGGGAAAGGGAAAACAAGGGAAAGCAAAGACAAGCAAAGGAAAGCAAGGGACAGCAAGGGAAAGCAAGGGAAAACAAGGGAGAGCAAGGCAAAGCAAGCAACAGCACGGGCAAAGCAAGGGAAAGAAAGGGAAAGGGAAAGCAGGGACAAGCAAACGAAAGCAAGGGACAGCCAGGGAAGGCAAGGGAAAGCAAGGGAAAACAAGGGAGAGCAAGGCAAAGCAAGCAAAAGCACGGGCAAAGCAAGGCAAAGCAAAGGAAGGCAAGGGAAAGCAAGGGAAAGCAAGTGAAAGGGAAAACAAGTGAAAGCAAGGGATAGCAGGGCAAAGAAAGCAAAAGCATGGGCAAAGCAACGCAAAGCAAAGGAACACAAGGGAAAGGAAGGGACAGCAAGGCAAAGCAAGCAAAAGCACGGGCAAAGCAAGGCAAAGCAAGGGAAAGCAAGAGACAGCAAGACAGCAAGGCAAAGCAAGCAAAAGCACGGGCACAGAAAGGCAAAGCAAAGGAAAGCAAGGGACAGCAAGGGAACAAGGGAAAACAAGGGAAAACAAGGGAAAGCAAGGGACAGCAAGGCAAGGGAAGCAAGGGAAAACAAGGTAAAGCAAGGGGCAGCAAGGCAAAGCAAGCAAAAGCACGGGCAAAGCAAGGGACAGCAAGGGAAAGCAAGCGAAAACAAGGGAAAGCAAGGGACAGCAAGGCAAAGCAAGCTAAAGCACGGGCAAAGCAAGGCAAAGCAAAGGAAAGCAAGGGACAGCAAGGGAAAGCAAGGAAATGGGAAAGCAACGGAAAGGGAAAGCAAGGGAAAGCAAGGCAACGCAAGGGAAAAAGCAAGCTCAAGCGAAGGAAGGCAAGGGAAAGCAAGGGAAAACAAGGGAAAGCCATCGCATGCCGTGGCAGGCGCTTCCGTTGTTTGCCGGACTGGTTTGCAGGGGAGGACGCCTCATGTCCTCTGTTGCTCCGAAGCTAACGGGTCCTTTTTTTTGTTTCTTTTCCATCAAAACTCCTACCCTTGACAGCGTCGAACGGGACACCTGCCAAATCAATCCAAGAAGCAGCATGTCTTTTTTGAGGATTCTTTTATGGGACCCGCTGGGTTCAATTTCCATTCAAGGGAGCACACCCCCGCTCCTGTTTTTGGCCTTGCAGGTCGGGAGGTCCGCAAGCCGATAAGTTGCTTCCGCGCGCTCGGCTCAAGAGGGGGCGCTTAGTGCGCCTCTGGCCATGTGGCTCAAGATGCTCTAAATCTGAGGCCCTTGTCCCGCGCGGCGCGGGTTTCGGTGGGTGCAAACTTGGCGGCCCAAGCAGATGGAAGGAAAAACGAAAGGCCTTGGAGCACTTCGAGGCTCAAACAGAAGAAGTATAGACTTGTAGTCACAGGCTTAGCCGCTTAGCCCTGGTTGGAATGGCCACATCGCAGTGGATTCACTCGAGCAACAAAGGGAGCACAAGCAGGTCGAGCCGATTGCACACCCAAGGCGCGCAAAATCTGAACGCACAACAACACCAGAACGAAAGTTGGGGCGCCATTGTCTTTGACCATGCCTTCTGCTCCATCCGCCATGCTGAACCCACACTTCAAGGACGGGGTATGTCGGTATGTCGGCAACGTGACCGTCTCGGAAGGGTTCAAGTGATCCCCAAGCATCCTTTCACGTTGGCGAAAAATGCTCCCCGAACCAGTTTGCTCCCCGAGCCCATGCGGAATGTAGGCGGCCCTCGTATCCACCGTATGGATTCCTAGGGGACCATGACCATACTGCCCAGGGAAGGATATTTGGCCATGACCACACAACCTGCGGAGGGTACCATCATGCGGCCCGAAGGATATTTGACACACAACCTGCTCGTTCTCATATCAGATATATCAGACGCATCAATACGATAGACCCCGAGTTTGGCGCCATATAGGTTCATCTGTTTCTGCAGCTTCCTTTTGACATGGGCTCTCCTGGAGCTTTCGGGTCCCTTGCCAGTTGCAGGAGGCTTTCTGACAATTTGCAATTGCAACGGCTGATTGGAAGCGGGTCAAGAAAGTTCAAACTTTCTGGCTTCTCAGAGATTTGGAGCCAGAAACATGACCTTTCCGACGCACATCGGAAATCGGAAGGACTGGCAGGATTTCTGATCGTCGTCAATGTGTGGGATAGTTCTCGAACACAGACCGGCGACCTGCCACATCGTTCGTGAATGTGCTCCCCACCAACTTGGTCCTGTTAAAACGCCTGGCCACTGTTGGCTTGAATTTCGGCTGACCCCTTTGTCAATTTGCTTCTTTGACCAACCCATGGACAGAAAGACAGTGCGGCCACTTTTGGAACGCCACTGGTAGGCTTTGCCACTGACCAAATATCGATTTCAAGGCGCTCTATCACCGCTTCAAGGGTCCCCCTGGCCCCCAATCCCGAAAAGGGCCAGTACTGTTCAAGACGAACAGGGTCAGATGATGGGGTTGAGGCGGGCGGTTTTGATGTAGGTGATGGGGGGGAGGAGGGGGGTTGAGGGGGGAGGTGTTGATGTAGGTAATGGGGGACCTTTTCGTGGCAGGTCCCACCGGTGGTCGATGGGATTGACCGCGACCTTTTGCGCAGGACTTGGCTTTGCTGCGCCGAGGCGTCTTCTACGCGGTGCCTCGCATGCAGGGCATTTGCCTGTTCGTGAGGGAACCGGTGCCTGGCAGTGGTCACAAACTTTGAGGTATCCCTACCCACGGGTTCCTCAGTCAGGGGTTGATATCATGCCCTAGCAAAGCATATCCGAGTACTTGCTATCCAGTTTTCATGTGCTCAAGGCATTGCTATGTTTCTTGTGGGTTTCTTGTTGGTTTCAGAGCGAACTTGTCCTTTGTTTCTCCCCGCAAGCACTCACATTCCGCAAGTGGAAAACACCCTTGTCAATTCAACAGACATTGCCCTCCGATTTTCCGAGCCGTCAGCTCTGTATCATATGGCTATCAAGGTGTCAGCGACACAGTCAGTGTTTGAAAAGAGTACCACTTTTGGTCTAAAGACAACATGCTCAGTATTTGTTGGAGGCACCGTAAGCACACAGAAGACACGCTCAGCTCGGCATCATCGTCTTCCTGCTCATCTATGGGACGTTGCAAGAGCGGATCATGACGCGGCCCTATGGGGACCAGGCGGAGCGGGCACTTGCGAGGCAGTAGTTGGAGTCATGGCCCATTTGCCTTGCGCATGTAGGCTTTCAGGCTTTGAGGTCTTTTGAACAGGTTCGCTCTGGCAGAACTTTCAGCCAGAAAGATCGGGGATAGTGTATCTTGGGGAGCCTGAGCTCTGATATGCCCAAGATGCGGCAAGCCAAAGAGGTGGCACATGCAATCTCCAGCACTCCGTTAAGAGCTTGCCCAGTCACGCCGCACTTGACTCATGCTGACACAGCCCGAAATGGTCAGGCCCAGATTATCCCCAAAGCTGTCAGTGGCCAGCCATATCAGCCATTGTGTCACCCATATTTTGCAAGGTTCGTATCTCTGTTGGGAGTCCCTTGGTTGACAAGTCTTGGCGTCAGGTCTTCAACTCGTCCATCTTCTTGGTGCTGTGCAACCGCGCGGTCGCAGCCATTTGTGCCCTTTGCGCAGTCTGCTGGCGCCGAGCGCCTTGGCCAGATTCGCATCCTGCGCCTCTGTTTGAGGTCACGCTGTGGCCGTTTTTCCTGCTGGTTCAATAGGCAGGGAACGAGAAATGAAATGACAAGAAAAAAACATCCACTTTTTTATGGTTTCCTTTGTCCAAGAAAAAAAACATCCACTTCCCTATGGTTTCCTTTGTTCGGGAGTCCCCAAAGGGCTTCATTGCCACATTCCCTACTGAGCGCCCCAAAGCCCGGGAGTCCGGCCATTCCCGGCCGCGCCCGCCGCGAGCCGCGGATGCCCAGGAGCCGGTGACCAACGGCGCCCCGTGCTGGCAGTATGCCCTGGGCCCCGGTGGTTGCCCCACGGGAGCATCGCGTGGATGCGCTTCCCAAATCTGGGTATGGGTCAAAACTTAACCCAGGAATCGGACCGCAGGTTTTAGTCCTGGGATCCATTTAACGTTCCATTTTGGGGTGGCCCTAATTTTGACCATATGGCCTTCCTTCCAGTTCCTAAATGGCGGTTGTGGGGCCGTTTTCGCGTTGAGGACGTTGAGGCGAGTTCAAACATTTGCAGAGGGATTTTGGTCTGCCCAAGGGAGCCGCATCGTTGCCAGAGACCCTATTCAAAGCAGTGCTAGATTCTGAATGCTTGAATCTCCTTGCTTGCCCAAAGCGACTTTGCCTTCTCCTTATTTTTTCCCTGTTGAGTCTGCGCCTCAAACGCATCGGCCAAGTGAAGAGACGATACTTTCCTGTTCGCCTGAGAGCCAAACACAGAGTCCTTAGTGCACTGTGCTAGTGGCCACCACCCATTGCCAGTAACACTGGATAGGTTGGGGGTCCCTATTGTTCCTAAAAACTGGGGCAAAGATTGAGCAACTCGCAAACTTGTTGGTCATGGGTTGCCGATCGCCGGACCTCCGCACGCCGAGGCCCTAGTATCCTTCTCCAACGTCTGTGCTAGTGTCTGCCAATATGAGGCTGGATGCTGGGCTGAACGTTGGATCATGTGTAAATCCTGCCGCCCAGACTTGGCAATCTATCGCATTGGCGCTTTTGCTATACTGTCAAACCCAGGGACCCTGGTGGCCCACGTGTAAAAAGCCAAACAAAAAACAACTTCAATCACCAAACGTTCGTAGGGGTCAACTCCTGGTTTCGACCCAAGCCAACTGATGTCGCCTTTTGGCAGGCGTTGAAATATGTGTCCTTCGCGGTGCAGATGCTTGGGAAGTGCTTCAAGATGATGCCCGCAGCGGCCTTGGCAACGAGAGCTCGGGTGCAAACAGGAGAAAAGCCAGTCTTTGTTTTCATGAGTTCGCGAAGGTGGGAGAGAGAGGTCATCACACAGACTGGACTCCGGAGCAAGGAAACGGTGGTTCGAGAAAATGGCAGGGACACTGGAAGTTGAACAAATCTGGCAACCCTTAATTGGTGGTTTGGATTGATTGTTTGGGGATTCGAGCCCCTGGTTCTTGTAGAGGGTAAGTGGGAATCCATCCCCTAACCACCACCTATCCAACCCAGTGCAGCCTGTAGAGGGTAAATGGGAATCCGTCCCCTAACCACCACCAGTGCAACCCCTCCTTTTTGAGGGAAGGTGAAGAATAGGTCGGTGGTCTCAGGTCATGCTGTGGGGCATGGCCATCGACGGCAAGCGCTACAGTCTCACCGACTGGGCGGTGGCGGCTGCCGTCACCGCGGGGGTGATGCAGTTCCTGGTGAAGGGTCCCACCGGCTCCTACAGGCCCAAGCCTCAGGGGGCGGCGGTTTCCCCTGGCTCTGTTGCCCTGTGGCGCCTTTTTTATTGTTTTTATTTTTATTTATTTATTTTTTTCCGGGAGGGGTGTCCCTTTAGACTCAACCAACAAAACAGGGTGCTCATTTTTTTTCCCCGTGGCCACTTGGTTTTTGGAGGCGACCCTTAGGTTGGATAGGCGGCTGCCCTTTGGTTGGGCTTCATTTGGAGGCCTCCAGTCTTGGCCACTTCCTGTCAAGCCGATGTTCCGTGATCAATATTGCTTTCTCATAGGATGGATGCGTCCTTCGTGTTCACCTTGTGATGCGATGCAAACAGATTGCCACGCTGGCCTTTTCGGAGCACGCAGCAAGAAAACGCATCATGCGTGCCCCAGCAAGCGCCAGCCCACCTGCGCTCTGCAGGATTGCCAGGATGTGAAGGAACGCACCAACCAAGATACAACATCTGCTGCCCGGCGTTCGCCAGGTTTGCGCCTGTTGGCAGCGCCAGGAGGTCTGAAGGGTCCTATTTCCCTGGCGGTCTCTGCGGGATGTCCTGATAGGAGATGAAGTGGTGCTTCAGTGGTGCGAATTACAGCCATTAACCATTTATGGTGCGTCCATCCAACCGTGTGGGGATCACAAGACAAAATGCCAGTGGCAGAAGACACGCGCGGTGCAATTGCGCTCTGAGTTCATATGGACCCAAAGATTGTGGGTGCACGCCCGGCTTACAAGCGTGCGCTCCAAGTTGCGCGGCGCCTGCGTTTGATTTCTGAAGAAACGCCAGTCCGGGTGGGGCGGGCTGTGCAAAGAAGCGGGAACGATTTGGCCAAAGGAAACCAACAACAAAGTCTCTCTGTGTGTCTCAGCTCCGGCTGGAAAATCGCAACTTTTAAGTACAAAAACAGTGCGCAAACTACATTCCCACAGTTCCGGAGCAACTTGCACAGAGCACTTGCGTGCAGTCGGCGTGCGCAGACACGTTTGGCGCAGCGATGTAAAATGGTGTCTCGGCTAGATGAGCGCCTATAGAAAATGCTTTCGGGCTTGTTTGTGCAGATCGACATGCCCCAGACCCAATTCACAACTGCATTGCCAGCATCACCAGCATTGGGGATCCCTTTCCTAAGCAGGCTTGTTCTAGTGAAGCTACCTTGCCGAACACATCACCGCATCTCTCGCATTACCAGCATCGCCAGCATCACTAAGACTTCGCTTCTTTGGTCATTGGAACCTGGTTTCAGACATCCGGCTTGCCAGGCAGAATCTGCCAGGCGAAGGCGGTCCAACAGGCTGGCCTCGCTCGTGTCATGGTTGGTGTCCCTTTTTTCAGGATCGCTCCAAGCTGGTAGGCAGCATTGTGCCAGGATCTTCGGAGCACCCTTCTATCATTTGGCTTGACTCAGGGGGGCTATGTTGAGACACCGTCGGAAGTTGCAGGCCGCGGCTACCTGCTGCTGCTGGCCTTTCTGCTCTTGGATGGCTTGACCTCCACCCTGCAGGAGAAGCTCTTTAAGGCGCGGGAAGCTCTTTTTGCTGGCATGTGCTTCAATGAAGCAGGTTGGAAGCACGGAAGAAGACCTAAAACCGTGGCCTCACACCACGCGGTTGAATCAAAACTTTCAACACGATATGGGAAACTGGGAAACTAAAAGGAAGCTTTCAATGTTGAAACAGGTGGCAGCTCCCCGTTTGAAAGTGCTGTGGGTGTTCCGGTGGATACATTCTTGCAAGCATGCGGAGCTTGTGCGTAGCTGGGCCTGAACCCGCTTGCAGCACGCAGGAGCACAGGACAACCAAGTTCAACCAGCAGCTCGGCGGGCACACCGCGCTCAAATATTTGTATTGATCCTTTGAGGCCAAATAATCGAGGATTCGGCTGGCGCTCAGGATGCTTTACACCAACATCATCTCCTCTTTGATCTCCTCGGTCATGCTCATCGCATCGGGCCAGGCTACGTGCCTCGACTGCAAAACAGTCACAGGTCTTTAGGTGCGGTCGGAGTGAGTCACCGCGAGGGTGCGTGCCAATGGCGGGCTTCAGTGGCTTGTTGTTGACCCAGGTCTTCTGTGAACTTCTTGCTGCACCACAGCGACTTTGCCACCGCCACTTGTCATAAGACCACCAGATCGTTGGCGATGTTGTTCGTTTGGGACACGAACCCGGGGGCATGCCCACAACGCGGGGACACCCATGTTTTTCGCGTCCAGGGGAAGAAAGATTTGGCCTTTGAATGGATCCCGTTTCGGTGCAACCCCGCGCCCAAGGACACCGCGGTCCTCTCTGCCTCGGTGCGGTGCTTAAATGGAAGGGACGGACCGACGCGATGATTTTTTGGGGAACAAAAGGTACTGGTGAGACGACTTCGTTGGCCTCCCTGAGAACGCCCGTCAGATGAATTCATGAGCTTTCCTTATCTTATGTTCTTGATATCGCCCAGGCTTGCAGCCTATGAAGGTTAAGCAGATGTGAGCCCCCCGCCACGTGGAGTCTGGCAGTTGAGGCGGTGGCCAGCCAGTGCTTCATCTATTCCCAGGCGCCCGCTTTCCTCTCGCCGAAGATGTTCGGATTTTGGGCAGTTGGGGCCCGGGTCGTCCCCGGGTCGTCCCCGTGCCGTCGCTTTTTTTGGCAGCTTGTATTTGAAGGCTTTTTGGCAGGCGCGGAGGGGCCTGGCAACAAGCACTTCGAAGAGAAGTGCGAGCCTGTCGCGTTGAAACATCGACCCCATCCCATCGCATGTTAGTTTTCCACCTTATCCCTGAGTGGAAAGGGGCATTGTCATATCAAACATGAAATCAGCCCGTTTCAACCTGTCTTCTCGCTTGTCCAAAGTTCCACACTCCTGCTCATGGAATGATGATTTTCCGGCTTAGGCACTTCTCTTTGAGAGAAACTATTCATTCCTCGTGGCAACTTGTATTTTCGTGCCAAGCTTCATGGCGAGTAAGGGAGCTGACGGGAGCTGCTGGGCAACCCGCCTTTAAGTCCTCAAGTAACATACGAAAGTAGTGGCTGAGGAAGCCCCGTTTCCCTCCCGGTACCTTTCGGTAAATGACGCTGCGCGCCAATGGGCCACCCAACTCTGACACCTTGCCCCCATAAGCCTCGTTGAACCTTCTTGCTGGTGAAAAAAAACATGGGCCTTTGGGTAACCTAGGTCCCCGAGTAGTGCCCTTTTACCTTTTTTGGGGGGAGGCTTCCCCTACTAAAATACACTACAGAAAAAAGGGGTACCCTTATTCTAACCTCTCTACTGACTGTATCCCGCAGAGCTGGCCCCGAATTACCGGAGGAGCGTGGATGTCGCCAGGTGCAGGAGTTCGGCGCCCTGGCCTTTGCGGCCACTATGAACGTGCGCCAGGCCGAGCCGCGGCCTTTCGCTTGCGGTCTGCCCAGTTTTGGCTGAAGGCGCTGGACTGGGCTGAAGAAGATTCTTCCCAACAATGGTACGCAGCCAAGCCGTTTGGGGAACTGGGAAAAGGGTGCCTGGCAGGTTCCGGGGGTGAACTTGGCGTCAAAGGTGAGTTGGTAGTTTTGAGGGCTGAATCCCTGGTGAGATGCATATGAACGACAGCCCGCCATCCGAGTTGGCGCTTCTCAAATGGTAATCATATGCAAAACGTGGTTTATCCATTCAATCCTGCGAAGGCGAATGGTCGGTCCCAGGGAGCAATGCGCGCCTCGTGCAGGTGAGCTCCATCATCTTCTCCTACGTTAGGCGCAGAGCGGAGCCACCTGTTCGGTGCATGACCTTGGAGGTAACCCAAAGGGTCATGGATTTACAATCTCAGTGTGTCTTTTTTTTGAGAGTACGCCTTGTTTGGTGGCTTTGAAGGAAAACCAAAAAGGAAGACCCCAACAAGACACACACACACACACACACCCATCCGCCCACGCCAACAATAGGCCACGCGCAAACTCACTCCATGCGGAGTCGAGGGCCAGGGTCACTGACCACAACTAGGTCTTCCAGTAGGGAGGTTAGAATAAGGGCGCCAACTCTTTTTTTTCTTCTGCAGTCTAATAGGGGAACCCTCCCTTCCCGAAAAAAGAAACGGTGAGAAAGGGCACCTAGCTCTGGGGTCATAAATTTGATTGTATCTTTGGGTTATCAAAGTCAGAAACTGGTGGTTTCCCTTTGATCCACCACGGGGGGTGACTTAGTGGCAAAATACAGGGGCCAGCTGGGGTCACTGACGACCAAAAATTCTCGCGACGCCGTCGCATCGTCCGTCGGAAGGTTCGGGCACTACATCACCTCCTCGCAGATCGTGGGCCTGGTGCTCATCTTCTCGGCCGCGGGGCCCAGCGATCTGACAGGGCGCCGGGGGCTGGGCGGGCGGCATGGCATGGAACCGGCGCTGGAAACATAGGTGTCCTTTTTGTTTGGTTAAAAATAGATGGCACTGGTTTAGATGGGGTTTATTCCATTTGCCAGGGCCATCTATTTGTCCAAAAGGCCACCTATGGTCAAACAGCGGTTCCTAGATGCGTTTCTTGTTTTGTTGGGGGGGGGTTCAACCGCATTTTTGAGTTTTTGACTTGGCCACCTTGGCCGGGATGCCAGGATGTTTACAGAAGAAACCAGGGAATGCGGGCAATGCACAAGTATGCTTTGAGTCTTCACATTACCTTGGAAACCAGTGGCCCACCTCACATCACCGGCCTGAGCTACAAGGAGCTCGCACCAGCAATTCGGTGCCCCAGGATGACCTTCTTTTTGGCCGGAACCCAGATTTCAAGTTTGGGAATTCCAGCAGACGGACTCTTTCGGCGATGCCACTTGGGGCTTTCAGCAACACCTGTTTAGCTGTCCGCTTCGCAGCCTGCACCTGAACCTCTTTCAAGTTCCACTCTTGTCAACTCAAACAACATGTAACAAAACCAGAGGGGGAGATTTGCACCAACAGTGAGGCTTTTTGATGGAGGGGTGCAGCTTTCTGACCGGTTTGTCGGCTTGCTTCCAATTTTGTAGGCGCTCTTCTACAAGTGCCTCACCAGCTGGACGGTGTCCAAGTCTGAGAAGCAGCGACTTGTCCAGGAGCCGAAGGAGTGATGATCTGCGGGGTACAGGGCGGTCTTTGGAAGAGATGGGGTTGATGGGCCATGGGTTGGTACGGGTTTGGTATGTGTTCAAAGCTCTTTTCTAGGAAGCAACAAACTGACCCGAGATGTTGTCACCCCTTTGTCCAAATTGTTCTTGCTTGATCCGACCCGATCCAGGCCTTCCCGCAGGATTGCAGCAAGAGCCTGGAACGCCGGGTGAACGATATGTTGGCACATATTGTACGGCGCTACAAAGGGAAGAACCTGTAAAGAAGCCTTATACGGAAATGGCAACGCACGGAAAGGACAACGGTTGGTGGGTTGGTTGGTTGGCTGGTTGGTTGGCTGGTTGGTCGCTTGGTCAGTTGGTTGGTTGGTTGGTTGGTTGGTTGGTTGGTTGGTTGGTTGGTTGGTTGGTTGGTTGGCGCATCTCCGACATCACCAGCCTCACTTGGCTGGGGGTTGCCTATTGCCTCTGATTGGGTGAGGCTATGGGGGGGGGGTAGGCTGGCTCAGATCTTCACTGCGGGTCTTGGGGTGGGGTTGATTTCGGTCACTGTGCCGGGTGGCCTGTGGCCCCAGGAGGCGCCAGAGGATTCCGCGGAGCGCAACAGTCGGGGACTCCGGGCCTTCGGACGTTCGGAAGTGAGGAACTCGATGGCCACTTTGGCACCCACCGGGCGAACCGGAAAACAGGGAGGCATGGCGGGGGTTGAGACAGTGACCGTTTTCAGAAGCCATCCCAGAAAAAATGCGCTAGGACATGCACCTTCGGTTGAAGGATTCGCGTGCTTCTAGGGTCCAAGCCAACCATTCACATCCCAAAACCTTGAGGTCGCTCACCAGGGTCAGCCGCCACAAGGGTTATCCTTTTGGGAGTGTAAACGTTGCGTGTAGGTGTGTGTGTGTGTGTTTTGCATAGGGGACCTTTTGTAGACTGTTCATCTATTTTACATGTCTCACAGGCTCAATGGACCAGCCAGACACCAGGCTTTTCTGGTACCGACGCATTCCCATTCGCTGGCAGGGCGCTCCTTTTTCTGCTGAGGCGCGCGCTATGGTCTCGCCTGACCTCGGCAGCCCGCGGGCATCAGTTCAATGAAGTGAGGAGAGGGAAACAAAGCTGCGAAGAGGCTTTGAGGGGTTCAGGTGTTTTTTTGTAGCCAGGAGGAAATGAAGTGTGTGCACTGTGTTTTTCTGACAGCGGGGGGAAGAGGGAAGCCGCGCAGAAATTAGACCAACTGCGAAATTACTGCTTGGGATTATTTCCAGATGAGAGCCTTGGATATTTTGGACCATGTTGATTTATTTCCAAGAGTCGAATCCCAGGTGTACTGCAAAACAATTTGAGTGACGCCACCGTACCCACTGTCGGAGCGCGAGGGTGACTTGGAAGTAGCTAAAGATATGCAAGATGCCTCGGGCAAATTTAGCTTAAGTGATTGAGCTTGTTGCGTGGCTTGGGAGGAGTAGCTGGTATTTGGAAGGGTTTCGTCACGCGGACAAAGCGGGATATAGTTGTTGCGACTGCGTCCAGTCGGCCGAAGAACAAGTCATGAGTTTTGGAGTTCTAGCAGCCGTAGTGCTCTCCGATCAGCCTCAGGGATGTGGCTAGCTGCCTTCTGCTTCTTGTGTTTCGTTTCATGTTGATCAAGAATGGGATTGGAAGGCACCTATGGCCCAAGACAAGCCGGGCAGAACACAGCGATTCTGCGATCTGCGACTGCCGGCTTGGCTTCTTTTTCTGTTGGAGCTTTGAACCTTCAGCTTATGGACACATGGTTCTTCTTGGCAATCCCCAGTCACGTCGGCAACAAATAGTTCGAGTGCTACCTTCCCCATTCTTTCCAGGGGTCCTTCTTTCCAGAAAACCCCCGGAAGCCCAGGGAAACGGCCGGGTTTTGAAAAGAACGATGGTTGAAGAGAATGGGGAATCAACCTTTAGAATAGTACCGCTTTGTGCTCAGACAGGGGAATCGGGGGTAGGGAGCGCCCCGCTTCAGCCCGCAACACAGCCATGGCCTCAGCGCACTCGCGGAAAGTGCCGCAGTGGCAGGCGTGGCGGTTTCAGCGACTGAGCTTGCCCAAGCCATGAATCACCGAACCCACCAACATAACACCTGAAATGAAATAGGTCACAATATATTGTGTACCTTCGTACAGGTGCTATGTTAGTGGGGAGGCTCTGCGAAGCTGCTGGTTTCGGACAAACAACATTCAGAGAAGGAATCTCCTCAGAAGCTTGACCAGCTACCCTCCTCAACCGGGATGTCCCCAAAAGTAGCAATCCTCGTTTCCACCTTGTTTTTGAAGGACACCGTCGCCAGACCCAAACAAAGTCTTCGCATTTGTAGCACCCGTGAGCCATTGGAAGGCCCCGGAGCGGCCAAAACGGCCTCGGTCCAGGTCCTGTTGCTCCCGCTTCTGGCGCTGGCCTTGGGAGACCTATCGCTGAGGCTGGGGGGAGGCCAGACATTCAAAGTCGAAACCAGTCGAGCATCATGCTGTTTGTTATTATGTTATGAAGTTACGACCATCTTTGTCTCCCTTGGATGTTTGACATCAGCTCGGCTTCATGTCCCTCCCGTGGATCGGCCGGACTGCTTCCGCAGGCCCCAGCCACTCATTGTGAAGTGGCTCTGCATACGATCCGAGTTTGGCTAGCTTGACGTGATTTCCCCTTGGGCTGATGTGTAAAGGGACAAATACGGGAGACCTCTGCGACCTCTTGGGGGCCCATCGGTACACCCGGCCGGGCCCTGGCGGCCAGGTGTTCCGCCGCCTTCTCGAACCTGCTGAACGTGCGCGTGCCCAAGGGGCTTCTGAAGCTGAGGGATGGGAGGTGCGCTTGTGGCAGGGTGCGATATCCCTGCTTCGGCTTTCAGGGCGACAAGAAGCCCTCCTGCTGCGCCACCGGGTTAGCTCATGGTATCGGTTTTTGCTTGTTAGTTTTTTGCCATCATTTGGTATCCTTTGATAGCATTTGGATATCAATGTTCATTGGTGCTAATGCTGGGTTTGGTGTCTGGGTTACAACAACTGAGGCCAAATGCAAGGCGGAGGGCATGGTCAACATCAGGCATCGGAGGTGTACCTGTGGAGAAGCACAGCCATGTTTTGGGTTTCCAGAAGATGCGCGGCCTTTGTGTTGTGCCAAATGCAAATTGGAGGGTATGGTGGACATCAAAAACCCGAGATGCAACTGTGGTAGGGCAAAACCTTCGTTCGGAATGCCAGAGGATGCGCGGCCTTCTTGCTGTGCCAAGTGCAGGTTGGAAGGCATGATAAACATGCGCAATCCAAGATGCAAGTGTGGGAAAGCACGGCCTTCTTTCGGGATGCCTGAAGATGCACGGCCCTCCTGCTGCGTCCAGTGCAAACTTGAGGGCATGATCGACATGACAAATCGCAGATGTAACTGTGGTAGAGCACGGCCATATTTTGGGATGCCAGATGATGCACGGCCTTCTTGCTGTGCCAAGTGCAAATTGGAGGGCATGGTTGACATTAGAAGCCGCAGATGCAACTGCGGCAAAGCAGTTCCTTCTTTCGGGATGCCGGATGATGCACGTGCCTCCTACTGCTCCAAGTGCAAGTTAGAGGGCATGATCGACATCAAAAACACGAGATGCAACTGTGGTAAAGCAAAGCCTTCTTTCGGGATGCCAGAGGATGTGCGGCCCTCCTGCTGTGCCAGGTGCAAGCAGGAGGGCATGATTAACATCAAGATACGAAGGTGCAAGTGTGGCAGAGCAAAGCCTTCTTTTGGAATGCTTCGGGATGCTGGTCCCTCTTGCTGTGCCAAGTGCAAGTTGGTGGGCATGGTTGACATGACAAGTCGCCGATGCAATTGTGGTAGAGCAGTTGCTTCTTTTGGGATGCCAGAGGATGCACGACCCTCTTGCTGCGCCGAGTGCAAGCTGGAGAACATGATTGACATCAGAAGTATCAGATGTAATTGTGGCAGAGCAAAGCCGTCTTTCGGAATGCCAGGGAACACCTGGCCCTCCTGCTGTGTCAAGTGCAAGTTGGATGGCATGGTCAGAATAAGAACTAGCAAGTGCAACTGTGGCAAAGCAAGGCCACGTTTTGGGATGCCAGGGGATGCACGTCCTTCTTGCTGCGCCCAGTGCAAAATGGAGGGCATGGTCGACATCATAAGTCGAAGGTGTAAGTGTGGCAAAGCAAGCCCGTCTTTTGGGATGCTAGGGGACGCGCGGCCTTCTTGCTGCGCCGAGTGCAAGTTGGAAGGCATGGTCGACATACATCATCGAAGATGCAAATGTGGCAGAGCACGACCTTCGTTTGGGATGCCAGAGGACGCACGGGCCTCCTGCTGCGCCAACTGCAAGTCAGAGGGCATGGTTGCCATCAGAAAGCGATGATGATCTGCTGAGCCATGCGGATTCCAGAAAATGTGCGATCCTTGTGCTGTGCCACGTGCACGTTGTAGGCCCTGATCAACATCCGAGATCTGAACTTACGATTATGGCTTCTGTGAACATGTCTGAAGCGGACTGGACCACATCTTCGAACTTGTCGCACCGCAGCCACTGGCGAACGGCTGCGGCTTCTCAACGAGCTGTCCGCGCTTCGTTTGGGTGCCGGGCCACTTGGCCGGACTTGGGGGCTCGGAGCGTGCCGGGGCGACGCCCCTCATCCCTCACCACACCCGAGTGGGGAGCAAACGGAATGAAGTGAGCGCTGCAGCTAAGAAGACATTTGGTAAAGGAAAACCAAAGAGCGTGCCCTGGAGCGAGGGAGGTTGGGCGAGAAGTTGTGGGGCAGTTGAGATGCGACATGGCTGCTGACTACATATTAGTTAATCTTCTGACAAGATGACCTCTCACATGATGAAAGATCCTGTCTTGGACTTTCTTGATCCGCAGCCGTCCGCTCCCACACGACGCATCAGCCCCATGGCCAAACGAAGGGCCCAGGCGGATCTCTTGCCAAGTCGGGGGGCCGAAGTAGAGTGACGGTCGTCCGTTTTCTGGCGGAAGACTCGGGGCTTGCACATCCCATCACATCCCCATCCCCACCGTTTCACCCAGTCATTGATCTTTCTTTCTCTGGACCTTGACCGGTTCGGACTTCCTTGGGCAATGGGTCGAGTCACAAGACTGCGAGAGTTCCAGCGCCTCATGTGGCAGGCTGGATGGATGGCTGCGGTTGCGGCAACTTGGGCGGTGGCGGTGGTTTGGACTGCCAGGCCAGGCCTCTACGGACGGCTTTGGGGAATCTTCTGTGTTCTGGGGATCCTTGGGAGGCGTTCAAGCGGCCTTCCCCTTTTCAGCGGAGTTCTTTGCGAAGTGGGTTTGTCGTGGTTTGTCCAGTCCTTGGCAGATGGTCGATGAGTGTGGGGTGCATGGAGACAAAACAGTTCATAGTCATAGTCGTGACATGATCTTCCTATTCTGAGGCGAGCTGGCCTGGAGGGTAATACTAACCGACCTCATCATCGTGTACATCCTTTACTTGGGGGATCCCTTATTTCAGGTTTGAGATTTACTTGAAGAACTTGCAGACGTAAAGGAGTGGATCACAGGCGCTAAGGGCTTGGCAGACCCAGCTTGTTTGCCCCTGGAGGTGCCCTGGAGCCGTTGGTGCCGTCGAGGGTCTGAGAGGCCCAGCAGCCGCCAAGGCTGGAAGGCTCAATGTCCGCACTGGCGCGTGCGGCAGAAAGTGGCGGGGCTGCGTTTGCCGCGGTGTGAAACAGCCATGCTTTGGGTTTCATGGTGACAAGCGGCCTTCTTGTTGCGCCAAGTGCAAGTTGGAGGGGATGGTTGACATCAGACATCCCAGATGCAACTGTGGCAGAGCGATACCTTGTTTTGGGATGCCACAGGATGCTCGGCCCTCCTGCTGTGCCAAGTGCAAGCTGGAGGGCATGGTTGACATCAGAAGCGCGAAATGCAACTGTGGCAGAGTGATTCCTTGTTTCGGGATGCCAGACGATACGCGGGCCTCCCATTGCGCCGAGTGCAAGCTGGAGGGCATGGTTGACATCAGAAATCGGAGATGCAACTGTGGCAAAGCACAGCCTGCTTTCGGGATGCCAGAGGATGCGCGGCCCTCCTGCTGCGCCAAGTGCAAGTTGGAGGGCATGGTTGACATCAGAAGCCCGAAATGCAACTGTGGCAGAGCATTTCCTTCTTCTGGGATGCCAGAAGATGCGCGCGCCTCCTGCTGCGCGAAGTGCAGGTTGGAGGACATGGTTGACATCAAACATCCGAGATGCTACTGTGGCAGAGCACGGCCCCATTTCGGTATGCCAAACGATGCGCGTCCCTGCTGCTGCGCCAAGTGCAAGTTGGAGGGCATGGTTGACATCAGAAATCCAAAGTGCTCTGTTTGCGGAAAGAATGCGTGTTATCCAGATGCTGCTGGCAAACCGCGGCGGCTTTGCGCAGGGCACTCCGCCGAAGTCGGTGCTCACGTGCTGTCCGCACCATCCTGGTCTCGTGCTGCAGGTGAGTTTTTGGATCTCTTGGAGGAGGAGCAAGGCTTCAAATTCCCGTTTCGTCAGAGATTTGACGAAGCAGCCGGCGCATGGTCTGGGGAGGAGTTTGCCGGATTGGTCCCAAATAGAGCGCTGCGGCCTGACGCACATGATCCACAGCGGCGGGAAGCATCCCGAGCAACTGGGCAGTCCAAAGCAATCATCACGGAAGCAAGCAAGTTCAATCTTCCTGGGACTGTTTTGCAGCCCAGCGTTGAGATACTTTTGCCTTGGCTGTTTGGGGCATTTGCTTACAAGGCTTACCCTTTATGTCGAGAGGTGTGCTTCTACGTCCGTTGAATAAGCTGTCACAATGGCATAGCCACTTAGCATGCGCTCACACTGCTGGAGCGGTCGTGCTTTCCTGCGGCGGCGCTGGCTGAGGCATCTCAGCTTCACTTGCGTGGGCGGCAAGACGTCCCCGGAGCTCCATCGCGAGACTTTCGAGCGCCTGGACCTCTTCCTGGAGCAAAATCTGCGCGTCTTCTACGTCTGGGAGCACGAGTTCACCGAGTGGCGGAAGCTGGCGGCTTGGCGGCGCCGGGAGCAGGTTGTCAGAGTTGGGGCAAGCAATGGGTGTGAGTGCCCCAGGTTAGGGATCCTTTCTTTGCCGACATTGTTTTATAATGTATATATATAAGTATATACACGCATAATGTAGAGGAAATCGACTTGCTTTGCGGCACCAAATATGCTTCAGGCTGTCCAGCAGGACGGACATGAGAGTGGAGCGTCATGTTGATTAGATTCTCGACCGTGATGTCAGAAGAGACTTTACCAGGAAGCTCATCATGTTGCCAGACTCCACTTCTAGGGTGAAGCAAAGGGAGAAACACTGTGTTCACGTGTCTCTGCCAAAGATTTGTTTCCTTCCCATCATTCTGGCCATCGATTCAACCTCCAGGATTCACCTGGATGAATGAGAAATCCCTATAAGTCGGTCCTGTTATACCAGGCCTGCGAAAGACAGTACGTGGATGTGGCAGCGCTGCACCGTCTCATTTTCTCGCAGGAAATCCTGGTTTTGAACTCTGGTTTTCCATGGCTCCACAACTTGGAGCTAATGTTGACCATGACCGGCTTTGCACTTGTAAAATCAGCTGTGCTTTGGAAGGGCGGATACTTCTATCTCAGGCTTGACTCATTCGTGGATTTGGTAAGCTGAGAGTCCGTGCCACTCCTTTGGGCTTTGGTCAAAGCCAACGGCACGATTCCGACACGCGCTGAGCCCCAGATTTGTGCACCGAGGCAGCCACCGGCGAGGCGCCGCCCATCTCTCGGATCCTGCGCCGACACACCAAGCGCAGCTCGAAGGCGAGGAGAACCGCCAAGAAGAGTGCGAAGACCGCTGCTGGGGCAAAGCGTCATGCAAGCTGATGCAAGCGGGCCGTTTGTCCAGAGACCTGGAAGGATGCAAAAGGAAGTTCCCAGAGGCATTGCAGGATAGGCACGCGGAGTCTGGAGCATGCGTGCTTGAAACGAGAAGATCTTCTTCGTAAACTTCATGTTCAAGCTGTCGCTGCCTGGCGCGCTGAATCCGAGCATTTGCGATGAGCCGTGCCGGGCCGGGCACCCGGGCACAAGCGAGGTGCGAGAGCTCGCCGCTCGCAGCCTGGGCGGTGCCTCGGATTTCGCCGGCCCGGGGGCATCTCGGAGGTGTTGCGCGTGTGGCTTAGCTTCATGCATCTGTCATCATCTTGTTTCACCGGTTTCACCTCAGCCCTTCGAATAATTCTGGAGCTGGTTTGCTGTGAGGAAGGCATGGCTCGGCCAGGAAGACAAGCCAAACCTGGTTCACGTCGCCAGCTGTTGGGCCGTCGAATGGATCCGGAGCCAAGGCGCCAGAGGGGGGCAAGGTCCGGCGGCTTCAACAGATTTAGACAAAGAAGGTGCAGGACCTACTGCATGATGTACGTGCTTCGGCACTGGATCAGAGGGCTGGAGCAGTTAGAGTTGTTTGTTCGAGAGGTACATGACTGCACCACAAGAAATGTTTGTTTTGCAGTGATAGCGTAGGAATCGAGCTCTTGAACTGAGTCCACGCTTTATATCGAGGTGGACTCTGCTACTTCTTGAGTGTCGCTCGTGCACTGCAGTGCGGACCATGCCGCAGTTCAAGCTAGGTGTGCCTATCCCCATCCCCCCGTCCCATGCGACCAGTGAGGTCATTGCTGGTCACCAGTGTCGCAGCTGATTAGTGCAGCCTCAGCATTCGAAGCCTGCCAAGAGCTCTCCTTTGCGTCTTCCAACACATATCAGTTGTATCCCATTGCAAAGGGTCCATATAACTTTTGTGCGCTGGCCAGCGTTGGAATCGGGTTCTTCCGAGCTGTAGCTTTGAGATGTTTGTGGGATGACACGGACCATCCAGTCGGCACAAATGCTGGTGGGACCTTCGCAAGTGGATGGGATAGCGGCGCAGGTGCGTATCTTTCAGTCAGGGAGGTCAACATTTTCCACGGTTCAAGTGCCTTGCCTTGGTTTGAGGGTCGCTGTTCATCAGCGCATCCGACCCGTCGCATTTTTTAGAACTTTCGAAGCCCTAAATAATTTGAGATAGGAATGCCACGTTGCATTAGCTGCGGAGGAGTATGGTCCAGAAATCCAACGACTATGCACTGCAGCCACTCTGACACCCAAGCCGCTTGCGCACGTCGGAGGCCCATGGCAGGTCGCAGATGGCGCACTCCTCGCCCGTGGCAGACAGGTTCGGCGGGTGTGACCGTGGCCTGGGCAGCGGTGGTGGTGCTGGTTTGCGGCACTGCCAGGCGCGGCTGGGCTTGGCTCGGGGGGTTCCGCCTCCCTGATGGAGTCCCGCGATTAGATCATATGCGGGAAGGCAAGATGTACAGAGTCAAGATGTTGGCGGGAAGGCGCATCAGCCCTAAGTAGAGGCCTTGCAACCAGCTGAGCAGCTGAGTGATGAAAGCTTGCCGGGTGCTTTTACCTCCCTGGAGGTGCCCCGGAGCTGCTGTTGGCGCCGTCGCGCAGGCGGCCACGCCCGGAAGGCTCCACGTCCGTGGTGCGGTGCCAGGCGCATCTAGCAGTAGCAAGAAGCTGCTGGGCTGCGTGTGCGGTGGCGTGAAGCGCCCATGCTTTGGGTTTCAGGGTGACAAGCGGCCCTCCTGCTGCGCCAAGTGCAAGCTGGAGGGCATGGTTGACATCAAACATCCGAGATGCAACTGTGGCAGAGCACAGCCTGCTTTCGGGATGCCAGAGGATGCGCAGGCCTCCTGTTGTGCCAAGTGCAAGTTGGAGGGCATGGTTGACATCAGAAATCCGAGATGCAACTGCGGCAGAGCACGGCCCCATTTCGGTATGCCAAACGATGCGTGTCCCTCCTGCTGCGCCAAGTGCAAGTTGGAGGGCATGGTTGACATCAGAAGTCGGAGATGCAACTGTGGCAGAGCAATTCCTTGTTTTGGGATGCCAGAGGATGCGCGGGCCTCCTGCTGCGCCAAGTGCAAGTTGGAGGGCATGGTGGACATCTTACATCCAAAGTGCTCTGTCTGCGGGACACGCGCTTCGTATCCAGATGCTGCTGGTGTTCCGCGGCAGCTTTGCGCAGCACACTCTGCCGAAGTCGGTGCACATGTGCTGTCCTTACCATCCTGGTCGCGCGCTGCAAGTGATTGTTTGGATCTTTTGGAGGAAGAACAAGGCTTTAACTATCGGTTTCGTCGCAGGTTTGACGAAGAAGCCGGCGCATGGTCTGGGGAGGAGTTTGCTGGATTGGTCCCAGATAGAGCGTTTCGGCCTGATGCACATGACCCGCAGCGGCGTGAGATCGTGGAGTTTCTTGGGAACTACTACCACGGCTTTCCTCCGGAGCATCCGCAGCAGCTTAGCTGTGCAAACAAACATATGAGAGAAGCAAACACCATGCTCCAGCGAGCCATGATTTCTCCTCGACATCCCTTGGCTTTCACCTGCATGTTTTACCCTTCATGTATGACGACATGCTTGGCTTCTTAGAACAAATGCCTTCAATGGCATAGGCACATGCTCGCGACGCAAGGTTGGAGCAGTCGGAGCAGTCGGGGCAATGAGAAATGGAGTGGTTTTGCAAGCTCAGGCATCTCAGCTTCACTTGCGTGGGCGGCAAGACGTCCCCGCAGCTCCATCGCGAGACCTTCGAGCGCCTGGATCTCTTCCTGCAGCAAAATCTGCGCGTCTTCTACGTCTGGGAGCACGAGTTCACCGAGTGGCAGAAGCTGGCGTCTCGGCGGTGCTTGGAGAGGTTTCGGGCTTGGCGGCACAAGCAACAGGTGTGAGTGCCCCTGGTTAAGGATTGCTTCTTTGCTGACATTGTTTTACAACGTGTATTCGTTTCTAGATGCAGAGGAGTTTGAATTGCGTTGTTGCTCCAGATATACATCAGGCTGTCCAACAGCGTTGAGGGAGTAAGATGACACACCATACGGGGAGATGAAGCTGGACGGGAATGAGAGCTGAGCATGATTGATTAGGACTTTCAGCCATGATCTTCTAGAATTCACAAGGGTTCCGCAAACTGGCCTCACACTTTATTAATATGTCTCTCCTTGCAAAATGGTCACGGCAGTTTGCTTCTTCTTCTTCTTCTTCTTCTTCTTTGCCATCATTCTGGCCATGAATTCAACCTCCAGGAATCAATTACAATTGGATGAATGACAGTACGTGGATGTGGCAGCAAGCTGAGTCCGTGCTACTCCTTTGGGCTTTGGTCAAAGCCAACGGCACGATTCCGACACGCGCTGAGCCCCAGATTCGTGCACCGAGGCAGCCACCGGCGAGGCGCCGCCCATCTCTCGGATCCTGCGCCGACACACCCAGCGCAGCTGGAAGGCGAGGAGAACCGCCAGGAAACGCGGGCAGAAGGCCGCTGCAGCGAAGCGCCATGCAGGCTGATGCAAGCGAGTCGTTTGTCCAGAGACCTGGAAGGATGCAAAAGGAAGTTCCCGGAGGAATTGCAGGATAGGCACGCGGAGTCTGGAGCATGAGTGCTTGAAACGAGAATATCTTCTATGCAAGCTTCGTGTTCAAGCTGTCGCTGCCTGGTGCGCTGAATCCGAGCCGTGCCGGGCCGGGCACAAGCGAGGTGCGAGAGCTCGCCGCTCGCAGCTGGGCGGTGCCTCGGATTTCGCCGGCGCGGGGGCATCTCGGAGATTTTGCGAGGTGTGAGAGCTCGCTGCTCGCAGCTGGGCGGTGCCTCGGATTTCGCCGGCGCGGGGGCATCTCGGAGGTGTTGCACGTGAGGCTTGGCATCATGCGTCTTTCATGACCTTGTTTCACCGGTTTCACCTCAGCCCTTCGAATAAGTCTGGAGCTTGTTTGCTGTGAGCTTGTTTGCATGGTTCACGTCGCCAGCTGTTGGGCCTTCGAATGGATCCGGCGCCAAGGCGCCAGAGGGGGCAAGGCCCAGCGGCTGTAGCAGATTTAGACTAAGAAGGTGCTGCATGATATACGTGCTTCGGCACTGGATCAGAGGGCTGGAGCCGTTAGTTGTTTGTTCGTAGAGGTACATGACTGCACCAAGAAATGTTTGTTTGGCAGTGATAACGTAGGAATCGAGCTCTTGAACTGAGTCCGCACTTTATATCGAGGTGGAGTCTGCTACTTCTTGAGTTGTGTCGGTCGTGCACTGCAGTGCGGACCATGCCGCAGTTCAAGCTAGGTGTGCCTATCCCCATCCCCCCGTCCCATGCGACCAATGAGGTCATTGCTGGTCACCAGTATCGCAGCAGATGAGTGCAGTCCCAGCATTCGAAGCCTGCCAAGAGCTCTCCTTTGCGTCTTCCAACACATATCAGTTATATCGCATTCCAAAGGGTCCATATAACTTTTGTGCGCTGGCCAGCGTTGGAATCGGGTTCTTCCGAGCTGTAGCTTTGAGATGTTTGTGGGATGACACGGACCATACAGTCGGCACAAATGCTGGTGGGACCTTCGCAAGTGGATGGGATAGCGGCGCAGGTGCGTATCTTTCAGTCAGGGAGGTCAGCTTTTGCCACGGGTCAAGTGCTGTGCCTTGGTTTGAGGGTCGCTGTTCATCAGCGCATCCGACCCGTCGCATTTTTTAGAACTTTCGAAGCCCTAAATAATTTGAGATAGGAATGCCACGTTGCATTAGCTGCGGAGGAGTATGGTCCAGAAATCCAACGACTATGCACTGCAGCCACTCTGACACCCAAGCCGCTTGCGCACGTCGGAGGCCCATGGCAGGTCGCAGATGGCGCACTCCTCGCCCGTGGCAGACAGGTTCGGCGGGTGTGACCGTGGCCTGGGCAGCGGTGGTGGTGCTGGTTTGCGGCACTGCCAGGCGCGGCTGGGCTTGGCTCGGGGGGTTCCGCCTCCCTGATGGAGTCCCGCGATTAGATCATATGCGGGAAGGCAAGATGTACAGAGTCAAGATGTTGGCGGGAAGGCGCATCAGCCCTAAGTAGAGGCCTTGCAACCAGCTGAGCTCCTGGAGTGTTCCCTGGAGGTGTTGCCCCTGGAGGTGCCCCAGAGCTGCTGTTGGCGCCTTCGTGCAGGCGGCCACGCCCGGAAGGCTCCATGTCCGTGGTGCAGTGCCAGGCGCATCTAGCAGTAGCAAGAAGCAGCTGGGCTGCGTGTGCGGTGGCGTGAAGCGACCATGCTTTGGGTTTCAGGGCGACAAGCGGCCCTCCTGCTGCGCCAAGTGCAAGTTGGAGGGCATGGTTGACATCAAACATCCGAGATGCAACTGTGGCAGAGCACAGCCTGCTTTCGGGATGCTAGAGGATGTGCGGGCCTCCTGTTGCGCCCAGTGCAAGCTGGAGGGCATGGTTGACATCAGAAATCCGAGATGCAACTGCGGCAGAGCACGGCCCTATTTCGGTATGCCAAAGGATGCGAGCCCCTCCTGTTGCGCCGAGTGCAAGCTGGAGGGCATGGTTGACATCAGAAGTCGGAGATGCATCTGTGGCAGAGCAATTCCTTGTTTTGGGATGCCAGAGGATGCGCGGGCCTCCTGCTGCGCCAAGTGCAAGTTGGAGGGCATGGTGGACATCTTACATCCAAAGTGCTCTGTCTGCGGGACACGCGCTTCGTATCCAGATGCTGCTGGTGTTCCGCGGCAGCTTTGCGCAGCACACTCTGCCGAAGTCGGTGCACATGTGCTGTCCTTACCATCCTGGTCGCGCGCTGCAAGTGATTGTTTGGACAAGGCTTTAACTATCGGTTTCGTCGCAGGTTTGACGAAGAAGCCGGCGCATGGTCTGGGGAGGAGTTTGCCGGCTTGGTCCCAGATAGAGCGTTTCGGCCTGATGCACATGACCCGCAGCGGCGTGAGATCGTGGAGTTTCTTGGGAATTACTACCACGGCTTCCCTCCGAAACATCCGCAGCAACTTGGCAGAGCAAAGCATCCAGGGAAGCAGGTGAGATCATGACATTTCCCAGGTCTGTGTGGCATTGCCCGGCCTTGATCTACTTGCCCTTTTGCCTGTCGTTCTCAGCGCATTTGCTCGCAAGGGTTCTTCACTCTTCCTGTCCTAAGGAACCTTCCCATTGCCTCTGAACAACACCCATCAGCCAAGAGGAAGCATCCACCGCCCCGCGTCTCACCTGCTGAGGCATCTCAGCTTCACTTGCGTGGGCGGAAAGACGTCCCCGGAGCTCCATCGTCGAAACCTTCGAGCGCCTGGACCTCTTCCTGGAGCAAAATCTGCGCGTCTTCTACGTCTGGGAGCACGAGTTCACAGAGTGGCAGAAGCTGGCGGCTCGGCGGAGAGGGGCTTTCGGGCTTGGTTGCACAAGCAAGAGGTTTGAGTGCCTCAGGGTTCAGGATCGTTTCTTTGCTGACATTGTTTGATGACGCGTTCGCAAATAGAGGCAGACGAGTTTGAATTGCGTTGTTGCTCCAGATATACATCAGGCTGCGCAGGCTGTCCAACAACGCCCTGATCACAGCGTTGAGGGAGTAAGATGACACGCAATATGGGGAGATAAAGCTGGACGGGAATGAGAGCTGAGCATGATTTGATTAGGACTTTCAGCCATGATCTTCTAGAATTCACAAGGGTTCCGCAAACTGGCCTCACACTTTATTAATATGTCTCTCCTTGCAAAATGGTCACGGCAGTTTGCTTCTTCTTCTTCTTCTTCTTCTTCTTTGCCATCATTCTGGCCATGAATTCAACCTCCAGGAATCAATTACAATTGGATGAATGACAGTACGTGGATGTGGCAGCAAGCTGAGTCCGTGCTACTCCTTTAGGCTTTGGTCAAAGCCAACGGCACGATTCCGACACGCGCTGAGCCCCAGATTCGTGCACCGAGGCAGCCACCGGCGAGGCGCCGCCCATGTCTCGGATCCTGCGCCGACACACCCAGCGCAGCTGGAAGGCGAGGAGAACCGCCAGGAAACGCGGGCAGAAGGCCGCTGCAGCGAAGCGCCATGCAGGCTGATGCAAGCGAGTCGTTTGTCCAGAGACCTGGAAGGATGCAAAAGGAAGTTCCCGGAGGAATTGCAGGATAGGCACGCGGAGTCTGGAGCATGAGTGCTTGAAACGAGAAGATCTTCTATGCAAGCTTCGTGTTCAAGCTGTCGCTGCCTGGCGCGCTGAATCCGAGCATTTGCAATGAGCCGTGCCGTGCCGGGCACCCGGGCACAAGCGAGGTGCGAGAGCTCGCCGCTCGCAGCCTGGGCGGTGCCTCGGATTTCGCCGGCCCGGGGGCATCTCGGAGGTGTTGCGCGTGTGGCTTAGCTTCATGCATCTGTCATCATCTTGTTTCACCGGTTTCACCTCAGCCCTTCGAATAATTCTGGAGCTGGTTTGCTGTGAGGAAGGCATGGCTCGGCCAGGAAGACAAGCCAAACCTGGTTCACGTCGCCAGCTGTTGGGCCGTCGAATGGATCCAGAGCCAAGGCGCCAGAGGGGGGCAAGGTCCGGCGGCTTCAACAGATTTAGACAAAGAAGGTGCAGGACCTACTGCATGATGTACGTTCTTTGGCACTGGATCAGAGGGCTGGAGCAGTTAGAGTTGTTTGTTCGAGAGGTACATGACTGCACCAAGAATGGTTTAATTGGCAGTGATAACGTAGGAATCGAGCTCTTGAACTGAGTCCACACTTTATATCCAGGTGGACTCTGCTACTTCTTGAGGTTTGTCGCTCGTGCACTGCAGTGCGGATCATGCCGCAGTTCAAGTTAGGTGTGCCTATCCCCATCCCCCCGTCCACCAGTATCGCAGCAGATGACAGCATTCGAAGCCTGCCAAGAGCTCTCCTTTGCGTCTTCCAACACATATCAGTTATATCGCAGTCCAAAGGGTCCATATAACTTTTGTGCGCTGGCCAGCGTTGGAATCATGTCCTTCCGAGCTGTAGCTTTGAGGTGTTTGTGGGATGACACGGACCATACAGTCGGCACAAATGCTGGTTGCACCTTTGGAAGTGGATGGGATAACGGCGCTGGTGCGCATCCTTCAGTCAGGGAGGTCAGCTTTTGCCACGGGTCAAGTGCTGTGCCTTGGTTTGAGGGGCGCTGTTCATCAGCGCATCCGACCCGTCGCAATTTTTAGAACTACAGAAGCCCCAAATAATTTGAGATAGGGATGCCACGGTGCAATAGCTGCGGAGGAGTATCCTCCAGAAATCCAAAGACTATGCACTGCAGCCACTCTGACACCCAAGCGGCTTGTGCACGTCGGAGGCCCATGGCAGGTCGCAGATGGCGCACTTCTCGCCCGTGGCAGACGGGTTCGGCGGGTGTGACTGTGGCCTGGGCAGCGGTGGCGGTGCTGGTCAGCACCGCCAGGCGCGGCTGGGCTTGGCTCGGGGGGTTCCGCCTGCCTGATGGAGTTCAGGAATTGGAGCATATGCTTGATGACCGCTTTACGGAGGTAGCATGTTGGCGGGAAGGCGCATCAGCCCTAAGTAGAGGCCTTGCAACCAGCTGAGCTCCTGGAGTGTTCCCTGGAGGTGTTGCCCGTGGAGGTGCCCCAGGCTGCTGTTGGCGCCGTCGTGCAGGCGGCCACGCCCGGAAGGCTCCACGTCCGTGGTGCGGTGCCAGGCACATCTAGCAGTAGCAAGAAGCAGCTGGGCTGCGTGTGCGGTGGCGTGAAGCACCCAATGCTTTGGGTTTCGAGGCCTGTGACAATGCGGCCCTCCTGCTGCGCCAAGTGCAAGTTGGAGGGCATGGTTGACATCAAACATCCGAGATGCAACTGTGGCAGAGCACAGCCTGCTTTCGGGATGCCAGAGGATGCGCGGGCCTCCTGCTGCGCCAAGTGCAAGTTGGAGGGCATGGTTGACATCAAGAATCCGAGATGCAACTGTGGCAGAGCACAGCCTGCTTTCGGGATGCCAGAGGATGCGCGGGCCTCCTGTTGCGCTGAGTGCAAGTTGGACGGCATGGTTGACATCAGAAGTCGGAGATGCAACTGTGGCAGAGCACGGCCCTGTTTCGGGATGCCAGAGGATGCCTGGCCCTCGTGCTGCGCCAAGTGCAAGGTGGAGGGCATGGTGGACATCTTACATCCAAAGTGCTTTGTCTGCGGGACACGCGCTTCGTATCCAGATGCTGCTGGCAAGCCGCGGCAGCTTTGCGCAGCACACTCTTCCGCCGTCGGTGCACATGTGCTGTCCTCTCCATCCTGGTCGCGCGCTGCAAGTGATTGTTTTGATCTTTTGGAGGAAGCACAAGGCTTTGACTATCGGTTTCGTCGCAGGTTTGACGAAGAAGCCGGCGCATGGTCTGGGGAGGAGTTTGCCGGCTTGGTCCCAGATAGAGCGTTTCGGCCTGATGCACATGACCCGCAGCGGCGTGAGATCGTGGAGTTTCTTGGGAATTACTACCATGGCTTCCCTCCGAAACATCCGCAGCAACTTGGCAGAGCCCCAGGTCTGTTTGGCAATGCCCGGCCTTGATCTACTTGCCCCTTTGCCTGTCGTTCTCAGCGCATTTGCTCGCAAGGGTTCTTCACTCTTCCTGTCCTAAGGAACCTTCCCACTGCCTCTAAACAACACCCATCAGCCAAGAGGAAGCATCCACCGCCCCGCGTCTCACCTGCTGAGGCATCTCAGCTTCACTTGCGTGGGCGGAAAGACGTCTCCGGAGCTCCATTGCGAGACGTTTGAGCGCCTGGACCTGTTCCTGGAGCAGGGCCTCCGCGTCTTCTACGTCTGGGAGCACGAGTTCACCGAGTGGCAGAAGCTGGCGGCTTGGCAGTGCTTGCAGAGGGGCTTTCGGGCTTGGCGGCACAAGCAACAGGTGTGAGTGCCCCAGGGTGAAGACTCGTGCATTTACAAATAGATACAGAAAATTCAATTTGTTTTGTGGCACCAGATATGCATCAGGCTGTCCAAAAGTGTCCTGATCATGCTGTTAAGAGAACATCGAGTGAACCCCTTGCGGGGAATGAGGCTGGGCGGACATGAGTTTGAGCATGATGCTATAGTTGTATTCTTGGCAGATAATTGACAAGAAAGACTATCATGTTACCAGACTCCACTACAAAGGTTCAGCAAAGTGGTGTGTCCTTGGATCACGGCCGTTTGCTTCTCTACCATCATGGACAGCGGATACTTCTATCCCAGGCTTGACCTATTCCAGGATTTGGTAAGCTGAGTGAGCCCCTGATGCCTGCACCGAGGCAGCCACCGGCGAGGCGCCGCCCATCTCCCGGATCCTGCGCCGACACACCCAGCGCAGCTCGAAGGCAAGGAGAACCGCCAAGAAGAGCGCGAAGACCGCGGCGGCAGCAGCGAAGCGCCATGCGAGCTGATGCAAGCGAGTCGTTTGTCCAGAGACCTGGAAGAATGCAAAAGGAAGTTCCCAGAGGAATTGCAGGACAGGCAAGCTGAGTCAGGAGCATGCGTGCTTGAAACGAGAAGATCTTCTTCGTAAACTTCATGTTCAAGCTGTCGCTGCCTGGCGCGCTGAATCCGAGCCGTGCCGGGCCGGGCACAAGCGAGGTGCGAGAGCTCGCCGCTCGCAGCTGGGCGGTGCCTCGGAAGGTGTTGCCAAGCCGGATGCAGCCGGCCCGGGGGCCATCTCGGAGGTGTTGCGCGTGAGGCTTAGCATCATGCGTCTTTCATCACCTCGTTTCACGGGTTTCACCTCAGCCCTTCGAATAATTCTGGAGCTGGTTTGCTGTGAGGAAGGCATGGCGCGGCCAGAAAGACAGCAAGCCAAACCCGTCGCCAGCTCTGTTGGGCCTTCGAATGGATCCGGAGCCAAGGCGCCAGAGGGGCAAGGTCCGGCGGCTTTAGCAGATTTAGACTAAGAAAGTGCAGAACCTACTGCATGATATACGTTCTTCGGCACTGGATCAGAGGGCTGGAGCAGAAAATTGTTTGTTCGAGAGGTACATGACTGCACCAAGAAATGTTTGTTTGGCAGGGATATTGTAGGAATCTCTTGAACTGAGTCCACGCTTTATATCGAGGTGGACTCTGCTACTTCTTGAGTCGTGTCGCTCGTGCACTGCAGTGCGGACCATGCCGCAGTTCGAGCTAGGTGTGCCTATTTCCATCCGCCCGTCCCATGCGACCAATGAGGTCTTTGCTGGTCACCAGTAGTGCAACAGACTAGTGCAGCCTCAGCATTCGAAGCCTGCCAAGAGCTCTCCTTTGCATCTTCCAACACATATAGTCATATCGCATTCCAAAGGTTCAATATAACTTTTGTGCGCTGGCCGGGTTTGGAATCGTGTTATTCCGAGCTGTAGCTTTGAGGTGTTTGTGGGATGACACGGGCCATAGAGTCGGCACAAATGCTGGTGGGATCTTTGGAAGTGGATGGGATGAAGCAGGAAATACGGGTACACAACGGCGCAGGTGCGCATCTTTCAGTCAGGGAGGTCAACTTTTGCCACGGGTCAAGTGCTGCGCCTTGGTTTGAGGGTCGCTATTCATCAGCGCATCCGACCCGTCGCAACTTTTTGGACTATAGAAGCCCCAAATAATTTGGGATAGGGATGCCACGGTGCGTTGCCTACGGAGGAGTATGGTCCGGAAATCCAAAGACTGTGCACTGCAGCCTCTCTGACACCCCAAGCGGGGCACTGCACGTCGGAGGCCCATGGCAGGTCGCAGATGGCGCACCCCTCGCCCGTGGCAGACGGGTTCGGCGGGTGTGACCGTGGCCTGGGCAGCGGTGGCGGTGCTGGTCAGCACCGCCAGGCGCGGCTGGGCTTGGCTCGGGGGGGTTCCGCCTGCTTGATGGAGTCCCGCGATTAGAGCATATGCTCGATGACCCCTGTACAGAGTCAAGATGTTGGCGTCGTGGCAGAAAGGCACATCAGCTCGAAGTAGAGGCCTTGCAACCGCTGAGCAACTGAGTGATAAAAGCTTGCCGGGTGCTTGTACCTCCCTGGAGGTGCCCCGGAGCTGCTGTTGGCGCCGTGGCGCAGGCGGCCACGCCCGGAATGCTCCACGTCCGCGGCGCGGTGCCAGGCGCATCTAGCAGTAGCAAGAAGCAGCTGGGCTGCGTGTGCGGTGGCGTAAAACACCCATGCTTTGGGTTTCAGGGCGACAAGCGGCCCTCCTGCTGCGCCAAGTGCAAGTTGGAGGCCATGGTTGACATCAAGAACGCGAGATGCAACTGTGGCAGAGTGATTCCTTGTTTCGGGATGCTAGAGGATGTGCGGGCCTCCTGCTGCGCCAAGTGCAAGCTAGAGGGCATGGTTGACATCAAACATCCGCGATGCAACTGTGGCAGAGCACGGCCTTGTTTTGGGATGCCAGAGGATGCGCGGGCCTCCTGCTGCGCCAAGTGCAAGCTATAGGGCATGGTTGACATCAAACATCCGCGATGCAACTGTGGCAGAGCACGGCCTTGTTTTGGGATGCCAGAGGATGCGCGGGCCTCCTGCTGCGCCAAGTGCAAGCTGGAGGGCATGGTTGACATCATAAACCCGAGATGCAACTGTGGCAGAGCGATTCCTTCTTTCGGCATGCCAAAGGATGCGAGGGCCTCCTGCTGTGCCAAGTGCAAGCTGGAGGGCATGGTTGACATCATAAACCCGAGATGCAACTGTGGCCGAGCACAGCCTGCTTTCGGGATGCCAGAGGATGCGCGGCCCTCCTGCTGTGCCGAGTGCAAGTTGCAGGGCATGGTCGACATCAAGAATCTGAGATGCAACTGTGGCAGAGCGATTCCTTGTTTCGGGATGCCAGACAATGCGCGGGCCTCCTGCTGCTCCAAGTGCAAGCTGGAGGGCATGGTTGACATCAAAAGTCGGAGATGCAACTGTGGCAGAGCGATTCCTTGTTTCGGGATGCCAGAGGATGCGCGGGCCTCCTGCTGCGCCAAGTGCAAGTTGGAGGGCATGGTTGACATCAAGAATCCGAGATGCAACTGTGGCAGAGCACAGCCTGCTTTCGGGATGCCAGAGGATGCGCGGGCCTCCTGCTGCGCCGAGTGCAAGTTGGAGGACATGGTTGACATCATAAGTCGCAAATGCAACTGTGGCAGAGCACGGCCCTATTTCGGTATGCCAAAGGACGCGCGTCCCTCCTGCTGCGCCAAGTGCAAGCTGGAGGGCATGGTTGACATCAAAAATCCAAAGTGCTCTGTTTGCGGGAAGCATGCGAAGTATCCAGATGCTGCTGGCAAGCCGCGGCAGCTTTGCGCAGCGCACTCTGCCGAAGTCGGTGCACATGTGCTATCCTCTCCGTGCTGGTCACGTGCTGCAAGTGAGTGTTTGGATCTCCTGGAGGAGGAGCGAGGCTTCAAATTCCTGTATCGTCAGAGGTTTGACGAAGCAGCCGGCGCATGGTCTGGGGAGGAGTTTGCCGGATTGGTCGCAGATAGAGCGCTGCGGCCTGACGCGTATGATCCGCCGCGGCGGGAGGTTGTGGAATTTCTGGGGAACTACTACCACGGCTTCCCTCCGAAGCATCCCGAGCAACTAGGCAGTCCAAAGCAATCATGACCGAAGCAAGCAAGTTCAATCTTTCTGGGACTGTTTTGCAATGCCCAGTGTTGAGATACTTTTGCCTTGGCTGTTTGAGGCATCTGCGTACAAGGCATCTGCGCCTAGAGGTGTGCTTCTACGTCCGTTGAATAAGCTGTCACAATGGCATAGCCACTTAGCATGCGCTCACACTGCTGGAGCGGTCGCACTTTGCTGCGGCCTTAGCTGAGGCATCTCAGCTTCACTTGCGTGGGCGGCAAGACATCGGCAGAACTCCATCGCGAGACTTTCAAGCGCCTGGACCTCTTCCTGGAGCAAAATATGCGTGTCTTCTACGTCTGGGAGCACGAGTTCACCGAGTGGCAGAAGCTGGCGGCTCGGCGGCGCCTGGAGCGGGTTGTCGGAGTTGGGGCAAGTAATGGGTGTGAGTGTCCCAGGTTAGGGATCCTTTCTTTGCCGACATTGTTGTTAAATGTATATTAACGCATAGTATAGATGAATAGAAATTCGACTTGCTTTGCGGCACCAAATATGCTTCAGGCTGTTCAGCCGGACGGACATGAGAGTGGAGCGTCGTGTTGATTAGATTCTCGACCGTGATGTCAGAAGAGACTTTACCACGAAACCTATCATGTTGCCAGACTCCACTAGTAGGGTGAAGCAAAGTGGGAAGCGTTCCCATCATTCTGGCCATCAATTCAACCTCCAGGATTTACCCGGATGAATGAGAAATCCTTATAAGTCGGTCCTGTTTTACCAGGCCTGCGAAAGACAGTACGTGGATACTTCTATCCCAGCCTGGACCTATTCCAGGATTTGGTAAGCTGAGTGAGCCCCTGATGCCTGCTCCGAGGCAGCCACCGGCGAGGCGCCGCCCATCTCCCGGATCCTGCGCCGACACACCTACCAAGAAAGAAGGGAAGAAGGCAGCTGCAAGGCCGAAGCTGCGCGATGTAAGCTGAAACAGGCCAGTTTGCACGAAGACTTGAAGGGTTCGCGAGAAGGTTCCCACCGGCGCTTGGAGTATGCCTCAAAGAAGTCTACTAGTTCAAGACTTGAAGGATGAATTGCTCCCGGCAGAGTCAGTCGCGCAGGGCCACACAGCTGGTGAGCTGTGCCGAGCCAGCCAAAACGAGGACAGGTCTGTGACGTGGACTTCCCTCCGCTGCTGTGCAGCGCTTCGGGTGGCATGGTCAGACAGCTGTGAATGGATCCGACCTGGATGGTGCTAGTAGGTGGAGTGGTCTGCCTGCGTGCGGGGCTTCTGCAAGATTTGCGAGTTTCATTGTGTTTCACCGGTTTCACGGCAGCCTTTCGACCCTTGTGCCAATGTTCGATGTGAGGATACTATATGCTTTGACCAGAAAAAGCACTCTCGGACAGGTTGCCGGTTCAAGATGCCGAATGCAATCCCAGCGCCGGTCATATTTCTGAGATTCTGTTTGTTGAACCCTCCTTCCAGTCTCCCAACATACCAGTTCTAGCACTGCCGCTTCATGGTCGGAGCAGTGAACCCCAGGCAAGAAACTATGGTACAGGCATATCTGTCAGGCTGGGGGTCCAAATCCAAATGTGGCCAGGGTTCAACCGCAGCAACTTGATTTGAGCGTCGCCGTTTATCAGCACCTGACATGGCAGGTTGGCGGTATAGGGACCATCTCAATTATTTTCAACCTGTAGGGCTGTAGGGCGTCCAAAATCGACTTGGGCCTTGTGGTGTGCAGCAACCTTTGAGACGGGCATGCCGTGAGGCATGAGGCACAGAGGCATGTCGTCTGGTTTGCGGAGGATCAACACAACTCCGAAGGCCGATGACAAGGCCGTGCACCGCAGCAGCTCTGACGCCCAAGCCGCTGGCGCACCTTGGAGGCCCATGGCAGGTCGCCGATGGCAGGCCGGCTGGGGTGTGGCCGTGGCTGTCTGGGCAGTGGCGGTGCTGGTTTGCGGCCCCGCCAGGCGCGGGTGTCCTCGGTTTGCGTTTGGGGACTGAAGGGCTCGGTGAGTTTCGCTAACCTGCACGATGCCGAGGGATGTTAACATATGCTTGACAGCAGTTCACGGAGTAAAGCTCTTGAGCAATTGAGGGATCAAGCCTCGAATTGTTCCTGCATGCTGACTTGAGTCTATGCCCCTGGAGGTGCCCTGGAGCTGCTGTTGGCGCCGTCGAGGGCCTGAAAGGCCCATCAGTGGGGCGGGCAGCTGTGCCTGGAAGGCTCAATGTCCGTGGCGGGACGCCCAGCACGTCCAGCAAAAAGCGGCGGGGCTGCGTGTGCAGGGGCGTGAAACAGCCATGCTTCGGGTTTGAGGGCGACCAGCGGCCCTCCTGCTGCGCCAAGTGCAAGTCGGAGGGCATGGTTGACATCAAACATCCAAGATGCACCTGTGGCAGAGCACGGCCCTATTTCGGTATGCCAAAGGATGCGCGAGCCTCCTGCTGCGCCAAGTGCAAGTTGGAGGGCATGGTTGACATCAAAAGTCGGAGATGCAACTGTGGCCAAGCACAGCCTTCTTTCGGGATGCCAGACAATGCGCGGTCCTCCTGCTGCTCCAAGTGCAAGCTGGAGGGCATGGTTGACATCAAAAGTCGGAGATGCAACTGTGGCAGAGCAGTTCCAAGTTTTGGGATGCCAGAGGATGCACGGGCCTCTTGCTGCACGAAGTGCAAATTGGAGGGCATGGTTGACATCAGAAATCGGAGATGCAACTGTGGCAGAGCACAGCCTGCTTTCGGGATGCTAGAGGATGCGCGGCCCTCCCGTTGTGCCGAGTGCAAGCTGGAGGGCATGGTTGACATCAAAAATCCAAAGTGCTCCGTTTGCGGGACACGCGCGGAGTATCCAGATGCAGCTGGCGTTCCGCGGCAGCTTTGTGCAACACACTCTGCTGAAGTCGGTGCGCATGTGCTGTCCTCACCATCCTGGTCGCGGGCTGCAAGTGATTGTTTGGATCTTTTGGAGGAAGAACAAGGCTTTAACTATCGGTTTCGTCGCAGGTTTGACGAAGAAGCCGGCGCATGGTCTGGGGAGGAGTTTGCCGGCTTGGTTCCAGATAGAGCGTTTCGGCCTGATGCACATGACCCGCAGCGGCGTGAGATCGTGGAGTTTCTCGGGAATTACTACCACGGCTTCCCTCCGAAACATCCGCAGCAACTTGGCAGAGCAAAGCATCCAGGGAAGCAGGTGAGATCATGACATTTCCCAGGTCTGTTTGGCAATGCCCGGCCTTGATCTACTTGCCCCTTTGCCTGTCGTTCTCAGCGCATTTGCTCGCAAGGGTTCTTCACTCGTCCTGTCCTAAGGAACCTTCCCACTGCCTCTAAACAACACCCATCAGCCAAGAGGAAGCATCCACCGCCCCGCGACTCACCTGCTGAGGCATCTCAGCTTCGCTTGCGTGGGCGGAAAGACGTCCCCGGAGCTCCATCGCGAGACCTTCGAGCGCCTGGACCTCTTCCTGGAGCAAAATCTGCGCGTCTTCTACGTCTGGGAGCACGAGTTCACCGAGTGGCAGAAGCTGGCGGCTTGGCCGTGCTGGAAGAGTTTTCGGGCTTGGCGGCTCAAGCAACAGGTTTGAGTGCCCCTGGTTAAGGATCTCTTCTTTGCTGACATTGTTTTACAACGTGTATACGTTTCTAGATGCAGAGGAGTTTGAATTGTGTTGTTGCTACAGATATACATCCGGCTATCCAACAGCGCCCTGATCACAGCGTTGAGGGAGTAAGACGACGCACCATACGGGGAGATGAAGCTGGACGGGAATGAGAGCTGAGCATGATTTGATTAGGACTTTCAGCCATGATCTTCCAGAATTCAAAACTGATCGCGGCCGTTTGCTTCTACTTCTTCTTCTTCTTCTTCTTTACCATCATTCTGGCCATGGACCATCGTCATTCTGGCCATCAATTCAACCTCCAGGAATCAACTACAATTGGATGAATGACAGTACGTGGATGTGGCAGGGCTGTACCGTTTCATTTCCTTGAAGAGTTGCAAGCCTCAACAGCTTTGCGTTAAGTGGAAGGGCACCGGATATTTCGCTCCCATGCATCATGGACCTATTCTAGGATTTGGTAAGCTGAGTCCGTGCCACTCTTTTGGGCTTTGGTCAAAGCCAACAGCACGATTCCGACACGCGCTGAGCTCCTGATGGCTGCACCGAGGCAGCTACCGGCGAGGCGCCGCCCATCTCTCGGATCCTGCGCCGACACACCAAGCGCAGCTCGAAGGCGAGGAGAAACGCCAGGAAAAGTGGAAGGAAGGGTAAATATAACTTTTGTGCGCTGGCCAGCGTTGGAATCGTGTCCTTCCGAGCTGTAGCTTTGAGATGTTTTTGTGATGACACGGACCGTACAGTCGGCACAAATGTTGGTTGAACCTTTGGAAGTGGATGGGATAACGGCAGGGACGTCAGCTTTTGCCACGGTTCAAGTGCTGCGCGTTCATCAGCGCATCCGACCCCTCGCAATTTTTAGAACTACAGAAGCCCCAAATAATTTGAGATAGGGATGCCACGGTGTATTAGCTGCGGAGGAGTATGGTCCAAAAATCCAAAGACTGTGCACTGCAGCCGCTCGGACACCAAAGCCGCTGGCGCACCTTGGAGGCCTATGGCAGGTCGCAGGTGGCAGGCCGGCGGTGCGGCCATGGCTGCCTGGGCAGTGGCGGTGCTGGTTTGCGGCACCAGGCCCGGCTGTCCTCGGTTTGCGTTTGGGGACTGAAGGGCTCGATGAGTTTTGCTAATCTGCACGATGTCGAGGGATGTTAACATATGCTTGATGGCCTTGCGCTTCACGCAGTAAAGCTGTTGATGTTGATCCCATGCCAGAAAGGCGCAACAGCTCCAAGTAGCTGCAGAGGAGCACATCTTGAGAAAACTGGACCCTCGCACAGCTGAGGACGAGGAAGTGAAGGATGCAATCTCGAATTCTTCTTGTTGATTTGGGTCTGCCCCTGGAGGTGCCCTGGAGCTGCTGTTGGCGCCGTCGATGGCCTGAAAGGCCCAGCAGTGGGGCGGGCAGCTGGGCCCGGAAGGCTCAATGTATGTGGCGCGGAATCCGGCGCGTCCGGCAAAAAGCGGCGGGGCTGCGTGTGCGGTGGCGTGAAATACGCATGCTTTGGGTTTCAGGGTGACAAGCGGCCCTCCTGCTGCGCCAAGTGCAAGTTGGAGGGCATGGTTGACATCAAGAATCCGAGATGCAACTGTGGCAGAGCACAGCCTGCTTTTGGGATGCCAGAGGATGCGCGGCCCTCCTGTTGCGCCGAGTGCAAGTTGGAGGGCATGGTTGACATCAAGAATCCGAGATGCAACTGCGGCAGAGTATTTCCCATTTTTGGGATGCCGGACGATACGCGGGCCTCCTGTTGCGCCGAGTGCAAGTTGGAGGGCATGGTTGACATCGTGCATCGTAAATGCAACTGTGGCAGAGCACAGCCAACTTTTGGGATGCCGGACGATACGCGGGCCTCCTGTTGCGCCAAGTGCAAGTTGGAGGGCATGGTTGACATCAGAAGTCGGAGATGCAACTGCGGCAGAGTATTTCCCATTTTTGGGATGCCGGACGATACGCGGGCCTCCTGTTGCGCCAAGTGCAAGTTGGAGGGCATGGTTGACATCAAAAATCCAAAGTGCTCTGTCTGCGGGAAACGCGCGGAGTATCCAGATGCTGCTGGTGTTCAGCGGCAGCTTTGTGCAACACACTCTGCTGAAGTCGGTGCGCATGCGCTGTCCTCACCATCCTGGTCTCGCGCTGCAAGTGATTGTTTGGATCTTTTGGAGGAAGAACAAGGCTTTAACTATCGGTTTCGTCGCAGGTTTGACGAAGAAGCCGGCGCATGGTCTGGGGAGGAGTTTGCCAGCGGCGTGAGATCGTGGAGTTTCTCGGGAATTACTACCACGGCTTCCCTCCGAAACATCCGCAGCAACTTGGCAGAGCAAAGCATCCAGGGAAGCAGGTGAGATCATGACATTTCCCAGGTCTGTTTGGCAATGCCCGGCCTTGATCTACTTGCCCCTTTGCCTGTCGTTCTCAGCGCATTTGCTCGCAAGGGTTCTTCACTCGTCCTGTCCTAAGGAACCTTCCCACTGCCTCTAAACAACACCCATCAGCCAAGAGGAAGCATCCACCGCCCCGCGACTCACCTGCTGAGGCATCTCAGCTTCGCTTGCGTGGGCGGAAAGACGTCCCCGGAGCTCCATCGCGAGACCTTCGAGCGCCTGGACCTCTTCCTGGAGCAAAATCTGCGCGTCTTCTACGTCTGGGAGCACGAGTTCACCGAGTGGCAGAAGCTGGCGGCTTGGCCGTGCTGGAAGAGTTTTCGGGCTTGGCGGCTCAAGCAACAGGTTTGAGTGCCCCTGGTTAAGGATCGCTTCTTTGCTGACATTGTTTTACAACGTGTATACGTTTCTAGATGCAGAGGAGTTTGAATTGCGTTGTTGCTCCAGATATACATCAGGCTGTCCAACAGCGCCCTGATCACAGCGTTGAGGGAGTAAGATGACACGCCATACGGGGAGATGAAGCTGGACGGGAATGAGAGCTGAGTGATTTGATTAGGACTTTCAGCCATGATTTTCTAGAATTCACAAGGGTTCCGCCAACTAACCTCACACTTTATCAATATGTCTCTCCTTCCAAACTGATCGCGGCCCTTTGCTTCTTCTTCTTCTTCTTTACCATCATTACGGCCATGAATTCAACCTCCAGGAATCAATTGCAATTGGATGAATGACAGTACGTGGATGTGGCAGGGCTGTACCGTTTCATTTCCTTGAAGAGTTGCAAGCCTCAACAGCTTTGCGTTAAGTGGAAGGGCACCGGATATTTCGCTCCCATGCATCATGGACCTATTCTAGGATTTGGTAAGCTGAGTCCGTGCCACTCTTTTGGGCTTTGGTCAAAGCCAACAGCACGATTCCGACACGCGCTGAGCTCCTGATGGCTGCACCGAGGCAGCTACCGGCGAGGCGCCGCCCATCTCTCGGATCCTGCGCCGACACACCAAGCGCAGCTCGAAGGCGAGGAGAAACGCCAGGAAGAGCGCGAAGACCGCTGCGGCTGGGGCAAAGCGTCATGCGTGTCATGCAAGCTGATGCAAGCGAGTCGTTTGTCCAGAGACCTGGAAGGATGCGAAAGGAAGTTCCCAGAAGAATTGCAGGATAGGCACGCGGAGTCTGGAGCATGCGTGCTTGAAACGAGAAGATCTTCTTCGTACACTTCATGTTCAAGCTGTCGCTGCCTGGTGCGCTGAATCCGAGCCGTGCCGGGCCGGGCACAAGCGAGGTGCGAGAGCTCGCCGCTCGCAGCTGGGCGGTGCCTCGGATTTCGCCGGCGCGGGGGCATCTCGGAGGTGTTGCGCGTGAGGCTTAGCATCATGCGTCTTTCATCACCTTGTTTCACCGGTTTCACCTCAGCCCTTCGAATAATTCTGGAGCTTGTTTGCTGTGAGGAAGGCATGGCGCGGCCAGAAAGACAGCAAGCCAAACCTGGTTCACGTCGCCAGCTGTTGGGCCGTCGAATGGATCCGGAGCCAAGGCGCCAGAGGGGGAAGGCCCGGCGGCTTCAGCAGATTTAGATTAAGAAAGTGCAGGACCTACTGCATGATGTACGTTCTTTGGCACTGGATCAGAGGGCTGGAGCAGTTAGAGTTGTTTGTTCGAGAGGTACATGACTGCACCAAGAAAGGTTTAATTGGCAGTGATAACGTAGGAATCGAGCTCTTGAACTGAGTCCGCACTTTATATCGAGGTGGACTCTGCTACTTCTTGAGGTTTGTCGGTCGTGCGCTGCAGTGCGGACCATGCCGCAGTTGAAGCTAGGTGTGCCTATCCCGATCATTGCTGGTCACCAGTATCGCAGCAGATTAGTGCAGTCTCAGCATTCGAAGCCTGCCAAGAGCTCTCCTTTGCGTCTTCCAACACATATCATGCGTATCTTTCAGTCAGGGAGGTCAATATAACTTTTGTGCGCTGCGAGTCCTTCCGAGCCGTAGCTTTGAGATGTTTGTGGGATGACACGGGCCATAGAGTTGGCACAAATGCTGGTGGGATAACGGCGCAGGTGCGTATCTTTCAGTCAGGGAGGTCAATATAACTTTTGTGCGCTGCGAGTCCTTCCGAGCCGTAGCTTTGAGATGTTTGTGGGATGACACGGGCCATAGAGTCGGCACAAATGCTGGTGGGATAACGGCGCAGGTGCGTATCTTTCAGTCAGGGAGGTCAATATAACTTTTGTGCGCTGCGAGTCCTTCCGAGCTGTAGCTTTGAGATGTTTGTGGGATGACATGGAGCACAGGCTGGTTGCACCTTTGGAAGCGGATGGGATAACGGCGCAGGTGCGTATCTTTCAGTCAGGGAGGTCAACTTTTGCCACGGTTCAAGAGCTTTGCCTTGGTTTGAAGGTCGACCCGTCGCAATTTTTAGAACTATAGGAGCCCTAAATTAAATAATTGGAGATGGGGATGCCACGGTGCATTAGCTGCGGAGGAGTATGGTCCAGAAATCCAACGACTGCGCACTGCAGCCACTCTGACACCCCAAGCCGCTTGTGCACGTCGGAGGCCCATGGCAGGTCGCAGCTGGCGCACTCCTTGCCCGTGGCAGACGGGTTCGGCGGGTGTGACTGTGGCCTGGGCAGCGGTGGCGGTGCTGGTCAGCACCGCCAGGCGCGGCTGGGCTTGGCTCCGGGGGTTCCGCCTGCCTGAGGGAGTCCAGGAATTGGAGCATATGCTTGATGACCGCTTTACAGAGTCATGATGTTGGCCTCGTGGTAGGAAGGCGCATCAGCCCTAAGTAGAGGCCTGGCAACCAGCTGAGCAGCTGAGTGATGAAAGCTTGCCGGGTGCTTTTACCTCCCTGGAGGTGCCCCGGAGCTGCTGTTGGCGCCGTCGCGCAGGCGGCCACGCCCGGAAGGCTCCACGTCCGTGGTGCGGTGCCAGGCGCATCTGGCAGTAGTAAGAAGCTGCTGGGCTGCGTGTGCGGTGGCGTGAAACGCGCATGCTTTGGGTTGCAGGGCGACAAGCGGCCCTCCTGCTGCGCCAAGTGCAAGTTGGAGGGCATGGTTGACATCAGAAGTCGGAGATGCAACTGTGGCAGAGTAGTTCCCATTTTTGGGATGCCAGAAGATGCGCGGGCCTCCTGCTGCGCCAAGTGCAAGTTGGAGGCCATGGTTGACATCAAACATCCGAGATGCAACTGTGGCAGAGCACAGCCCTATTTCGGTATGCCAAAGGATGCGCGTCCCTCCTGCTGTGCCAAGTGCAAGTTGGAGGGCATGGTGAACATACGAGATCCTAGATGCAATTGTGGCAGAGCACGGCCTTCTTTCGGGATGCCAGAGGATGCGCGGGCCTCCTGCTGCGCCAAGTGCAAGTTGGAGGGCATGGTCGACATCATAACTCGCAAATGCAACTGTGGCAGAGCAGTTCCTTGTTTTGGGATGCCATCAGATGTGCGGGCCTCCTGCTGTGCCGAGTGCAAGTTGGAGGGCATGGTTGACATCAAACATCCGAGATGCAACTGTGGCAGAGCACAGCCCTATTTCGGTATGCCAAAGGATGCGCGTCCCTCCTGCTGTGCCAAGTGCAAGTTGGAGGGCATGGTGAACATACGAGATCCTAGATGCAATTGTGGCAGAGCACGGCCTTCTTTCGGGATGCCAGAGGATGCGCGGGCCTCCTGCTGCGCCAAGTGCAAGTTGGAGGGCATGGTCGACATCATAACTCGCAAATGCAACTGTGGCAGAGCAGTTCCTTGTTTTGGGATGCCATCAGATGTGCGGGCCTCCTGCTGTGCCGAGTGCAAGCTGGAGGGCATGGTTGACATCAAAAATCCAAAGTGCTCTGTTTGCGGAAAGAAGGCGTGTTATCCAGATGCTGCTGGCAAACCGCGGCAGCTTTGCGCAGGGCACTCTGCCGAAGTCGGTGCACATGTGCTATCCTCTCCGTGCTGGTCACGTGCTGCAAGTGAGTGTTTGGATCTCTTGGAGGAGGAGCAAGGCTTCAAATTCACGTTTCGTCACAGGTTTGACGAAGCAGCCGGCGCATGGTCTGGGGAGGAGTTTGCCGGACTGGTCCCAGATAGAGCGCTGCGGCCTGACGCGTATGATCCGCCGCGGCGGGAGGTTGTGGAATTTCTGGGGAACTACTACCACGGCTTCCCTCCGCAGCATCCAGAGCAACTGGGCAGTCCAAAGCAATCATGACCGAAGCAAGCAAGTTCAATCTTCCCGGGACTGTTTTGCAGCCCAGCGTTGAGATATTTTTGCCTTGGCTGTTTGGAGCAGTTGCTTACAAGGCTTACCCTTCATGTCTAGAGGGCTTCTACGTCCGTTGAATAAGCGTCACAATGACAGCTACTTGCATGCGCTCAGACTGCTGGAGCAGTCGGGCTTTGCTGCGGCGCTGGCTGAGGCATCTCAGCTTCACTTGCGTGGGCGGCAAGACGTCCCCGGAGCTCCATCGCGAGACCTTCGAGCGCCTGGACCTCTTCCTGGAGCAAGGTTTGTGCGTCTTCTACGTCTGGGAGCACGAGTTCACAGAGTGGCGGAAGCTGGCGGCTCGGCGGCGCCGGGAGCAGGTTGTCGGAGTTGGGGCAAGTAACAGGGGTAAGTGTCCCAGGTTAAGGATCCTTTCTTTGCCGACATTGTTTTATATGTATATTAACGCATAGTATAGTATAGATGAATAGAAATTCGACTTGCTTTGCGGCACCAAATATGCTTCAGGCTGTCCAGCAGGACGGACATGAGAGTGGAGCGTCATGTTGATTAGATTCTCGACCGTGATGTCAGAAGAGACTTTACCAGGAAGTTCATCATGTTGCCAGACTCCACTAGTAGGGTGAAGCAAAGTGGGAAACGTTGTGTTCACGTGTCTCCGCCAAAGATTTGTTTCCTTCCTATCATTCTGGCCATCAATTCAACCTCCAGGATTTACCTGGATGAATGAGAAATCCTTATAAGTCGGTCCTGTTTTACCAGGCCTGCGAAAGACAGTACGGATACTTCTATCCCAGGCTCGACTTATTCCAGGATTTGGTTAGCTGAGTGAGCCCCCCTGCTCCGAGGCAGCCACCGGCGAGGCGCCGCCCATCTCTCGGATCCTGCGCCGACACACCCAGCGCAGCTCAAAAGCGAGAAGAACTACCAAGAAAGAAGGGAAGAAGGCAGCTGCAGGGCCGAAGCTGCGCGATGTAAGCTGAAACAGGCCAGTTTGCACGAAGACTTGAAGGGTTCGCGAGAAGGTTCCCACCGGCGCTTGGAGTATGCCTCAAAGAAGTCTACTAGTTCAAGACTTGAAGGATGAATTGCTCCCGGCAGAGTCAGTCGCGCAGGGCCACACAGCTGGTGAGCTGTGCCGAGCCAGCCAAAACGAGGACAGGTCTGTGACTTCCGCTGCTGTGCAGCGCTTCGGGTGGCGTGGTCAGACAGCTGTGAATGGATCCGACCTGGATGGTGCGAGTAGGTGGAGTGGTCTGCCTGCGTGCGGGGCTTCTGCAAGATTTGCGAGTTTCACCTTGTTTCACCTTGCTTCACCGGTTTCACTGCAGCCTTTTCGACCCTTTCGAGAACGTTCGTTGTGAGGATACTACATGCTTTGACCAGAAAAAGCACTCTCGGACAGGTTGCCGGTTCAAGATGCCGAATGCAATCCCAGCGCCGGTCATATTTCTGAGATTCTGTTTGTTGAACCCTCCTTCCAGTCTCCCAACATGCCAGTTTTATCACTGCCGCTTCATGGCCGGAGCAGTGAACCCCAGGCAAGAAACTATGGTGCAGGAATATCTGTCAGGCTGGGGGTCCAAATCCAAATGTGGCCAGGGTTCAACCGCAGCAACTTGATTTGAGCGTCGCCGTTTATCAGCACCTGACATGGCAGGTTGGCCGTATAGGGACCATCTCAATTATTTTCAACCTGTAGGGCTGTAGGGCGTCCAAAATCGACTTGGGCCTTGTGGTGTGCCAGCAACCTTTGAGACGGGCATGCCGTGAGGCATGAGGCACAGAGGCATGTTGTCTGGTTTGCGGAGGATCAACACAACTCCGAAGGCCGATGACAAGGCCGTGCACCGCAGCAGCTCTGACGCCCAAGCCGCTGGCGCACCTTGGAGGCCCATGGCAGGTCGCCGATGGCAGGCCGGCTGGGGTGTGGCCGTGGCTGTTTGGGCAGTGGCGGTGCTGGTTTGCGGCCCCGCCAGGCGCGGGTGTCCTCGGTTTGCGTTTGGGGACTGAAGGGCTCGGTGAGTTTCGCTAACCTGCACGATGCCGAGGGATGTTAACATATGCTTGACAGCAGTTCACGGAGTAAAGCTCTTGAGCAATTGAGGGATCAAGCCTCGAATTGTTCCTGCATGTTGACTTGAGTCTATGCCGCTGGAGGTGCCCTGGAGCTGCTGTTGGTGCCGTCGAGGGCCTGACAGGCCCATCAGTGGGGCGGGCAGCTGGGCCTGGACGGCTCAATGTCCATGGCGCGGTCTCCGGCGCGTCCGGCAAAAAGCGGCGGGGCTGCGTGTGCGGTGGCGTGAAATGGCCATGCTTTGGGTTTCAGGGCGACAAGCGGCCCTCCTGCTGCGCCAAGTGCAAGTTGGAGGGCATGGTTGACATCAGACATCGGAGATGCAACTGTGGCAGAGCACGGCCCTATTTCGGGATGCCAGAGGATACCAGGGCCTCCCTTTGTGCTGAGTGCAAGTTGGAGGGCATGGTTGATATTCAGAATCGCAAATGCAACTGTGGCAGAGCGGTTCCTTGTTTTGGGATGCCAGAGGATAAGAGAGCCTCCCACTGTGCCAAGTGCAAGTTGGAGGGCATGGTTGACATCATAAGTCGCAAATGCAACTGTGGCAGAGTTCGGCCGACTTTCGGGATGCCAGAGGATACCAGGGCCTCAGGCATCGTAGCGCCATCTGCGTGGGCGGCAAGACGTCCCCAAACCTCCATTGCGAGACGTTTGAGCGCCTGGATTTGTTCCTGGAGCAGCACCTGCGCGTCTTCTACGTCTGGGAGCACGAGTTTGTGGAGTGGCAGAAGCTGGCGGCTTGCCAGAGTATGGAGCTGGGAGTTGAGCATGATCTCCAAAGAAAGATCTTCACCTTGTTTGGGGCTTGCTTTCTTTGTTGAGAGCAGTGGGTTTGCTTACTTGAGCACTCAGAAGAAAAGGTTCTGGCAAAAAGGCTTCACCGCATGTGTTTGTGTGCATGTGCATATGCATATGTATCTATCTCGCCTTCAGAAGCCTCGAACATTTGCCATTCTGCTTCCTTGGCTTGCTTTATCATGGCCTTCTTCGGCCTGCTCATGAAGGATTGAGTCGACTGGCATCGTTCTGGCCTTCCTTTCAGCCTCCACGTTTCAGTAAATTTGGTAGGTGCCACCCATCCCAGACTTTCTCCAACCACACGCACGCGATCCCACCATGTGCCAAGCCCCCATTTGCCCCGCTCCGTGCCGGCACCGAGGCGGCGGCGGGCGGGGCTCCGCCCATCTCACGGATACTGCGCCGACACACCAAGCGCAGCAGCAGGAAGAAGGCGGCGGCTGGGGCGAAGCTGCACGGGGCAAGCTGAGGATAATGGATGCAAGCCATTTATTCTTCTGGAGACTTGATGTATGCGGCGCAAACCTTGTGGCAGGATCGCAGGATGGTGAGCTGGCATCCGGAGCATGCTTTTCCAGTGAGCCCTGCTTGGTAGTGCCCTGCAACAAGATCCTCAACGCGGACTTCCTTCGAGGCATCCGCCAGGCCATGGCGCGACGGAGACCTCCCCCGGCTTGCGAGTTTCACGGGTCTCACCGCATTCGTTTGGGCATGGGACGTGTTTGCGTGGAGAATCGCCTGCCACGCGGATCGGTTGGAAAGCAAGCGTGGCAGGCCAAATGGGAGGGGCTGATCGATACTTTGGCAAACAGCCGACGTCAGAGCAGACCAGCGGCGTTTGGACACTTACCAACGCCCGCACTACTCTGTGAGCTGGCAAAATGGATGCAGTCAAGGAGCCGTCACACGCGGAGATTGTCCTTTTGGCTTCCTTGTCCTGGATGTTTTTGCTTGGCATTGGAGTAAAGGGAGGACTGGGGTTTTGTGGTTTGTTCAGGCAGAGCCAGGGAGATGTGACTGTGACTCCTTCTGTCTGATCTTTAAATCAAGTGCTAGCCCCTCGCTGCTTTTTGGCTCAATTTGATCAGATTGCCCGTGCGCCGCAGCGCTTATGCGGGCAGTTGGACCATGCAGCAAGTGCAAGTTGCGTTCACCCGCTCCGCCCCATTCGAGCTCCAGCCCGAACGCCTCCGAAGGCTACACTGATTTTGCCACCAAGCGTCACGTAGTCGGCAGCAGTGGGGCGAAAACACGGCCCTCGGAATCCTTTCGGAGCTTTGCCGTTGCCCCCTTTGGGGCCTTCTCGCGTGCGACGATGACGATCCAGAAGTTGCCCATGACTGGCATGCCGCGGCAAATCAGCGCAGGACTGAAGTGGGGAAAGGGGGGCCAGGCTTGCAGCATGTTGGCTTGCCTCATTGGTTTCGTTTCTGCTTCCGAACAGGTGGCAAAAGCTTGTCCATCCACAGAGAGGACATGACTCCGTGTGCTTGGTATCAGGTCAGCGTGAAATGCCCGTGTGCAACCTTTGAGGTTTCAACCAATTGGTAAGCCCGTCAAAGTCCATGTTCCAAGCGACTCAGAGTCGTCATCTTCAACCCAGGAGTCAATCTTGGAGCGCAGCCTTTAACCTTGTGGCATGTTGTATGGTTTTCAGTGTGTCATGTTTGTGTGCGCGTGTTTTTGCCCAGCCCGAGAAGCAGCGTGAACAGACCCCAGCCACGAGTGCACCGCCAGCTGCCAGGCAGTCGGGGCTCGACTTCTGTGGATGCCCGGGCGCCTGGGAGACATGCAGCGGAGGGGTCAGCAGGTTAGGGCAGGCCACAGATCTCCTCAAGGCTTCCAGGTAGAAGGAAGGTCATGAGGGGAAGCATCCCTATAGCTTGAAAGATCTCAGTGCTCAATGTCGTCGTCGTCGTCGTCGTCGTCAAGTAATGGAATGTTTCCCCGACTTGATGTGTTACCCCTTCCTCCCCTTCTTTCCCTTGACCTTTCAAAAGAAGTCTCACTAAGTGATCAGAACATCCATGCCTGGATGCGCAACAATATTGGGCTCAGAGTCCGAACAGGCGCCCACCGAAAGCGGCCCAGGACAGCGATGACATGGGAATGAAGGCCGCCAAGCCCATGTCGGCTGGAGGGGAGGTCCAGGCTGAAAGGCGGTGAAATGACATTTGGGCGGGTTCCAAAACTTGGGGGACACCGCAAAATGGTTGGTTTACTTTTGGTTTGCTCCTCAACACCCAAAGGGAATTTCGAGATGCCTTGATTTGTGAGAAAATTACGAGGATGCAGGCAAAAGAATGGTTTGATTTATACGCGGCATCAACATTAGTTTTTATGACCTTGTTGGCTCGCTATGTAGGTGCGAAAACAACACTTCTTAGACTGAACTTGTTTTACCGACTGGCTTGTCAAGCTCCTAAAAACAGCAGGACATATGTGAGGCTGGAAGCTTCTTTGTGAAGTATCCATCAGAGCAGCATGCAATTCAACGCTATAGGTGAGAAGCATGTTGGGCAGCTTGATAGCTTCTTTGCCGCTTTCAGTAGCCTTCGACGCAAACATCAGACGCCAAGACTTGACTCTCAGGCAGTTGCCGAGATGCCCTTTGTATTTGTTCATATCATCAAGTGTGAAACACACGCATAATCTTAGATGTGACAAGTGCCCGAACTCGCGCTCGAACCCATATTATGAGAAGATGCTGCGGGTTCTTTTCTGCGACAAGCTTTGTTGTCCCGATTGACACATGTTTGCCTTGGAGCAGCGGTCGTTAGATGTTCCATTTGCAAGCTTTCAGAGGTCACCTGGTGGTTGCCGCTTCCAAATGCTTCAAAGTCCGATGGGTGGTGGGATTAAGGTCAAAGGATAAAGTAATGAACCCTGTTAAAGGTTCCCCTTGATTCCTTGCTGGAGGGGACTGTAGATTCGCCCAAGATCTGACAACCAAAGACCCAGAGCAACCCCAAAAACAGAATGGTTTACGTTGCCTGTTACCTGCAGATTTCCCTAAGAATCCGATGGTTTCTTGGACAATACCAACAACCGCAGCAAGAATGCGCATGACAAGGCAAGTCATGTGATAGGCAGAGTGAGTTGTCCCAAGAACGCATATTCCCAAATTCGCAATAGACGATTGTAGCATCAGTATTGTAGACGACACTAGGCTCATGTCTAGCAGGCTCAGGAAGGCGAGCCTAAGAACAGGTGAGTAGCCGGAAGTCCCGCGGATCTGCGAGAGGCAGTGAAGAGTATGCCGGTGTCCTCCTACCGGATGGAGGCCCGGAGCAAGCGGCAGAGGGCTGGCGCCCGCGTGGCCGTGTCATCTTGCACTCCTACAGAATTCACGCACGTGGAGCGGGGAGAACATGTGCGTTTATGGAGTCTGTTGTCTTTGTTTTTTTTGGGGGGGGCTCCTACACATGAATACCATCGTGTTTAAAGCAATCAATCTCTTTTTGGGGGGCACCCTTTTCTTTGTGGGTTAAATGGTAATCTGCAGGTGGAGTACTTGTTGTCTGTCTTCTTTGCAATGATTGTTGCAGGTGACACGCCTTCCAGCCCAGCTGTCCATTTGTTTTAGGCTTTTAGTCTTCTCAGAGATGAATGCAATGGGACCATCCAACGCTGACAGAGGATTTTGCTGATGCCTTGAAGCCAGGTCATGGTTCAAAGGAGCACAAAGGGAAGGCCCAAACATCATAAGGAATATGTTCTTCACACCTTCCGATTTGTCTCAGCAGATGGACGTACTGGCTTCTCCCGTTGGGATCCATTAGATCAATCAGTTTGATTGGGGCCATTTCCCGTGGCAAATCCTTTGGCTTTTTGTGGAACCAAGTCTTAGATCTTGTTCCAGCTCTCAGATGGTTCCGTCGAACTGCTGCACCATCCATGTTAGAACCGATTTTAGTGGTTGGATTGGGATGTTCACTGGGGGGATAACCGGGCTGTTGGCCCATGGCCAGATGTTTTGCTCCGGGACCCGCGCCCGCCGCGGCCGCGCGGCAGGCCTCGGACGACTCGGAGGTGACCTCGCCGCGCCGGGGGGCTGAGTCCAAAGCGCTGGCCCGTGCGTGGCCAAGTCCCTTGGAGACTGCCGGCTTCATAGACCCAGGCAGGGGCCATTGTTTTGTGCTGAAGTAGCTTGTTTGTGGTGGGAAATTCCGAGGCACGCGATTCAAAAGGTGTCTGGCCGTTTGGCATGAGTCCGCGTGGAGGTCAACCCTGCGGATCGCAGGGTTGCTCGATGAGGTATCGTTGTGGTTGCTCGCTGTGCGTCCTCTGGTGAGCTTTCGCGAATATGATTCCCATGTTTGGCGGGGTTTTGAAGGGCAACGGAGGTGAGCCTGAGGCCCCGGATGTTAGTCGAACCACATGGGAACCCCTCTCCCCAGTTGAAGAAGTGCGGATCCCATTTAAGAGAGAACCTTCACAGGCCCCGGAAGGTTGGTTGAACCACTTAATGGGAACCTCTCTCCACAGTTGACATAAGTCGGGATCCATTGAACCACTCCGAGTCATGCACAAGGCTTTCTCCTCCGGGGAGCGTTAGAGGCAAAGCCTCGCTCGCTTCTCAGGCCGGCGCTCGAGCCGGCTCTCTACCTCGATAGCAGGCCAGGGTCTTTCGGGTGAGTTCGCCCGGCCAGGGTGCTTTCGGCGATGGGTGTGGCCATGTTTTGTGTTTTTTGTTCTTTTGTTTTTCCTTTTTCGGGGGAACACAGACAAAAACTGAAGTCAAAAGAAAGCCAACAGGGTGGGTTAAAAAAGGAAGCCAAAAGGAAGCCAACCGCCAGCCGCTGGTTGCTGACGTTCAATGTGATGAGATGCTCGGAGGGGTCATTGGAACCATGGAAGCACACAGAAATCGACAGTGAGAGCAAGTCTGAGGGAAGCAGAGGTGTCTTTGGACAACAAAAATGCTTATTTTTTTGGACCAATACGAATTGAAAGGCACTCACCACAGTGGGCCCCCAGGAGCTGCACGGATGACTTCTTGGAAGATCCAGCATTCCCAGATCAGCTTCAAAAGGCTTTCACCTTCAATCAGTTCCATGAGGTCCAGGGAGAGCGTCAGCCTCTCGGCCCTCACCACCAGTTCGAAAATAAGGGTCCTCAGTAGGCGAGGCCCAAATGCAATTGAGGGCAACAAAGGTTGGCCGTGTGTTGGGAGGTGTCTCAGAACCTCTTAAATACTGCCCTCCATTGCGGCTACTCGCAAGGATTTGGTGGCTAGCGGGAGGTTAGAAGTGTGAGCATTCATAAGTATCAATTTCAACACCCGGCTTTCTGCCTTTGTAGATTCTCGCCCTGGGGTTTGTGCTGGGCAGTAAGTTGTGACGTGCATGGGGTGATCAATACCCGTTCTCCCCACAGAGATCCCCGATTTTCCTTCTACCACTCAGTGGAAATGCTGGGACCTGGTGTTTCTTACGACTTGTTTATTGCTGGAGCCCATTTGCTCGAAGTGATTGACGCGACCAAAAGCTCACCGGCAGATGACCCCTGGATGCGCGCGCAGCCGCCCCAGATGCCAGCTGCCGGTTGTCAAGGGTGATGACTCCCTATTGAAACAAGCCAAGGCGATCTTCGGAGATCTGAAGGTGACCTTAGATCTCTCTCGAAGAAAAGCCGCCCAAACAAAGCACTGGTCCGATCCCAAAAGGAGTGGCTCCCTACAAATGGCTGGTGTTTGGGTTCTGTGATCTGGCTTGGGAACTCAGGCAGTGCCTGAGTGACTTTTGTGTGCAGGTCTGTGTGAAATCCACTCAACCATTGTTGCTGTCCTGCGGAGCATATGTTTGTACGTGTTTCTGTCTTGCGATTGCATGCTCCTTACACCTCATGCCCTTGTATTTGAAGCAAAGGATGTGCCTCCTAGACACTCACCCATGCCAAAAAAGTCTGCTACTTTGTTTCCAGCTCCTGCAAACAAGCACGAGGCCTACTTAAGGTGATAGCAATATTCCAAGGCCCTCATTCCTAGTCAGAAAGCATGCTCACAGAGGAAAATTATTTGTACCAGGCTCGCGCTTTAGGACAACCTTGCTAGCACATCAACTGGCTCTCCCTGAGCGTGTAGAGTTCCTCTCAGATGCCAAGCTTCCAGCAGAAAGACGGCTGGGTGCAGTCCGCCACCTGACCCCATGCGAAGCTGTTGAGATCCGCTGCCCGCTTGCGGGTTGGCATAGCGGCAGCGTCTATGAATTTCCTAGCTACTGCTGAAGGTTTGTGGAAGTTCACAGATGGTAGCACGTCAGAATTACTCATAGCACCCCGCCTGAACAGGGCTTTGCGGCGGAACGTGTAGGACCTTTTCAGATCCCTCATTTCCAGTGCTCAGCAGGTCACCTAAAGTATTTTCAATCAACACGGATTTTCCAGCAGAGCGTCCCTTCTCGAGGGAAGTGGTCTTCCAGGAGCCCCTGGTCAGGTTCCATGCAGCGGTGGGAGAGTAATTTGTGGGGAGCCCAAAACCCCTCTAGCTTAAGACACAAACATAGCAGCCCTTTTCGGGCAAAGAACACCTTTCCCGAATGCTTTTCATTGATTTGTAGTTTTGAAGAAGCAATTCCTATCTACCATGAAAACCATCTACCCATGAAACTATCTACCGATGAAACCATGAAGCATGAAACCACCTACCATATCTCCACCATCTACCCATGAAACAACCATTTGGGTATGGGTCAAAATTAAGCCACCAGGGGACCGCAAGTTTTGGTCCATGTTTCCATTTACCAGGGTTCCATGTTGGGTACCTATTTTTGGCCCACAGCCATATTTCATTCGAGGGAACGCGGGGGCTTGTCTACTTTCCTTGGCTCAGGATGCGACCCGCCACAGCGGCTTCCTTTGGGAGCGGGAGCGGGGAGGGCCCAGACTGCACTGGGCGGCGTTTGACGTCTGGTTCTGTCCAAAGATTGACAGATGTAGTTGACTGTGTTGCTTCTGCTGGTTTTCTTCTACTTGTTTAAGGCATGAGTTTCCCTGTTGGTTTTGTTGAAGGAAGGTAGTCATGGATAAGAACTCATATTATCGTGCCCCGCCCCTTTCGGAAGCAAATAGAAAGGTTTGCGTAGTATCGGAGTGATGTTGAGTTGGCGCGGGATACTGCATTGATTGCAGAGTGATTTGCCCCTGTTTACAGGAAGTGTGATACTTCCGCAAGTTTACTCAAGTGGTTTCCGACATGACTTCATTGCCAAACAGACGGAACCGTCCAAGAACACAGTGGCGCTTATCCCCACACTGAATATGGGATCACAAGCGACGTGCGTGATTGTTCATGGCAGGTTGTTTGAGTTCATGTGGTCTGCAAAACGGATTTTTCTTGTTTTTCAGCTGACATATTCGGGGATGGGACGGAGCGGTTTCCTTGGGTCTCGAGTTGGATGCCTTCCTCACGTCGGAAGGGCCCAAAATGGCACCGTGGTATATTATGGAAACAATGGCTAAAACCTGTGTAAGCGCCAGCTGGTTTGAGCCGCACCCAAATGACTTTTCGCCCCTCACGAGCACAACGTTTGCAGCTTTTTTTGTGGAAGGAAGGTTTCGTTGCTTCTTTTAAAGGCTTATTACAGGAACCTCCCCCACCAATTTGTGGGTTTTCTGCGCGGCTTTCCCGCCCAAACTTCC